GGGCGGCAGCGTGAACACGTACCGTTACTAACGGCGCAGTAGGCCTATAACCACTGCTGACTGCAGCACTGCACTGCGAGCTGAATCGTTAATAAATACTCATATAGAACGAGAAATCTTGCACGCTAATCTAAGTTCCATTTCATTGGTTTAAGGTTTGAAAATTGAAACTCAATATTGTGTTAAAGTTATAACAGAAAAGATAATCTTTATTTTATAATTCCACGGGGGCGATTTTAAATTTTGCAATCGCCCCCGTGTATTTTGAGCGCTGCTAATGGGACATGCATGGTTGCTACTCCGAGTTTCACGCCTTGCAAGCGTCTGATAGCATTCTTCAAAGTACATGATTCCTCTGCAACCTTGGTACAAATACACTCAAAATAAGACTTAACTAATACAATACCTGAATAAAATATAATAAGAATTACTCATGAGTAATTCTAATTGTATTTTATTAGTTAAGTCTTATTTTAGGGGTATTTGTACCAAGGTTGTATAAGATAATCATGTACTTTTAAGAATGCTATCAATAATTGCCTGATGATTGCTTGCAAGGCGCGAAACTCGGAACAGAAACCATGTCCCATTAGTCTGCCTGCTCTGCCTAGGCATTGACCACTGTTCAGAAGGATATATAGCAAAGCATAATATAAGAGGAAGGGGAGAGCAGCCGGGTCACCGTGCCCCAGAAGAAGAATACCCCCCCCCCCCCCCCCCTCGTCTTCCTTCGGCAATAATCGGGCAAAAAGTCACAATTTGGGACCGAAAGGTAAATAAATTTTAACTGGGAAAGTAGAAAATAAAGCAGCGGTGAAATAACGACTGCAGAATATCCCTCGCTGTTCTTTTTCGATAAGCCTAATATATGGCCCGGGTGTAACCATAACAAACTTGCCACATGATTTTGTTTTTATTTTATACCTCTCAGGCGCGGATCCAGGATTTTCCAATAGAGGGGGCCGGACATTTGAAAATTGCGCAGACCATTTTTTCAAGGTCATATTAGAAGCACCATACCGGTACAATTTTTGACATTTTCATCGGGGGGGGGGGGGGGGCTATAGCCTCTTGCCTGAAAAAGTAATTTTCTGATTTCACAATTCGGCTAGTGAGCGAGCAACAATTTGAGCATCATAATGTGAAAGTGTTATTTATCACCAAAATAAACGAGAAAAGATATCAAAAACGCATATTAGGGCAGCTCGCTGCCACCCCCCCCCCCCCCCCATTATGCGCGAAGCGCGGAAGCTTTGACCTTCCATTAATTATTAGAGAAAGGAGACTATTCGTTGTACCGTTCTAGACTCTTAATCCTTGTCTAAATTCAGTTTTCCCCCTCCTGCGCGAAGCGCGGAAGCTTTGACGTTTCATTAAATTATTAGAGAAAGAAAACGATTTGTTGTACCATTCTCGACTCGTATTCCTTGTCTGAATTCAGTGTTCCACCTCCCGTGCAGAGCGCGGAAGCTTTGACCTTTTATAGTTTAATGAAATTATTAGAGAAAGATGATTCGTTGTACCGTTCTAGACTCTTAATCCTTGTCTGAATTCAGTTTTCCCCCTCCCGCGCAAAGCGCGGAAGCTTTGACGTTTCATTAAATTATTAGAGAAAGAAGACGAATCGTTGTAACATTCTCGACTCTTAATCCTTGTTTGAATGCAGTTCTCCCCTCCCCCTCCCGCGCAAAGCGTGGAAGCTTTGACCTTTCATTAAATTATTAGAGAAAGAAGACTATTCGTTGTACCGTTCTAGACTCTTAATCCTTGTCTGAATTCAGTTTTCCCCCTCCTGTGCGAAACGCGGAAGCTTTGACCTTTCATTAATTATTAGAGAAAGAAGATTTGTTGTACCATTCTCGACTCTTATAACTTGACTAAATTGAGCCGCCGCCCTCCCCCTCCCCCCCCCCCCCCCCGAAGCACGGAAGCTTTGACCTTTGATAGTTTGATGAAATTATTAGAGAAAGAAGATGATTCGTTGTTTCATTCTTGACTCTTAATCCTTGTCTGAATTCAGTATCCCCCTCCTGCGCTTTGCGCGGAAGCTTAACGTGTCATTAAATTATTAGAGAAAATAGACTATTCGTTGTACCGCCATCAACTCTGCATCCTTGTCTGAAATGAGTTCCCCCCCCCCCGCGCAAAGCGCAGAAGCTTTGACGTTTCATTAAATTATTAGAGAAAGAAGATGATTCGTTGTTCCATTCTCGACTCTTAATCCTTGTCTGAATTGAGTTCCCACCCCCCTCCCGCGCGAAGCACGGAAGTTTTGACGTTTCATTAAATTATAAGGGAAAGGAGACGATTCTTTGTACCATTCTCGACTCCTTGTCTAAATTCTATTTTCCCCTGCGCTGCCCGCGCGTAGCGCGTAAGCTTTGACGGTTCATTATATTATTAGAGGAAGAAGACAAATCGTTGTACCATTCTCGTCTCTTAGTCCTTGTTTGAATTCAGTTTTTTCCCCTCCCGCGCGAAGCGCGGAAACTTTGACGTTCATTAAATTATTAGAGAAAGAAGATGATTCGTTGTTCTATTCTCGACTCTAAAATCCTTGTCTGAATTCAGTTTTTCCCGGCCCGCGCGTAGCGCGTAAACTTCTGACGTTTCATTAAACTATTAGACAAAGAAGACGATTCGTTTTACCTTTCTCGACTCCCAATCCTTGTCTGAATTCAGTTGCCCCCCCCCCCTCCCCAGCGATGCGCGGAAGCTTTGACATATTTTCATTAATTTATTAGAGAAAGAAGACGATTCGTTGTACCGTTCTCGACTTGTCAGAATTTTCAAAAATGTTTCTTTGTCTGCTCCTTTTTCGTCCTATGTCATCTTACTGCCCCTACCGCCCTTGGCTACGCGCCTGCTTTAAAGGGAAAATGAAACAATCATGATTGTGATGGCACACAATTAGGTTAGTAGAAATGAAATGGAAAAAAAATCTATTACAACAACCATGGATAAATCACGGCCGGGAGCATCATAGTTTTGTGTTATCGGGCGAGGGCCGGGGCGTAGCGACCAAGCGAGATTTTGCAATGCTGAATGCTGAAATTATGCATTCTAGAAAATCCCTGAGCCCAATATGTACGTTCTTTCCGCTATATTTCTAAATTTCCTGGGGGACGTGTCCCCCTATCGGGCCCAGGATTGCCGCCCCTGTCCATGATTACTACCAACATGAGTTCAAATACAAGCACAAGCGAATTGGTATATGAGCTGAATCCAAATGAAGGGCAAAATAAGAGTTGTGAAGCGGCCCTACCGTTAATTTAAAATTTGACTGTTGAGTATATAACTTCTATTTAAAAGACACCCAAAATATTGTGCCCTTTTCAAATTTCTCACTAAAGAGTGATGACCTTTGTAGCGCAGGGGCTGTTCTTAACGTTTAACTTTGAACCCGCGGCTCGAGATTTTATGCGGCCGGCCCGACCCCCCTCTATTCAATAATTTCGTTATCTTTTCTCTTCTCTTTTCTTTTCTCTTCTTTTTTCCTTTCTCTTCTCCTTTCTTTTCTCTTCTCCTTTTTTTTCTCCTCTTCTCCTTTCTTTTTTCTCTTTCTTTTTTTTTCTTCCTTTTTTTTTGCGCCGCCAATAGGGGGGGGGGGGGGCCGCGGCCGTTTCGGCCCCCCCCTGGATCCGCCACTGCCTCTAACATTTATACCTCTGACATTTTTACCTCTGACATTTTTACCTCTGACATTTTTACCTCTGACATTTTTACCTCTGACATTTTTTCCTCTGACATTTTTACCTCTGACATTTTTACCTCTGACATTTTTACCTCTGACATTTTTTCCTCTGACATTTTTACCTCTGACATTTTTTCCTCTGACATTTTTACCTCTGACATTTTTACCTCTGACATTTTTACCTCTGACATTTTTTCCTCTGACATTTTTACCTCTGACATTTTTACCTCTGACATTTTTTCCTCTGACATTTTTTCCTCTGACATTTTTTCCTCTGACATTTTTACCTCTGACATTTTTACCTCTGACATTTTTACCTCTGACATTTTTACCTCTGACATTTTTTCCTCTGACATTTTTACCTCTGACATTTTTTCCTCTGACATTTTTACCTCTGACATTTTTACCTCTGACATTTTTACCTCTGACATTTTTTCCTCTGACATTTTTACCTCTGACATTTTTACCTCTGACATTTTTTCCTCTGACATTTTTTCCTCTGACATTTTTTCCTCTGACATTTTTACCTCTGACATTTTTACCTCTGACATTTTTACCTCTGACATTTTTTCCTCTGACATTTTTTCCTCTGACATTTTTACCTCTGACATTTTTACACCGAGCCCAGGTGTCACATGCACATTCACCTTTTTACATAATAGCAGTGAAGGGATGTTCCTTTGTCTATACCTGAGGAACTGTATATTTTGTCCGCTTTCTTTGTCGTCATATTCATATTAGGGACTTTTAGATTTGCGTGGACTGATACGTGTGACGTCCATTCAAGGCAGTGCATTAACAGGACGTCGATCGTAACAATCTCCATTGTCTTCGTGCGAATCTAAAAGTCCCCAGTGTCTGTGTATATGCCCGTGGACGAGTCACGCGTCGATGCATCCCGGCCCCGCCCCCAGCCCGGCAGTGCGCCCAAGCAGCGGCCAGCCAGGGCATGTGAGTTAAATTCTCACCTCCCTGGGCCAGCGCTACCTAAATACCTGGTCCACAGAGCACGAAGCTCATCTCAGGCGCTATTGCTATCTCACAAGTTACGAAAATACGACTCGACTATCTCCTGATCAAACTTAAGAACCAGACTCCCGGCCCCCACTCAGTGTTATTTAGGGTACGCATATGCGTGTTCCAACCGACCCCCCCCCCCCCTTTTCAGCAAAAGTCCGGTGTGTAGAGTCAATACGGCCCGACCTTTTTCTTTTGTATACGAGCTTTTTTCAGCGCCCCCCCCCCCTCTTTTTCAGCAAAAGTCCGGTGTGTAAAGTCAATACGGGTTGACCTTTTTCTTTTGTTACGAAAAGGACATTTTAGCAACACGCATGGGGTCCGTCCGTTCTCGGAGTGGGTGGGCGCGGCCGGGACCAGACTACGCGCGTAAATAGTCAAATTTGACTGAATACCCAAACTACAACCACCAACAAGCAACAGAAGTTGTTAGGTCAATCAGGGAGTATAGCAGGTCCATATAGTATCTACGCCCGGTACTCGTACGGGAATTATTGGCGAGGACTAGTACTGCAGCTGGCCGCCCATCCAGCAGGCAGCCAACAGGTTGATGAACTATGGAAGGAGATGAAGTATTCGTGTCACCCATGATGGATGGAAAACAAGGACTCGTTGCTGTGGATGTCGTGGTGTTGGTGGTATACTTTGTGCTTGTTCTTGCTGTTGGTTTGGGAGTGAGTATCAATTTATTCTGCTTTTATTTATTGTTATGTTATGTAGGCGAATTAAGTTTTAAAAGCGCTGGTATGACCATATTGCCTTGCTCGTGTGGAGTACTAGAAAATGGTATCTTTATATGGGCCTGGCGGAGCCGGGAGCTACGTACGTTAACGCGCGTTGTTGCATATGCCGTATTGTTGCGTGCCTCAACGAATTGGGTATCTGGAGAGATCATATTTCATTTCATACAATTGTGGGTGATGCATATATTTTTAGTAAAATGAATCGGCAAAGTGAGTCATGAGGACATAGCCTACTCCACAACAGTTTTATTAGTTTAGTTAGTGAAATTTGATGCTACAAAATGTAATTTAAAAAGGATATATAGGGTATAGAACTTGAAGTCTACCAGTAGTACAGTACCTCGATCTATTCTAGATCTGTTTGGTATTTTTGTTTGTTTTATGTGTTGAAAGAATGAAAATCACTCCCACCGGTGAGATTGTCACTAAATATCTCTGAAACTTCCTGCTATCATCTAATGTATGTATGGATCAAATGAATGTTTCTGTCAAATGCCAACTTCCAGCAGCCTCCCCCCCCCCATCACCCCCATTACCCCCCCCCCCCAATTATCCCCCCAATCATCCCCCCATCATCCCCCATCACCCCCCATCACCCCCCCCCCCCATCATCCCCCCATCATCCCCCCATCATACCCCCCATATCACCCCCATCATCCCCCATCCCCCATCATCCCCCATCATCCCCCCATCATCCTGATTATCCCCCCTGCCCACATCCCCTGGGTCATCCCATCTAGCTTTTAACATTGTTCAATGTCCGTCCGTTTTTTACCCCTCCCTCATTTTGACTCCTCCCTCTTTTTGACTCCTCCCTCTAACATCAATTTTTAAAAAACATTTTAGTGTCAGTGGTGATATTTCTTAATGTCATTAATTGCTTTCATTGGAATTGATTGTCATGACCTTTGTGACTGATCCTCGAAGATGCTAGAGGCTGGTTGACTCATAATATGTGGGGTCAGATATTGTATCAATATTCGATTCCAGCTGCATTTAAAGAACAATTATTACTTAATTTCTTAATTATTTTTTTTACCTCTGATAATTTTACCTCTGCATGACATTTGACCTCTGATATTTGATGATTTGATCACTGAAATTTTAACCTGTAACATTTCGACCTCTGATTTTTTTACCTTCGTCATTTTTACCTTTGACATTTTCACCTTTGATATTTTTACCACTGATATTTGTATGCCTCCACCCACTGAAAGGGGTGCCAGAGGCATTATGTTCTTATTAAAGCGATATCTCAAGAACCACTTGAGATATCAAATTTGAATTTGATGATAGTGTGTTTCACTGTATGAAGATAATCTGATTGGATTTTGGGTTAGTGGGTCAAAGGTCATAGAGGTCAATTTCTGAATTTCCAGCTATAAGCCTCCTTATATCGCACATACTCTAGAACCATTAGAAATATGAGGCTCAAACTTGGTGATAATATTACTATAGGAAAGTGATAACATTACCATAGGAAGACGATATGATCAGATATTAGATTAGTGGGTCAAGGTCATAGAGGTCAACTTCCAAATTTCCAGCTATAAGCCTCCTTATATCGCACATACTCTAGAACCATTAGAAATATGAGGCTCAAACTTGGTGATAATATTACTATAGGAAAGTGATAACATTACCATAGGAAGACGATATGATCAGATATTAGATTAGTGGGTCAAAGGTCATAGAGGTCAACTTCCAAATTTCCAGCTATAAGCCTCCTTATATCGCACATACTCTAGAACCATTAGAAATATGAGGCTCAAACTTGGTGATAATATTACTATAGGAAAGTGATAACATTACCATAGGAAGACGATATGATCAGATATCAGGTTAGTGGGCCAAGGTCACAGAGGTCAATGTCTGAAATTCTAGATATTCGCAATATCTTAAGAACCACTAGAGATATGAGGCTCAAACTTGCCATAGGAAGATGATCTGATCAGATTTTGGGTAATAGGTCAAACGTCAAAGGTTACAGATGTTTAGATCAATACACCAGTTTACGGATCCATCAGTGCGCATGCGCAGACATGGGCGCCATTTTAATTGACGAGTAAACAAAGCCAATGACCTAGAGGTCAGTGGTATTTATGCATAAATTAAGATTGCGCCCATGCAAATGATGATGTGCGCGGACAACACAGCGCGCAGGCAGTGATTTCATCATAATTTGCATGGGCGCAGTCTTAATTTACGCATGACCTCTAGGTCATTGGCTTTGTTTACTCGTCAATTAAAATGGCGCCCCTAACTGTAAACTGGTGCATTGATAATCTGAATTACATGTATGTGCATTTTATTGTAAAACAGTAATAATTATTGAATTTTGTGAATCACAAAGATGTTACACTCACTTTGAATGTTATCATTCCAAGTGCCAATATGCTGAGAACAGCAATCGTTTACCCTTTTATCCCAATAATGGAGTTTACAGATAGCACATGGTACAAATGACCCCAAATATGTGCGTACCTCCGTTCCCGGAATGGGGACTGGAAGACCTCTATTCTACACTCCAGAAAAATAAATGATAGTAAAATTGCACCCTACCCATAAATATGCAAACAAATGAGTGCTTGCGTTAAATCTCATTTTACTTGTTTTGCATATTTTGAGTAGAAAAATATTTATTAATGTGACTCTCTAATAACACTTTTGAGTAGGGAATTTTGAATCTATTGTTTGTTTGTCATAAAACATTGATTTGTATTTCTTGTCCATGTTATCTAGTCGATGTGTCGATCCAATCGTGGTAGCACTGAGGGATATTTCTTAGCTGGCGGAGCAATGCTATGGTTTCCTGTGAGTATATGTACTTTAGTCTCTTCTGCCTGTAGCTCAAGTTCAAGTTCATTTCTATCAATACTTTCATTATAAAATAGAAATATACAATGGTTGCAACATACAAATGATATTGATATATTGCATGAAAATAAAACAGAAGAAAAAAGAAGAAGTTACACACAAACAGTAAAAAAAAAAAAAAGGGAATATATTTGGAGACAAGACAGGAAGGCCTGCCCTATGGGCAGGGGCGTCGCTAGACCTTTTTCACTAGGGGGGGGGGTGTAGAGGCCACCAATTACCAACAAATACATTAATGCCAATGTACCAATGTCTGCAAATTTAACCCTATGGACCCAGGGCCAAGTCAAGTATTAAATTTCTTACAAACTATAAACCCACGCTTGCGCACATGGTCATTTTCATTTACCTCATAAATATCTGCTTAATCTTCTTCAAGACTAGTCAGCATCGTACATGTAGCTATATCACAATGGGCAACTATGCGGTGTAGCGTGATCGGTAAGAGCGCTGCGGTTGTAGACAAATCTCCCAGGTCAGAAGCTTGATAGGGTGACTTTCGAACCCTTTTGTTTACATTGATTTTTAATGATTCAAGTACTATAAATCTCTCTCGAAGTTGTCACAGCCGATAAAAAGTCAAAATTTGTCGGGAAAAAAAATTTGCCGGCCATGCAACCGACCGACATTATACATCTCACTGAGTTCAAACTTCTGCATCAATTTAGTAAACAAGGATCGAGCGAGAATGCCTACACAGCTGACCAGACACAGCATTGAGCAACATGTCTATGCGTATCTTGACTCCCTCGACGAGATGACTTCACCCAACAACCCCGCCCTATTTCTCTCTCTTACTTACTCTCACCCCTCCTCTCTCTTACTCTCACTCCTCCTCTCTCAGGCTCTTACCCCCCTCTCTCTCCTCTCTCTCATCCCCCGTTTCTTTTGTTTCATTTTCTCTTTTTTTCCTTTTTGTTTCCTTTTCTCCTTTTCTTTTTTTTCCTCTTTTCTTTCCTTTCCTTTCCTCTCCTTTTTTTCCTTTCCTTTCCTTTTTTTTTTTTTCCTTTCCTTTTTTTTTTCCTTTCCTTTCCTTTTTTTTCCTTTCCTTTTCTTTTTTTTGTCTCCTTTCTCTTTCTTTTTTTCTCTTCTCTTTCTTTTCTTTTTCTTTCTTTTCCTTTCCTTCTTTTTCTTTTTTTTTTCTTTCCCTCTCATTTTTTCCCTCCCCCTTTTATCATTTTTCCAGATGGCAGTGCAGTTTTACAGACAAAATCCTGATAGGTGGGGGAGGTGCTTATGGGTAAAGGACTGTCTTCACTGATTATATCCAAATAACTATGTACATGTACATCATTCAAAATATTACATATTCAAATTATTACTTATTCAATAGAAAAAGACGGAAAAGAAAAGGACAAAGCATAATGAGACTTGATTAATATGTACCCATTCCCCTACCTGACATGGTGTTGTAAAGTCTGTTAAAACCAAACAAAGTAAGACTTAGTTATGTGAAATGTAAGCATGTGACTACTGACTGAATTAAAAGACTACAGACCTGTACCACATAATTTGAAGATTATGGAAAGGGTTGAAAACCAAGAGAGGAATACTACATATGGCAGGGCTTAAAGGTAAAGACCAGTTATGGTCATGCGATTGCATTGTGAAAGAAACGTTGTGGAATCGATCAGAAAAGGTTGATCATCTAGCATCTAGCATCTGCAAGGTTCTGGAATCGTCACAATAATAAGTAATTTGGCCCATTCTTCGTAAAGTTACAAGCACTATACACAGAAAGATGTATATGGGACTACCCTATATCTCTCACAGACCATGAGAGAAATAAATTTACCAAATATATGAATTAGTAGGCGGTTTCGCGGCAAATTTTTTATCATCATGTATTAGTCAAAACATATTCTTTCACAGTCATGATTGGTAATGAGAGCTTCCATTTCATTTTTTGAAATTGGGGCGTTTCCAATACTGGTCTTTACCTTTAAAGGGATAGTTGAGTTCTGTTTTCAGACCGCAAAGTGCATCGTTATTGCTCTTATTCTTATCTATGACATTCCTAGTGTCCTTTTAGAACCTAAAATTGCTATGAAGGTTTAGACCCCAAAATGTGTGAAATTTAGCCAATACGATCATACCAACTCAGCTCAACTTTTGCAAAAATATGGTGACCGTTAATTATTTAATCAAAAATAACAATACATGGGCCGGCTGGTTGTGCGTAATATAACCAACACGAAAATGCCTACAAAAAAGCCAACATCAGCATTGGCTGAAATATGGCGTAAAAGGGGCTATTTCGTTTTTTCGACGGCTTTTTCAAATGATCCAATATTTGTGGTGGTACACAAGTATTAGAAGTCATTATATCTATGGATATTTCAGCCGTCTCTGAACTGATTTTGATCAAACAAAGATGATTTTGTCATTAAAATTGTATGTTCTTTCAAATTTGACACTCAGTTTTTCATTATCTCACTAAAAATTATTTTGTGTAGCGCACTTTGCAACAGAACTCAACTATCCCTATAAACAAAATATCCTGATAGAAATGGTTAAACGAAGAAAGGAAAAATACTTTGGTCATGCACATAGACATCAGACTCAGAGTCTCTTGAAAGATTTATTGGAAGAAAAAGTAGAAGCTACCAGACCAAGAACCAACTGGGAAGGGAACATTAAAGGTAATACAAAGTTTTGGTATGGGGCCATGAATTTGGTTCGAATGAACATATCGGAAGCATATGCGATCCTACAATATAAAGTGATCGTTGTCGCGGTTGAAATCGAGTCTAAAGTTATGAAATTGTAAATAATAAACTCTTTATGTTGTATAGCTCCCTCTCAAGGTCAAAATATTAATTAAGCCATAAAACATTGTTTCTTGACTTAAATCAACCGATTGGCTATTCCCATTTGGAAATTATATATTACAACTACATATTCTGAGATTTTTATGGTCGCAGCTACCATAGTATGGCCGTAAGCGCTATTTGAAATTTATCAAAATTTACCGGGAGCACCGGTAAATTTCAATATTCAATTTTTCTCGAAAGCAGAAGTGTTTTAGGAGCTGAATTTTCTAGTGCTTATAATACATCCACGTGGGATTCCAAATATATAAAAATTGTGAAGAATCACTATCCAGCTAATTTTCAAAATTTCCCTAAACTTTGTATTACCTTTAAGACATGGAGTGGAATATGACACTGCAAGAGTGTACTACAGTAGATAAAATGGAGATGTGTTTGAAAATGTTGCAATCAACCTCCGAGCTTAGCAGAAGATACCTTGATAAAGTGTTATATAGTAGTTGTATCACTCCCCACTTCTCTCAGTCATTCACCTTTCATTCACCTTTCTCCCACCTGCTCCATGACAAAACATAACCCCATTATCCCATTACTTTTTATTATAAATAATTGACCATTAATGACCATTTAGATTCAAGGATCGAACCACATTCCAATAACTATGACTTATAGGCCCAAACCCCAGTCACTTACACTCTCCATAGCCATGACAACCCTGACCATTGACCAATGATAAGCATGAATAAGTCTCCCCTCCCAACATTGTTTCTCTCCCCAAACTTTCCTGAATGTAAAGTTGGATAATGATGGGGACTTTGGTTTCAGCCATCACACGCTGAACACGGGTTTTGAGATAGACTAGCTACAGGCATAGGGAGAGATAATATTGTGTATCTCGGATTCTAGAGTCGTCTACTAGAGAGTCATTGTGTTATGTACTTAAAGATAAAGTTGAGTTCTGGTCATGCGATTGCATTGTGAAAGAAACGTTGTAGAATCGACCAGAAAAGGTTGATCATCTAGCATATAAGAATTTGTGTGTATTGCAAGGTTCTGGAATCATCAAAATGATAGGAAATTTTGCCAAGTCTTGGTAAAGTTACAAACACTGTACACAGAAAGATGGGACTACACAAACACATGGCGTAAAAAGCTGGCCCCCCCCCCCCCGATTTTTACGATGTTACATGCATATTTAGAATATGAAGGCATTTGAAGAGCCATGCTTTTCAGGGAACATGTCTTATCTGATGTTCTTCCACACTTGCATAATAAGAATGAGTAACGCTCACAAAATACTTTTCACCTCTTCCCAGAACTCAACCTTCTCTTTAAGCAAGAAGATTGAATAAATGCTGCTGAAACTGTAAACAAGCTCCTCGCCTACAATCACCTATCCCTACACGACAAAAGATCGAGGCGATCCTGTCTCACAACAAAACTTGTATCTCTATCTCATCAAAACATGTACAGTTCTAATTGACTTTATAGTTATATTGTCAGACTTTCTGCCTATAGAGTGAACGTTTTAGTCTTTGTCTGAAATACCATGAAACCGGCTTTCCTTATAATGTTTAGGGTAATGTGAAGTACGGTTTGTTTCTCTCTTTATCTCTGGTTTAACAATGTCCATGTGAACATCCTGTAGAATATGACTATATCAAGTCGGAATAGAAAACACTTCCATGAGGGCAATCAAACCAAAACAGGGCATGAACCCTGAAAGATTGGTTTGGTTTTGTTAAATATTGATCACAGATGCCGATAATCATCAATAATACCATACAGAAAATGTTAATTTGCAGGATTAGGGTTTCTACCAACCTCAACAATTTGTAAAGTCTATCTATCTATCTGTATGTCCTATAGCTTGGACGCCATTGGGGCAACAATGAAATGGCCTTTGAGACACAGGTTCTCCATAACGTTCTGTCTTCAGCTGTCCTAGCTGCTTTTTGCTCAGTTTTCATAGCATTGAACTACCCTGTACTATTTTTTTCTCCCCTTTTCACAATCGGTTTATTTAGCCCCCTACTATTTACCTAACCCAGGCTAAGGAAACCCATGCTGTTTTCACTCGAATAACTAACCCTGGATTATATCTGATTGGACCCGGCATTTCCGCCTTTACCGGTTATCAGCGTTCTCCTTCGCCCCAGACTATTTTGACTTCTAATCTCACTCGAAGGCCTGTATTGCAAATGCACAGGCACATACATGTGTCATAACATTATTATCTTGAATACATTTTCAGTACAGCCCTGAGAGAATTCTTGATTGGTAGACTGTTTTGAAAGCCCATTTTTTGGTACCCATGTTGCAAAACATATTTGGGATGATATAGCTGAGTATAGCTAGACTCATAATGAATATTTTGCAAATGAAACAGTATGATTGCTCCAGCCCCAGCCCCAGCCCCAGCTTTTCACCTTCCCAGCCAAAATGCCAGTGCAAAGCTGAACCCTTTTCCTAAAAAGCGTGTGAACCCCTTCTAATGTTTTATTTCCATATGAAAATGTAAAGATCAATCATCAAAATTTCACTGCTTGAAAAATTCAGTACAATCCAAACGATCTGCTTTTAGGTAGGTTTAATAGCAAAATATAGTGACTTAAAAAGGTGCGTCCGGCTTCCCAAGTGCCAATTGCACATTTATTGAAAATCGTAATTTATCACAATGTGGTAAATGTAGAAGCAGATCATTCGGATATAGAGCTGGTAAGTGCATCTCGATGAGGCTTAATGTTAGCTAAACTTAAATTCAGATACCCTGGTTTAATACCAGGACATGTAGAAAAATAGAAGTTGTATTTAATAGACACCTCTATCTATTATTCAAATTTGCGCTCCAGATGTTTCTTTGTGCATGCAACGTTCATTTTGCCGAGCTACCTTACTATTTATTTTCATGAAGATTGAATACAAATTTGAAGTCAGATCAAGCGAAATAGTCTTTTAGAAGAAAATTCAGATATATATAAACTAATTAAACTTGAGTTCTGGTTAAAAAAAAGAAAATTAATTCTCACAGAATCAAACAAAACTTACACTGAATGTTCAAGATTACAAATAAATGTCGTGTGCCAAACAATTTTGGAAGAAAATGTATGCTGGCTGAGTAATGAGCATAGAAAGATGAGGAAATCAAGGTAGGTAGCCCGAAACTTTTTGTGTAGTCCCATATACATCTTTCTGTGTACAGTGCTTGTTACTTTACCAAGACTGGGCCAAATTTATTAAGATTTTGATGACTCCAGAACCTTGCATGTACACCAATACTTACATGCTACATGATCAACTTTTTTTGATCCATTCCACACTTTTTCTTTTACAATGCAATCGCATTACCAGAACTCACCTTTACCTTTAACTTCTTTTTTGTGGATACAGGTAGGAGCTTCCTTGTTTGCAAGTAACATCGGGAGTGAGCACTTCATAGGACTTGCAGGGTCAGGAGCATCATCAGGTCTGGGTGTGGGAGCCTTTGAGCTCAATGTAAGTCTCTCTCTAGTATACAGTAGGCTTGCGGGTGCACCATGTGAGAGAGAGAGAGAGGATTGAGGAGTCCTGAAAAAGGACTCTGACTCAGTAATCTTTCTTCGGGGTGTGTAGTCCTGAAAAGGACTGTTTGTTATCTTTCTTAGCTTATAGTTCTAAGGAGAACTATAGCGCTTGGAGAGGATGAGTGGTTCAACGTTTCGAACAGGTTGACTATCCGTCGTAAGGAGTGGAGAATAGCTGGCGTATAACTTACGATTACTCAATGTGTATAATAAAGAAAATAGCCATATTTGTATAGCACTTAAAAGTATGTTTGTATTCGCTTTCATCATAATTATTCTCACCCCATCATTTTAAATCATAGAATTCCACTGTTCCAGGTATTAGTTTTGTAGGTTGATTTTATACATTCTAGCTATAAAACATACATTGTATTTTCAAGTGATTTGTACCCTTAACCAAAACAGTGCGACAGGGAAAAAATTAATGAAAACATTTCGGGGGCTACTTTTCAAACTTGCTTGCATGAAAATAACACTCTTTAATTTGTTTTGCATTGAACTCTATGCAAATTTTTTGGGCTCTTTTTTTACTGTCGGGGGCTCTTATGGGCATTTCGGGGGCTAATTTGCCCCGATCCCCCGTGTATTTTTTCCCTGCAGTGTGATATTAATACACCACCCATGACGTTTAATCATTGTTGTTTTGTTGCAGGCCCTTATCTTGCTTCAAGTGATGGGATGGATCTTTCTACCAGTGTACCTTGCTTGTGGTATCTATACCATGCCTGAGTATCTGCAGAAGAGGTTTGGAGGCAGGAGGATCAGAATGTACATTGCTGTTGTCTCACTTATCTTATACATCTTCACCAAGATATCGGTAAGAACACTGTCTTCCATTGCTGTGCTTTCAGCTTCAATGTTCATTCCTCTTCACTAAGATAGCACCAATAATAATAATGATAATAATAGTTCGTCCTTATATAGCGCATTGAGAGGGCCTGAGTGATAGCTCAGTCGGTAGAGCAGTGGTCTCGTTATCCGGTGACCCGGGTTCGAAACCAAGTGATGCGCTAGTGCCCTTTGGTAAGGCATTAATCCTCATTACCAGACCCCTAGGAGTGGACCTTAAGCCGTCGGTCTTCTGGTTGCTTACTAACAAGCGTTTATTGCTTTCTTAGCTGCCAGGTAAAATAACCACCGCTATCACTATCACAAATGTGTTATTCTTGTGTCTTTAGGTTGATCTGTACTCTGGAGCTTTGTTCATCCAGCAAGCCCTCGGATGGAACCTCTATGTGGCCATCTTCTCTCTACTTGCTATCACAGCATTGTATACAGTGACAGGGGGGCTGGCTGCTGTCATCTTTACAGATACTTTACAGGCTATGGTCATGTTGATAGGGGCACTGTGGCTTTGTATTAAGAGTAAGTACAGACCTCTGCAGGCTGGTGCTTTTAATAGAGACCTTTTGGCTTTTATGTTTGGAGTAAATAATAATAATAATCTTTTATAGTCCACTCCAAAATTTATTAAGTTAAACCAAAAACGGAAATTCTTTTTGCCCAATTGATCGTGAGCCCGGCAGCCACTGAGCAGCGCCAGATCGACGTTGCTCTATCCCTTATTGTTGAACGCCAAACAAGGTAGCAGCAACTCCCATCTTTTAACGTCTTTTGGTATGACGTGGCCTTGGTTCGAACCCATGACCTCCTGGTTGTGAGGCGGACGCTCTACTGACTGAGCCAACACACCTCATATTCTGGTACTCTGGTCGTTTTTGATAGAGACTCTTGATCTTTATTGAAAATATTAGAATCAAGTTCAGTCAAACATGTTTTAGTGGCCACCTCTCTATAAAAGCCACCTGTCTATAATGGTCACCTGTATTGCCTCCCTCTAGAAGGAATTGTGTGTTGAAGGACCTGTCTAGAAAGACCACCCGTTATTAGTGGCCACTGTTTGTGTTTCCTGTAGACGGAATTGACTGTATAGTACCTTAAAGATTTATTTGATCCTGGTTTTGGATTGAGAGTACATGTATTAAGTACAGATCTTTGCAGATGCTTTTGATAAAACAACAGTTCTTTATTGAGAACAGATACGCTGCAGATTATGGATAGATTACATGATTCCATTGATTTTCATGTTGGAATACTTCTTTCATAATATTAGACTAAAATATTATTTCTGTAAGTACATTCTCTTGTGAGTATAGACTACTCAATACCGTCGTACTTGGTCTTATAATATAGGGCCCGCACAGAAACCTAAGTCAGACTTGAGAACCACATGCACATGCAGTTTTTATTCTTTATTTTCCCCATACTCCTTTAATATTATCCATAATTTGTTCACATAGAATGTCAAGTGACCTTTTGAAAGGTTGATTTTATACATACTAGCTGTACACAATTGATTTCTTAGGTGAATGATGGTTATATTAAAGTAACACTTTCTGTGTATTTTGTGTTCGTTTCTTTCACTGTCTGGTGTTGTTTCTATTATCCCCCGGTGGGATCACTCAATGTGACTTAGGGACCTCTTGACCGTTACCAAAATCGTGGAAAAAGGGGTCAATTTCATTAATTGATTAATAGGGGTCAGGAAAAGAGAAAAAAGAAAACCGGAAAGAAAAATTCTCGGAGCTGATTCTTGTCCTTGAAATATGGTAAAATAGGGGTAAATATGCGAAAGTGTCCTTCCAATCTTATAAATAGGGGTATTCCAAAGTACGATTTTGTCCTTGTTTTGACGTAAAAAAGGGGGGGGGTAAATTTCACAAAATGTCCTTGAAATTGACGCAAAAGGGGGTTATTTGCATTCGTGGTAACGGTCATATGTGTCACCCTCTGCGGAGGAGTGACCCCACCAGGTATTATGCCCCTTTTTCTACACTGTTTACTTTAGTTGTTCACTGTGTATTGACATTATTATTCTCTCAAGGTTTTCAGGCAATCGGTGGTTACCAGAATCTTGAACCACTGTATGCCCAAGCCATCGCCAATGATACCATCGTGTCAAACAATTCTTGCGGTCTCCCTAGAGATGATTACTTCAATCTCTTCCGTGACCCTGTGACCTCTGACCTTCCATGGCCTGGGTTCATCTTTGGACAGACCGCAGCTTCTCTCTGGTACTGGGCAACTGATCAGGTCTGTTTTATTTTCATTCTTGCCAGTCCAATGGGTTCAAATCTATGTATCATTTTCACTCATACTGAAAACTGTAAAATCAAGACCCATTTTTCCCCCTTCTCATAGTCTAGCTGTTACAGTTCATTTAACCTGTAGCAGATCAGGGATTTCTAAGAGTCTAAATTGATTAAATTTTCCTCCTCAAATTGACAATAACGTTTTATTCATAATTGATTATTTATATACCGGTATATATATATTGCAGCAGAAACAGGCTTACATTTCCAGTGATTTTATGCATTTTCTGCTAAATAGTAATTTCACAATTTGTAATTCCTAGCATTTCTGGATCAATAGATGAAAATGAAACTTGACTAAACTGTTATAATAATAATAATGGTGGTGGCTTCTTATAAAGGCACATGTCTATCAGGTCATCGCTCCTGGCGCTGCCCCGATCATTACCCTGGCTATAACAAGGCAGCCATTACGGCGCTCTAGCATTTCAAGGAATTAATTTCTGCCAGCTAGTTAACTACTTTGTTAACTACCAGGTTATGGGTTAACTACTTTGATACAGCACTAATCCATATACTAATCCTTGAAGTTCCACTCTGTATGCATTCTACAGAGATGGACAATTTAATCTTCATCGATTTCTCTAGTTGCCAATAATAGTTACATTAAGCCCAGTAACCAGTTTGTTCAATCTATGATGAAATGACAGAAACATGTTAATTTCTTTGTAGACATTTAGCCTTAGCAAACTTTCTTCAGGAGAAACCCTAGAATTTAATTTAAATGTCCATTTATATGGAAAATATGAATTTTCTAATATGACAAAAGCTATTTTGCATTTTATGTGCATTTAGTTGCTTTACCGTACTTAGATTTACCTAAAAATGTTTGTGGTTGTTTAGATGATTTTTGGTAAGACCACTGCAGTAAAACAATTTTTTGTTGCAAATTGTTTTGGGTCAATTGTTATTTGGGCTAGACTACTGTATGTTGCTGATTCCTGGAACTTGCTCAGAAGTCAGAAAAGCCACCCTTAACAATGACTTTTGTGTTGTGCACAGAACCTTAAAGCTAATCTTGGGCTCTGGTATGGGAATCGTATGTTGAGAGAACATGGCTATTATTCATTCTGGATTGTTTATCCTGCAGTAGATTGTTTGTTTGAACTGGTAAAAAAAAAAAAATTGCTGGAAACCATCTTCAATAAAAACCACAACTCTCATTTGCACGTAGTGACCTGTTTTTATGTGTCGGGTCTACTAAACTTAATTTCCTTATCTTTCTATGCTCATTACTCAGCCCCTATATATTTTCTACCAAAATCGTTTGGCACGTGTCATTTATTTGTAATCTTGAGCATACAATGCAAGTTTGTTGGATTTTGGGAGAATTTTTTTGTTGTTATCATTACCAGAACTCAAGCTTATCTTTAATGTCTTTAGATGTCAATACTCCGTTTATACACCATGCTCTGGTGATAGGAAAACTGTCGGTAATAAAACCTAGAATGTAATCATGATTTTTATGATAACAGAGTTCATGTTTAATCAGGTAACAGGCTATCATGCTGATTTTGCAGTTAATGCACAATCTGACCTTCATTATAAATGTAGGTTAAGCTTGTATTTTTTCCCCAAATTTTATTTACTTTGAGGCCATTAATAGATTTATTTTCTACCATTAAAAAAAAAAAGCCACATTCAGCATTATTGTGTATGCACATGATAATAATGTTTGTCTAGTATAAAGGGTAATGGCATATCAGTTGGGAGTGGAAACACAGGGTATGTGCCCCAGTTGGCACTTCAATTCAATTCAGTTTATTTGGCATCATAAAAACGCTGAAGGGGATGTGGGAAATATATTATGCGAAAGAGAGGAAGAGAAAGGAGACTAAAAGAAGAACACTAAAAGAAGATCCTCAGTGACAGGAGTGAGAGGGTTCACCGTGTGTCATATTTGTAAAACCTGGTTACTTTGCTTTCTCTCATGTAATTTTCATCAGGAACTTGTTCAAGAATTCAATTCAATTCAATTCAAATCATTTATTTCAAAATTCCAACATGAATTAAAACAATGTGTACAAAAACAGTCAATGGGCAATAAAAACATTATAACAAATATGATATTTCAATCAAATGATGAAGGAGATAAAAAAAAACAAAAAACAAACAAGAATAGCATTCAATGAGAAACAAGGTGAAGAAAGGATGAAAGTTGACCGTATAATATAAAATTCAGTATTAATAGTCTACATAAAAAACATAAGTGGATAATTGAAAAATGGTGAACACAATGAAAGCCGGGTTTGTGGCTCGTTATTTTGTGTGAACACCTAGTTTATGTATTTGTTTTCTTTACATTATTATTATAGAATTTAGACATTGGTCAAGTAATACATAAAACATAGAACATGAGAACATGGAACATAGACATTAAAAACATTTAGAAAAACATATAAGAGCATCAAACAGTATAGTATGGTTCTACATGATGATTTTTTAAAAGATATTGAACAAATTAAGTAAAAGTAATTAATATGAGCAAATTTAATGTGTCTTATATGTTGCCTCCTGAATGTATTATTAAATGAATTATTGAATTGTTCACAATTTACATTATTCCAAAGAAGTGGACTCGAATGTCTCAGACCCGGCCCCCCCCCCCCACTCAGTGTTATTTAGGGTACGCGTATGCATGTTCCCTCCTTTTGAAAACACCTCCCTAAGTCTGGTGTGTAAAGTCAATACGGTCGATTTTTTGTGTGTTAAAAGCCAGACTTTGCTGCGTGAAATGTACCCCTTTACCAGACATTTTTGGAACATGCATGTGGTCCCCTCGTTCCCGGAGTAGGGGGGGGGGGGCGGGGCGGGGTCTCAGAGAGTATCTTGAATAATCATTATTATAGGTCCATCGATGAAATTTGTTTGCATTTCTTGTAGGATAACTATGAATCTGAGAATTTAAAGAAAACATATTCATTAAATATGGAGACAAAGTGTGGGTATCGAATCTTTGCATAAGTTTTTTATATCTAATAACTTCAGTGTACATAATTTCTTAAATAGTGGGGATGAGGGTGTCATATAACTTGAATTAGTACATATATGTATTGCTTTTTTCTGTAATATAATTAATTTGCGTTAGTGTGTACAATAAATATTTTCCCAAACAGTATTGCAGTAACAAATAGTGGAAAATAAACGTATTGTAGATACTAAATAAGACATATGCAGGTAAAATATTTGTCAATCGATACATAATTTCGACATAGCGTGCAACCTTTAGGCATACACAAGTAACATGATCCTTCCAACTCAAGGATTCATTCAAAGTAACACCCTAACAAAGTACACTTTCACTTCTTCGCAAGAGTGTATTATCTATCTATATTTTTATGTTTCTACACTTGATTTCCTCTTTTGTGAAAATAATTATTTTGCATTTTATTGACATTTAATGATAAGTTATTGCACTTAAACCAAGATGATATTTTAGAAAGATTTGCATTTAAAAATTGAAGTAAAAGATCAATATCATAATGACCGGATAGAATGGTTGGGTCATCGGCATATAACATTAAATCACATCCAGGGCAAGAGTTGGTAATATCATATATGTACAATAAAAAATAATAATGGTCCTAAAATAGATTCCTGAGGTACTCCTGTTTTAAAATATGATGTACAATCATTAAAAACAGCACACTGTTGTCTATTTAAAGGGATCCGGTAACTTTGTCTCAGATTCTGAAACAAAATTCTGGATTTAGTTCATGATGCAATGATAATTATAAACCTTTAGGTCAGTCAGGAACCCCATGACTTTTACAAGCCGATCGCCTGTCTGATTATCAAGATATTTATGATTGGAATTACAAATTTTGAAAACCGTTCGCCTGACGGTTTTCATAACACTACAGTCTATTGGGGAAAACGAGTATGGTATAACCGGTCACTCAAAGATTTTTACTTTTTTGAGGCACTTCTTGATCATTTTGAAGCGCGATTTTTTTAGGGCTTCAACGTTACACCATATCACAGACACTGATAACATGTAGGACCGTGTATCTCAGATTTAACATAATATTGTTAAATGATCCCTTTAATAAGTAAGATTCAAACCATTTAAAAGTTGTGCTTCTTATAAGATAATATTGCAAAGAAAGCCAATCAATGGCCTTAGAAAGGTCCATAAAAACACCAATTGCATGCATATTATTATTATTATGTATTATTTTATCCTGTATTTCAGGTAAAGCCATGTCAGTAGAGTGGTTTGAAAGTAGATACATGTAGGTAGGACTTTTTTTTGAGGATTAACATAATACAAAATAAATTAATAATAATGCTAGTTGCTTTATTTTGTAACTAATTGGTTTTCATCAAGTTCATGTTAAATTTCAGTTTTGGATAAAGGGCAGAAAATAGCACTGTAGGTTCACCATTTGCAATTTATAATACAATTTTTAGTGCCTTGCTAAATTAATTTAATAGACAATTGCTTCAGTTAAATCCTTATCCCAAGATCATGGAATAGTTATATAGAATTTTTTTAGAATCAAAATTAAGAAAACACTTCAACTAAAGCTTAGTTGCTGTGCCCCTTTTCTACTTGTGTAAATATGCTGAAGGAAAAATAATGATGTTTTGTATTTCAGGGCTAAAAATGGCCAAAATATGTATTGTCGGTCGCTTTGTTTTCTTTAGGTTCATAGTACCAAGCTTTGGTCATCACTGTAGAAACATAAAGTACAAGCCATGTTAAACAACTTCCAAGAGGTACTACAAGTTCTGAATTAAAAGAAGGAAATAATCTGACGTTATGTTTTTTAAGTGATCATATATATTTGTCTCGCCCACCAAAGGTGGAGAGGAGACTCATTTCTCCAAATTGTGTCCATCCGCGTCCGTCCGTCCGTCCGTCTGTCATCTGTTAAAAATTTTAAAGTTTACCTGCAAGACTCTATTGTCACAAATAACTTCACTACCGTCAATCCTGTTGAAACAACCTTGGGTCACAGACACACTTGGGGGACTTTCACACTTTGGTGCTTTCAAGGGTCACATGCTAAAGTTCAAAGGTCTTTTGAGGTCATATAAATAACCATATTATTATTATTATATGTTAAAGTAGAATTTCATTGCAAATTACAAGTATGACCAGTAACTGATCACTATATATAGAAACCAGGAAACTTGCAGATACCGGTAGGACAATTGTATAACATCAACTGCGTATCTGACAACAACAGAATTTACACAAATTAAATCACCTCTCAGGATCCGGGATATACAAGTGCTTTAAAAAAATATCAGCAAATCCTAAATGTATAGCTAATAAACATATGTCAGAACAATTTTTTCAATAATAAGAGTTTTATTGACTTTAAACATGAACATATTTCACATCATTTTAACAGGGAAGTGATGCTGATTTTGATTTTATCAAATTTGTCTTGTCTCTTTTATGTAGGTGATTGTACAGAGAGCTCTATCAGCTAAGAACCTCTCGCATGGCCAAGGAGCAACGCTGTTTGCTGGCTTGTGTAAAATCACACCAATGTTCTTTATTGTCATGCCAGGAATGATTTCTCGTATTCTATTCCCAGGTAAGTTGATCCATTTATATGCTTTCAGAAGTATTTCATTCTCTTCTCTGGTAAGTTGACCTCTTGACTTCCATGATAAGTTGATCACATGACTTCCATGGTAACTTAACCACATGACCTCACTGGTAAGTTGACCACATGACTGCCATGGTAAGTTGATTACCTGACTTTGATGGTAAGTTGATCACATGAATTCCCTGGTTAGTTATTCACATGACTTTCCTTGAAAATTGATCACATGACTTCTCTGGTAAGTTGATCACATGACAACCATGGTTAGTTAATAATTGTTTTTTTCTTTTCTAGAAATTGATTACACTATCTACTCTCAAAGGGATTGCATTCTGTTTCCTGGTAAATTCATCCCTGACCTACTCTTTAAAAAAGAAAAATCTCTTTTAGGAATGTTGATCATGTGATGTATTCTCTACCTAATAATATTCTCATCTTAATAGTAAGATTGGCACGTTATAATATTCCATATTTTCCCAAGCATGCAGAGCTTTATGCCCTTGAAAGAAACATATTTTAAAGTGGGTTTAAGAATGTCAAATATCATTTCTGTTTTCTTCTCTAGATATTGTAGCCTGTACTGATAATTGTGAGGAGATTTGTGGCTCTAAGGATGGCTGCTCAAACCTCGCCTATCCTCTACTTGTTATGAATGTACTACCACAAGGTTTGTATGTCAGGCTATCATCACTGCTTTTAATCATTCATTACCATATTCATTCCATCTCATTCACATGTACATAGGATATCTATTTTGATGCTGTATATGTTCAGTGAAGATACTTAGAAGCATGTAGATTTGAAATGCTGCAAAATATATTGTTGTTATCATCACTGGATTCACACAAAAATTCCATGATGGATTGTGTTAAATGATAACAACAATGTAGCTTGCAAGATTTCACTTCTGACTTGTCCCCATATTCAGGTGTACTACATATTCCATGATTACATATCAATGCTAAACTTTTGACCACATAATTAACATGGTTCATTTAAAACAGGGCAGTGATGATGAATCAAGCTTGATTTGAGGTATGTATACTCTCTTAAGTATGGCACTAGTAGGCCTACATGTCATGTGAAGGTCTGTTCCAGATTAAGTTGAGTACTGGTCATGTCATTGCATTGTGAAAGAACTGTCTCAAAAAATTCAGGAAATGGTGATTATGTAGTGCTCAAGAAGAATTGTCTGTTTTGAGGTTTGGGGAGTATCGAAATCATAAGATGTTCTCTCAACCTTGCTGAAAATCCCATACACTGAAAAGCACTGCACAAACAAATGAGTGAGTGTACATGGATATATGCGCACATAACATTGAAACTATTAAGACTTGGTTTTTGCTGATTGTAATATTTAAAATATGGGACATATTTCTAGAGCAACCTGTTCCAGGGGATATATCTACAATCACATCTTTCCACGTAGGAACTAAAAGAATGAGCAAGCTCACAAGTGATCATACCAGAACTTTACCTTTTCTCTAAGTTTCTATCACGTTGCTGCTATGTTTAAAGAGAAGGTTGAGTTCTGGGAAGAGGTGAAAAATAATTTGTGAGCGTTATCATTGTTATTGTGGAAGTGTTGAAGAACATCAGGTTAATCATGTTCCTGAAAAGCATGGCTCTTTAATTTCCTTCATATTCTAAATATGGCGTGTAACATCGTAACAATCGGGACAGATTTTTACGCCACGTGTTCTTGTAGTCCGATATACATCTTTCTGTGTACAGTGCTTGTATCTTTACCAAGACTTGGCGAAATTTCTTATCATTTTGATGATTCCAGAACCTTGCAATACACACAAATACTTATATGCTAGATGACTAACCTTTTCTGATCGACTCCACAACGTTTCTTTCACAATGCTATCGCATGACCAGAACTCAACTTCATCTTTAATGTGCAAGTGAAACTCATTCAAGCAATGTCTGTCATAGAGCTTCAACGCATTTCTCGGTCAAAGATACTACGTCCCTTTTGCAGCCAACATCAAATTCTGTAGAACTTTGCAGGAATTATGAATATGTCATGTACCGGTAGGTCCTATCTGTGAAACTTAAATGTTAGCAGTGTCATAGTATTTAAATTATACAAGGAAACCTGTTTACTTTCAAGACTACACTGTCAGACACTATTGAGTGACTGACTGACATCTTTTTTTCCTTGGTAATAACATACATAAAATGAGCTGTAACAGGTACATGCACATTTGTCTACATCAATAACCCACTACTTGTAATGGCCAAAATTAAACTGATTGAATCTTTGCGCAGCACAAAACGTACGGCCATTCAGTAAAAGGGTCTGAAAATCAGACTATTACTTAAGTGATTGCAAATGGGACATAGTACCTTTAAAGCGTGCCAATCACCTAAAAAAGAAAAAAAAACTAAATTCCTAGCCCTCTATGGGTTCATGGTTAAGAAATATGACAAAAATGAAGAAAACTTACATGAGATGATTGGTATTACAAAATATAAGAATCAACAACGGATACAAACATTTTTTATACAGCTTTTCAACTTTCACTCATCTGAATAAATTGCTAGAATAAGCAGAAACCAAAATCGGACAATATGAACTTACGTTCCAAAAAAATAATGGGCTGTGATTATCTGATTTCAGCTTGATGTTCATTCTTGCGATTTACTCTGATGAGTGCGAGACAAAGAATTTCAGTACCAGTACATGTATGTCTGTGTTCTTTGTTATTCTTCAATAGCATAAAAGCTTGTGCATGGAACCAAACTTGAGCATGCATGCGTATGTTTGTCTATTAGTCTTACCAATTGCTTTTATGTTCATTTAGAATGCATTTAAACTTGAAATATCTCCATGAAGAAATAATATTTGAAACTCTTACTTTGATTGTAATACAATAAAGACATGGTGCCCTTGAAATACAGAACAAAGAATTTGCATGTGCTTAGTACAGTTTGCACATTGTAGAAGTCATGTGTTACTTGATTATCATTGTGTTTGTTATCTTTATTGGATTGTAATAATAGGGAGCACTGGGTCCCTCCCTATAGTCATACATTACTTGATTGTTATTGATTTTGTTATTTTTATGTGATCTTCAAGTAAAACAGATGTAAAATGTTTTCTATTCGTCAAATAACATTAACACCACTGATAAGCTACACCACAAATTCCATAAAATTTATTATAAATGTATTATATGACTCTTCAACATTATCTGAAAAGAGTACATTTGACAAGTCTATCTTACCTAGATCAGTAGTGAGAGATGTAATGGAGAAAGCTGTGATATCATGGGAAAAAGATTTATACTCGACATACTAAAATTCATACAAACAGGTGATATATGAAAGACGGGAAAGTGATCACTTATATCAGTAATACAAATTCCTGAAAATGCATCTTGATTAATTGAATTATTGAAAATATTGTCTAACAGTGTAAGCAGAATTATTAAAAATACGGGTTGGTTTATTAATTAATGGATACAATCCTAACGAAAAAAAATCCATTTAAAAAATCACTAATATAGTTGATGATTTATCATATTCCAATAAATTCAGATTAAAATCACCCTTAACATAGTTACTTGTATATTACTTGTGCATATTGTTTGCATAAGTAAAATTAATAAGTAAAAATAAGTAAAATAAGTACAATTAGTCGAGTTACTAGATGGTTTACGATAAACAACCCCTAAAATTACGTATTTCTTTCCACTACGTGTCAAATTTGAAAGAACATAATATTTAATTGACAAAATCATCTTTGATCAAAATTGGTTCAGGGGCGGCTGAAATATAACAATTTCTAATACTTGTGTACCACCACAAATATTAGACATTTTGAAAAATTTGAGAAAAAAAATGTTGAAAAAACGAAATAACGCCTTTTACGTCGTATTTCAGCCAATGTCGAAGTTTGCTTTTTTGTTGGCATTTTCGTGTTGCTTATATGACGCACAACCAGCCGGCCCATGTATTGTTATTTTAATTTAATAATTAATTAACGGTCACCATGTTTTTTTTAAAGTGAATTGGTATGCTCGTATTGGCTAAATTTCACACATTTTGGGGTCTAAAATTACCTTCATAGCAATTTTTGGTTCTAAAAGGGCACTAGAAATGTCGTACATAAGAATAAGAGCAATAACCATGCACTTTGAAGGCATTTGCGGTCTGAAAACAGAACTCAACTATCCCTTTAATGGGTGTACAAGTCTCAAAAACAGCGAACCCATAGTCCCATCAAGAAATACCCCTCAGAGAGTCTTCGGGTGAGATAAATGTAAGATAGTGACTTTCCCATTAGGGGGATGGGTGAAAAATGACTATTTAAGGCCCGTTGTTCATAAAAAAATGAAGGCTAATCCTGATGATTGACAACATCTGTTATACACCTGAATGGTGTTGAATTCCCCTTGAGATCGAGCCCACTTCTATGCAGACACTGTACAGATGTTTGAGTGCTGGCTCTTATATTTCCTACACCCTATATAGTATCATTTCCTAACACATGGTACAATTTATTTGTATGAAAGCCTTTTCTTTGAGTGCTGTGATTAACATTTCAAACCAATAGTCCTTTCGCTAGCTATAACCTGCATGCGTACCTTTGAGTATGAAAATGAACAAACACTTTGTTGTGGTAATATGAACCTTTGAGTCATGCGAAGGAAACTGAAACTATTTAGATTTAAACTGTTTAAATTCAAATAATCAAAATAGAAACGGATTAAAAATTAAATAAAACTAGTTTTTACCTAGACTTGCAGATCAGGCGTTTATAATAATTAAATCTATTAATTATTTCAATTAATATATGTCAAGTAAAAATAATATCCATTTCTTTCTATGTATAGAATTCATTTTTTGATGTAAAGTAGTCATACATTTATCTTTACAAATGAAATAATAAATAAATAAATGAATTACGGAGTAGGCCCATCGCCTTAATGCTTTTCTGAATTCCATACATAGAAAGAAATTGATATATTTTTTGTTATTTTAGTTAATAAATGACTGCTATGCAAGACTAGGTAAACACCTTTATTTGACATTTTTAAATATCAAAGTAAATTATTTGATTGTGTTTGCTGTTATTTATTGATTTAATTCTTATAAACACCTGATCTGCAAGACTATGTAAAAACTAGTTTTATTTAATTATGCCTCCGCCACCGAAGGTGGTGCCGGAGGCATCATGTTTTCGGGTTGTCCGTCCGTACGTCCGTCCGTCCGTACGTCCGTCCGTCCGTCCGTACGTCCGTCCGTACGTCCGTCCCGTTTGACCGTTATCACAATATCTCAAGAACCATTTAAGATTTAAACTTAAGACTCGGGAATAGTATTTATCACCATAGGAAGACGATCTGAGTAGATTTTGGAGTACGTAGGTCAAAGGTCACAGGTCACAGAGGTCAACTTATGAAATTCCTTGTATTGAGTTTGTTAGCGCGATATCTCAAGAACCATTTGAGATTTAAACTTCAAACTTAAGGATAGTATGTATCACCATAGGAAGACGATCTGATTAGATTTTGGAGCACGTATGTCAAAGGTCAAGGGTCACAGAGGTCAACTTATGAAATTCCATACATTGAGATTGTTATCATGATATCTCAAGAACCACTGGAGATTTAAACTTCAAACTTGGTGATAGTGTGTATCACTATAGGAAAACAATCTGATTACATTTTGGAGCACGTAGGTCAAAGGTCAAGGGTCATAGAGGTCAACTTATGAAATTCCATACATTGAGATTGTTATCATATCTCAAGAACCACTGGAGATGTAAAAACTTCAAACTTAAGGATAGTATGTATCACCATAGGAAGACGATCTGATTAGATTTTAGAGCACGTAGGTCAAAGGTCAAGGGTCACAGAGGTCAACTTATGAAATTCCATACATTGAGATTGTTATCATAATATCTCAAGAACCACTGGAGATTTAAACTTCAAACTTAATGATAGTGTGTATCACCATAAGAAGACAATCTGATTAGATTTTGGAGCACGTAGGTCAAAGGTCAAAGGCCACAGCGCACATTATGAATGCAAAAACAGCTTGTGATCGCGTTATCTCAAGAACCGATTGATGGATTCATGCCAAAATTAGGTCATGTTTGTTACTTGCAGAGCCAATGAACTGAGTAGATTCTTGGTTCATAAGGTCAAAGGTCAAAGGTCATGGGCCCATTATGTATGCAAAAATAGCTTGTGAACGCATTCTCATTAGAACTGACAGATGGATTACTATTTAACTCAGAACATCTTGCAGAGCCAATGAACTGAGTAGATTTTATGGTCATGAGGTCAAAGATCAAAGGGTCATATATGTATATGAGAAATTGCTTGTAATCACAATATTCTGAGAACCTGTCAATGGATTACCATTGAACGTGAATTCAATTTTTTTTTCTGTTTTGGTTTGTAAAATTGCTCTATAACGGAGGCATCATTTTCGACTGCGCGCAGTCGAATTCCATCTAGTTTTTAATCTGTTTCTATTTTGGTTATTTGTTGAATTTAAGCACACCCTTTCGGCACACCCGGGGGGGGGGGGGGGGGGGGGCTTTGGATGAATGGTCGCGCGTTCATAGCTATATTTTCTCGTTACCCAGGGTATTGATAAAGCATAACTTCCATTCCTTTTTAAATACATGTGATCATCGTCATTCTTTTTTTTTCAAACCAGTATGTAGGTACTTTTTTGTGATGTAAATAAATGTTTCTTGTATTGCATATTTTTTTCCTGTTACTTCCTACACCAAGCATTCAATGCCCTTTTTATTTCATTCTGAATATAAAACAAGTATTCTAAAAGTCTAGAATTAGAAAGTGTATGTGCATGTGCTAACAGTATTTTTCATATGTTTAGAAATTTATGATTTTGATTAGAAAAAAGCAAAAAAGCAAAAAAGTGAGGCCAAAATGTTAAATATATTGTAATTATAACCACTTACAGGGTGGTCCGAAAAGAAATGAAACCATGTAAATTACAACTTGGAAGGAATGTTGACTGATGTGCACTTCTGAAGAGCACAAAGCATCAAGTCCCTTGTGGTTGGGTTCCTGGAAGCTCTGAGGTTCTTCAATGTTTCTAGTGCAATTCATTTGAGCCATATTAGGCATTTTCAAACAAATTTTATGACTAATATTTCATAATGATTTTGGTTTAGGATATAAATTGATCTGTCATTTCGCACCTGTCATTTCAAAATTGAAACCTATTGCTGTCACCTAGTATCAGATTGATTTTGATGTGATGCCTTTTACAGCTAGGCTTGAAGGCAAGGCGATGCTATAGGTCCAATATGTATTTGAGGATGGCCTGTATGCATGTAGCACTCAGAATGCTTGAAGGCAAGGCAAGGTATTTTACTGACATCGCTACCCTGCTTTAATGTATCTCAATTGCTTCATCTTTCGTCAAAGGCATTCATAGAGCGATTTCCGGTTCCTATACCCAAGCATCCTCACGCTGCATCATTCTATTTGCGATGCATTGTGGGACATGGCTGTCAACACATCCCCACATTATGAACAACAGATGGCAGTATACTGAATCCAAAGTAGTGTCAGTAGAATACCCTGCCTTTAAAGAATTCCAATTAAATATATATAATGCATCTTGGCTGAGAAAAAATTATTGTAGATTTGAATGCCTTGTTCTGAACTATCACTATGAACATGACAGACAAAGAAAGAGGACAAAATATACAATTCCTCATTCTACCCTCAACAATTGCTATGGTAGACAAGGAACATCCTTTCACTGCTATTATTTAAACATGTGGAGAACAGGTGTCACATGCATATTCACCTGTTCTACGCATTTTTACATAATAGCAATGAAGGGATGTTCCTTTGTCTACCACAGTAATTGTTGAGGGTAGAATGAGGAACTGTATATTTTGTCCAATTTCTTTGTCCGTCATGTTCATAGTGTATGAGCCTCTGATTGCAAATTTACTAATAGGAATATCGGTTTTATTATTTGTTCCTTTAATACAGGCATTCGTGGCCTAATGCTGGCTGTGATGCTGAGCGCTCTTATGAGTTCATTGACATCCATCTTTAACAGCGGTTCAACGATCTTCACTATGGACATCTGGAGATTGATTCGTAGGTTTCCTACTGACCAAGAGATGACTCGGCTGGGCAGGAAACAAAACAGGAAATACGAGCTTGAACTCATGATTGTGGGACGGTAAATCTTGACTTACACTATGAACATGACGGACAAAATATACAGTTCCTCATTCTACCCTCAACAATTGTTTTGGTAGACAAAGGAACATTCCTTCACTGCTATTTAATTATGTAAAAATGCATAGAACAGGTGTCACATGTTCTACACATTTTTACATAATAGCAGGGAAGGGATGTTCCTATGTCTACCTCAGCAATTGGTGAGGGTAGAATGAGGAACTGTATATTTTGTCCATTTTCTTTGTCCGTCATGTTCATAGTGTAATAGACCCCTTTCTCATGCACTCACTTCCTGGACCAGTCTATGCTAGGCTGGTTCAGGGACCGGTTCAGCATGAAATTTAAAGTTCTTCTCCCTTTTTTTTAACAAGCACATACAACTTTTCCTTTATAGTACAATAACTTGCAGTAATGGTGATTTTGCACATATTCCATGAGGATTCAAGCCATATTTTACATTCCCTAATCGGAAAAGTAATTTTTAAAGTTAATTTTATGTATAAAAAGGATAGAGTGAAATTGAGGGGATGACATCACTGACTTGCCAATTTACATACAGCTGATGTGATGCATACATGTATCACTGCTGCATGGCTTCATGAAACTATGTGAAACTTTAGAATTCCATTACTTTCTCTTTTTTTTATCCAATTTTTTTTAATCCAATTTTTGACAAAACTTTCACTGTTTTTTGTTTGCTAAATTTTTCTCTCCCGGTATTTATTCAATTCAACTTGCAAATAGGCTGGACTTTCCCCTTTAATAATATGTTATTTATTCAAGAGCAAAATTGTAGGTGAATTGAACTAAATATTTCAGATGTAATAACAGTTTCTCTTTCTTATCCTTCTTTTACTAAATGCATTTGCACAATTCAACACCGGGGTAATAGTTTAAAAACACTGTTACGTAATGCACAAGGAATAGGAACCCGGCCCCCCCCCCCACTCAGTGTTATTTAGGGTACGCATATGCCTGTTCCAACCGACCCCCCCCCCCCCCTTTTCAGCAAAAGTCCGGTGTGTAAAGTCAATACGGGTCAACCTTTTTCTTTTGTTACGAAAAGGACATTTTGGCAACACGCATGGGGTCCGTCCGTTCTCGGAGTGGGGGGGCCGGGAATAGGAACCTTTTATCTTTTCAAAATGAACAAATGAACAGATGTTTGTTTATTATTTTGGTAAAGAAGTGTGAAATCAAATTTTCTGTCTGTTCTGCATTATAATCATTTGCAGAACAGTCGAGCTGAAATTTGCAACCCTTTTTACTTGTTATCAAAGCTCACCCCGACATTATCTTGGCTAAATAATAGTAACAAAATCCTCTAACTCTGACACGTGAATGGTGGTGGATATTTTACCTGACTCCTAAGAAAGCATAAATGCTTGTAAGTTAGCAACCAGACGGCTGACGGCTTTAGGTCCTCTCCGAGGGACCTGGTAATGAGGATTAATGCCTTACCAAAGGGCACTAGTGCATCGCCTTGGTTTCGAACCCGGGTCACCGGATTACAAGACCACTGCTCTACCGACTGAGCTATCACGCCTCCTCTAATATTGAACAAAGATTTGATCTTTTTGAAAAGATATACCGGTACTACTTTAGGTAGATTATTTCCAGAATGGAATAATAAATGAATGAAGTGATACATTTTGTTTCCAGGGTGTTTGTGGTCATTCTGGTTGGTATCAGTGTGCTCTGGGTTCCTATAGTGATGAGTGGAGAAGGTGGACAGCTCTTCCATTACATACAGCAGATCACCGCTTATCTTGCTCCATCCATTGCTGGTCAGTATAGATTTTCATTCTATTCACCTCATATTGGTAGTTTGGTGTTGAAAAATTAGTCCTTTCTTCCAGGCCGGATAAAAACCTGAATTTAAATCGGTTTCCTGATTTTTTTGATTTTTTTTTCCCAATTTTTTTGTTTTTGTTTACCTGATTTGTTTTCTTCCCGATTTTATCCTGCTTTTCTCCTTATTTTCTCTATTCTTTCCTATTATTTCCCAATTTGTCTTACTCTAAAGGGGGGAATGTTGTTAGATGCCCTCTTTTTTTTACTCAAGGGGGGCATGATTTAGGGGAGAATTTTTTTTAAATTTTTTTTAGCGTCTACTGTCACCCCCTTTTCTTCACAATCATCCAAAAAATGACCTGTTTCGACACGATTTCGCTTGCTATCCTGCAAGCTTCTTTAGACCTATGTCGTAGCTGTTGCTGAGGCAGCTAGTGCAGATGCAGTACGTGTGGTAGAATGGGAACGTACGTTGAAGAAAGAGTATATTGTCTTATGTCTTCGTTCATGGAATTGTCATGCTCTGGGGGATGTGTATATGGACTAGGTTATCAATCTGGTGAAGCTTGCAGCACAACGAGTGAGAGTTAACCAAAACAGATAATCTTTCCTCTAATTGTGAAGAAACAACCAATTTCAAGTTATGTCATCACCAATCAAATGGACATATTTAGTGATTTTTTTTGTAGTTCAATGGCTGTTGTTTCAAAATCTCATTTAATCAGATTCAGAGAACTGGCAATTTAAAGGTCCTATGCAATGCAAATGCATGTTGACTTGTGTCGATTTGTAATACCCTGATCATCACTTATGTCGCCAAAACAATATCTAAACATGTGCCATATATTTTATAATAATTGTTCTGCTATTTTTCTTCAGATTACTTTGATCCGCCCACGAAAAAGCTTCCAAACCAAGATTCTGCTGATGACATCTTCTGCCAATCACTGCTAAATTACTAATTTGATTAACAAAAAACATTAGAATGCACCTCCCCCTGAACTGAGCATAACTAGCATGTTCCCTCGCTACTAATATGAATCATAAAAGACAGTGCATGGCAACATGCAGGTTATGTTCAGTTCAGGCGAAGGTGCATTCCAATGTTTTTTGTTAATCAAATTAGTAAATTTAGCAGTGATTGCACATGTTAATATAACTGTAACATTGTTTTTTGTTTGTTCCGTAGGGCTGTTCACTGTTGCATTGCTATGGGAACGCATCAATGAAGCAGGTGCCTTCTGGGGATTAACAAGTGCCTTCATCATTGGTTTGATACGTATGGTGCTGGACTTCATCTACCCATCACCTGGTTGTGGAGAGGAGGATCATAGACCTGACGCCATCAAACATCTACTCATTCACTACATGTACTTTGCTCTATTCCTCTATCTATGGACTATGCTGATTGTCATCAGTATCAGTCTCTTCACCAAACCTATACCAAAGAAATATGTAAGCCTTTCAGTTTTTATATCACAACCAATCTCAAACCACATGACTCCTGTTTTAAAAATCATAACATTGGGTTGTAGACCACTGATGTTTTAAAACTCATCTTATTGAGTTGTAGACCACTCTTGTTTGAGAACTCACCTCAGTGGGCTGTAGATCACTCTCGCTTAATTTAAAAACCCCTCCTGTTTTAAAACTCATCTTGTTGGGTTGTAGACCACTCCTGTTTTAAAACCCATCTCATTGGGTCGTAGACCACTCCTGTTTTAAAACTCATCTCATTGAGTTGTAGATCACTCCTGTTTTAAAACTCATCTCATTGGGTTGTAGACCACTCCTGTTTTAAAACTCATCTCATTGGGTTGTAGACCACTCCCGTTTTAAAACTCATCTCATTGGGTTGTAGACCACTCCTGTTTTAGAACTGATCTCATTGGGTTGTAGACCCCTCCTGTTTTAAAACCCATCTCATTGGGTTGTAGACCACTCCTTTCCTAAAACTCATCTCATCGGGTTGTAGACTACTCCTGTTTTAAAACTCATCTCATTGGGTTGTAGACCACTCCTGTTTTAGAACTTATCTCATTGGGTTGTAGACCCCTCCTGTTTTAAAACTCATCTCATTGGGTTGTAGACCACTCCTGTTTTAGATCTGATCTTATTAGGTTGTAGACCACTCCTTTCCTAAAACTCATCTTATAGGGTTGTAGTCCCCTCCTGTTTTAAAACTCATCTCATTGGGTTGTAGACCACTCCTGTTTTAAAACTCATCTCATTGGGTTGTAGACTACTCCTGTTTTAGAACTGATCTTATTGGGTTGTAGACCACTCCTTTCCTAAAACCCATCTCATTGGGTTGTAGACCACTCCTTTCCTAAAACTCATCTCATTGGGTTGTAGACCACTCCTGTTTTAGAACTGATCTTATAGGGTTGTAGACCACTCCTTTCCTAAAACTCATCTCATTGGGTTGTAGACCACTCCTTTCCTAAAACCCATCTCATTGGGTTGTAGACCACTCCTTTCCTAAAACTCATCTCATTGGGTTGTAGACCACTCCTGTTTTAGAACTGATCTTATAGGGTTGTAGACCACTCCTTTCCTAAAACTCATCTCATTGGGTTGTAGACCACTCCTTTCCTAAAACCCATCTCATTGGGTTGTAGACCACTCCTTTCCTAAAACTCATCCCATTGGGTTGTAGACCACTCCTGTTTTAAAACTCGTCTCACTGGATTGTAGACCACTCCTTTCCTAAAACTCATCTCATTGGGTTGTAGACCACTCCTTTCCTAAATCTCATCTCATTGGGTTGTAGACCACTTCTTTCCTAAAACTCATCTCATTGGGTTGTAGACCACTCCTTTCCTAAAACTCATCTCATCGGGCTGTAGACTACTCCTGTTTTAAAACTCATCTCATTGGGTTGTAGACTACTCCTATTTTAGAACTCATCTCATTGGGTTGTAGATCACTCCTGTTTTAAAACTCATCTCTTCTTCTTCGGGAGTACTCCTCAACGTTCCGTTAGGAACCAAGCGAGGAGGAATGAGGGGGTGCGCACTGTGCTTGTTTAGTTCTTATTGCTTGAGTCTTGGTTGCGGAAAAAGTTGGTTGCTTGGAGTTTGAAGGTGTCAATGTTCGTGGTCCTTTGGATGTCGGAGGGTAGTGAGTTCCAGTCCTTGATGGTACGTGGAATGTAGGAGTGTTTAAAACAATTGGTGCGGGTGGAGTATTGGATGAAGGAGTTGGGTTGCAGACCGCTTCGGTTTTAAAACTCATCTAATTGGGTTGCAGACCACTCCTATTTTAAAACTCATCTCATTGGGTTGTAGACCACTCCTGTTTTAAAACTCATCTCATTGGGTTGTAGACCACTCCTGTTTTAGAACTGATCTCATTGGATTTTAGACCACTTCTGTTTTAGAACTGATCTTATTGGGTTGTAGACCACTCCTTTCCTAAAACTCTTCTCATTGGGTTGTAGACCACTCCTTTCCTTAAACCCATCTCATTGGGTTGTAGACCACTCCTTTCCTAAAACTCATCTCATTGGGTTGTAGACCACTCCTGTTTTAAAACTCGTCTTACTGGATTGTAGACCACTCCTTTCCTAAAACCCATCTTATTGGGTTGTAGACCACTCCTTTCCTAAAACCCATCTCATTGGGTTGTAGACCACTCCTTTCCTCAAACTCATCTCATTGGGTTGTAGACCACTCCTTTCCTAAATTTCATCTCATTGGGTTGTAGACCACTCCTTTCCTAAAACTCATCTCATCGGGTTGTAGACTACTCCTGTTTTAAAACTCATCTCATTGGGTTGTAGACCACTCCTGTTTTAGAACTCATCTCATTGGGTTGTAGACCCCTCCTGTTTTAAAACTCATCTCGTTGGGTTGTAGACCATTTCTGTTCTAAAACTCATCTCATTTGGGTTGTAGACCACTCCTGTTCTAAAACCCATCTCAAACCAGACTATTCCTTTTCTAAAACCCATCTCAAACCAGTCCATGCACTCCTGTTTTAAAACCCATCTCAAACTAGACCACTTCTGAAACCCTTGCAACGTCATGCCACAGGAAATGAAAAACATTCTATCCCGACAACGGATAGTCAACCTGTTCGAAACATCGAGCCTCTCCCGCCACCCATCCTCTCCAAGCGCTATAGTTCTCCTTAAAACTATATGCTAAGAAAGATAACCAACAGTCCTTTTCAGGACTACACACCCTCAAGAAAGATTACAGAGAGTCCTTTTCAGGACTCCTCAATCCTCCCTCTCTCTCACATGGTGCATCCGCAAGCCTACTGTATATTCTATTCAAGAGTTGTAAATTTGTGATACCAGTTCACACGTTTAAAGGTATTACAAAGTTTTGGTATGGGGTCATGAATTTGGTTCAAATTAACATATTGGAAGCATATGCGTTCAAACAATATAAATTGATCGTTGTCGCGGTTGAAATCGAGTCTAAAGTTATGAAATTATAAATAATAAACTCTTTATGTTGTTTAGCTCCCTCTCAAGGTCAAGATATTAATTAAGCTATAAAACAATGTTTCTTTACTAAAATCGACCGATTAGCTATTCCCGTTTGGAAATTATGTATCCCAACTATATCTTCTGAGATTTTCATGGTCGCAGCTACCATTGTACGGCTATAGGCGCTATTGGAAATTTATCAAAATTTACCGGGAGCACCGGTAAATTTTTATATTCAATTTTTCTCGAAAACAGAAGTGTTTTAGGGGCTAATTTTTTTGAGGGCTTATAATACATCCACAGGGGCATCCAAATATATCAAAATTGTAAAGATTCACTACCCACCCAATTTTCAAAATTTCCCAAAACTTTGTATTACCTTTAAGGGTAACAGGTTAACAGGTTATATAAATTGAAAGGTGCTTTGTTTTCTTGATTGATATTCTTCAGCTGTATCGTTTGACGTTCTGGACGAGGTTTAGCAAAGCTGAAAGATGGGACATCATGGCTTACCAGGCAGGCACGGAGGAGGAGGAAGAGGTGGATGGCAGTACACGCACCAATGACAAGTATGCACCTTTAGAGCTTGATGATGAAGCAGGACATGAGATCGACCCACAAGACAAGAATGACTCTCAAGGTTAGAATCATAAATATAAATATAATCACTTTGCATCAAACTATTCCAGATTTTCCTAACATATTCTGATAGATTATTGCACTTTTTATCCAGTTAGGATTGCCTCTCAAAAAGAAAATACATTTACAAAGTACCAGTTAATGGAACATTTTGGCAAGTCGTTGCCATGTTTTGCAGAAAGACACTTTTTATGCCTCCGCCACCGAAGGTGGTGCCGGAGGCATCATGTTTTCGGGTTGTCCGTCCGTACGTCCGTCCCGTTTGACCGTTATCACAATATCTCAAGAACCATTTAAGATTTAAACTTAAGACTCGGGAATAGTATTTATCACCATAGGAAGACGATCTGATTAGATTTTGGAGTACGTAGGTCAAAGGTCACAGGTCACAGAGGTCAACTTATGAAATTCCTTGTATTGAGTTTGTTAGCGCGATATCTCAAGAACCATTTGAGATTTAAACTTCAAACTTAAGGATAGTATGTATCACCATGGGAAGACGATCTGATTAGATTTTGGAGCACGTATGTCAAAGGTCAAGGGTCACAGAGGTCAACTTATGAAATTCCATACATTGAGATTGTTATCATGATATCTCAAGAACCACTGGAGATTTAAACTTCAAACTTAGTGATAGTGTGTATCACTATAGGAAAACAATCTGATTAGATTTTGGAGCACGTATGTCAAAGGTCAAGGGTCACAGAGGTCAACTTATGAAATTCCATACATTGAGATTGTTATCATGATATCTCAAGAACCACTGGAGATTTAAACTTCAAACTTAGTGATAGTGTGTATCACTATAGGAAAACAATCTGATTAGATTTTGGAGCACGTAGGTCAAAGGTCAAGGGTCACAGAGGTCAACTTATGAAATTCCATACATTGAGATTGTTATCATAATATCTCAAGAACCACTAGAGATTTAAACTTCAAACTTAATGATAGTGTGTATCACCATAGGAAGACAATCTGATTAGATTTTGGAGCACGTAGGTCAAAGGTCAAAGGCCACAGCGCACATTATGAATGCAAAAAAAACTTGTGATCGCGTTATCTCAAGAACCGATTGATGGATTCATGCCAAAATTAGGTCATGTTTGTTACTTGCAGAGCCAATGAACTGAGTAGATTCTTGGTTCATAAGGTCAAAGGTCATGGGCCCATTATGTATGCAAAAATAGCTTGTGAACGCATTCTCATTAGAACTGACAGATGGATTACTATTTAACTCAGAACATCTTGCAGAGCCAATGAACTGAGTAGATTTTATGGTCATGAGGTCAAAGATCAAAGGGTCATATATGTATATGAGAAATTGCTTGTAATCACAATATTCTGAGAACCTGTCAATGGATTACCATTGAACGTGAATTCAATTTTTTTTTTCTGTTTTGGTTTGTAAAATTGCTCTATAACGGAGGCATCATTTTCGACTGCACGCAGTCGAATTCCATCTAGTTTTCTCAATTATCTGATTTCTTCATTTTCCCATCACGTTTTATGTTTATTTAATTCATTTTTTGATCTCTTTTCACCCAAAAGATTATGGTTTCACAGTGGTACTTTTACCAGTAAAAATGTAATTGATGTATACACTGCACATGGAACTCAACTTTTCTCCTTTTTTTGTTTTATTTCAAAGGTTCAGATGAAGATGAGAGCTGGTGGCATAGATCTTTTAATTGGTTCTGTGGCCTCTCCAATCGGGAGTCCACAAGCAGCGTTCAGCTTAAAGCTCGGGAGTCCTTACAGATGGCAAAGATTGTTCAGACCAAGAGAGATAAGATTATTCTCAACGTCACATGTGTCTTTGTTCTCATGATAGGAGTAGTTCTATATGGGGTTTATGCTTGATCAGTGTGTATGTGTGTGTGTGTGTGTGTGCACACTGCCATGCACAAAGGAGACACTAGCTTGTTTTTCTGAAGGTTCATAAATCCAAAGGTTTGTGATACCGAACTAGAATTTTACCATAGGAGGAACCGCAATGGTTCAATGCTAAGCATTGTTCCCAAGTTTGAAACCAAGTCTATGCTCTAGTGCCCTTTGGTAAGGCATTAATCCTCATTACCAAGTCCCTCGTAGAGGACTTACAGCCTTCAGTCCCCTGGTTGCTCACTTACAAGCGTACATGCTTTCTTAGCAGTCAGTTAAAACAAACCATCAAACCATGAATATGCTAGGACTTCATAATTCTGCTTAATTGTTGCATTCTTCTGGTCCATAATTCCAAAAGTAAAATGGGTTTCACTATTCTGAGGTTTCGTAATTTCAAAAATGAAATGTGGGTATAATCCGGAAAAAAATGACACAGGGTTCTCCGTCTCTTTCAGTACTGTGAACCATTGGAATTATGAACCGTATTTCATTTTCGGAATTATGAACCCTTTTTCATTTTTGGAATTATGAACCCTATTTTATTTTCGGAATTATAAACCATGATCCTACAAAATGGTGACCTGGAAAACAACGAACCTTCGGTATTATAAACCTTCGTGAAAATGACTTACCCCATCACATGATAAACTGTCCAATGTTGCAAATTACATGTATGAAGTAAATAGCAAATTGAATTCTGTAAAGAAAAATTGATATTTTCAAGCCTTCCTCCATTTTTGACTACTCTTGAAAAATGTATAGCTCAGTATGGTATTAAATACCTCATTGTATAATGCAAGGAGGCTGTGCATTTGTCTTCCCTTGAAAAAAAAAAGTTTATCTTAGTTTTACTATGTGTTCTTGTGGGGCAATATAATATTTCAATATATATATATACGTATATATATAAAAGTGCGGCATTTTCAACTCTGACATATAAATATATAACATAACTAAAGCAACCACGGTTGTAATATCCTACTAATCATCTTTAGGCATGGTCATCTGTATTGACATTTTTTCTCTCAATTTCAAATTTTATAACTTTAGTAGAATGTTGCAAATTATGGCCTGTGAAGCACTGTTATCTCTATAACATCTTTTATTACTTGAGAAATGTACTGAACAACATTGAACTTATATTGTTGTAGAACCCACAATTCAATTAACTCTAAACTTTTGGATGTCAGGATGTATTGACCTTGACACCTAGAAATTGTTTTATAAAACTTGTTATCAAGAACAAGTTTCAATAACTTCAAGTTCAAGTTCACTTTATTCAATACTTTCATTAAAAATATACAAAGGAAAACAAACATATAAAAGTTAAAATATAATACATGTATCAATATATAACATCAGAATTACACAAGTGGAGAAGACATGAGGAACAAGGGGAAAACATTCAAAACATGTACATTAATGAAAGTATTTGGAGACTAGACAGGAAGGCCGGGTCTTATGTAAAAGTATGTCTCCAGGAATTATATAAGAAACTAAGTACATTATTTAAATTTGTTATTTGTTATAAAAGGAAGAAAAAAGGAAATAATTTGCATTCACACATACACTCTCTCCCAAACACACCAACACACACTTTTCTGTCTAATGAACATTAAGAATATTAGGTTATTGCACTATTGAGTATTGTCTTAATAAGTACAGTTTAAATTTTATTTTAAAACTATTTAGTGATGGGCTCAGTCGAATATCTATTGTTTTGTCGTTCCAAATTTTGGGACCCCTGAAAAAAAAATTGTATTTTGGGAAACTAGTGTCTAACAAGTTGTCTAACTGTTATAAGCTACTGAAAGTGTTGCATTTGATTGGCTGAGAACATATTTTTGTTATAGAATTGTAAAACTTGTTATCAATAACAAGTTGCAATAACTGTTATAAACTACTGAAATGTTTGCATTCGATTGGCTGGGAATGTTGGCTGAGTGTTGGCTCAGTCAGTAGAGCGTCCGCCTCACAACCGGGAGGTCGTGGGTTCGAACCCCGGCCGCGTCATACCAAAAGACGTTAAAAGATGGGAGTTGTTGCTACCTTGTTAGGCGTTCAACAGTAAGGGATAGAGCAACGTCGATCTGGCGCTGCTCAGTGGCTGCCGGGCTCACGATCAATTGGGCAAAAAGAATTTCCGTTTCGGTTTAATAAAATTTGGAGTAGACTATTAGGCTATTATTATTATTATTATTATTATTATAAATGTGAAACTTGTTATCAAGAACAAGTTTCAATAACTGTTATAAGCTACTGAAATAGTTGCATTCGATTGGCTGAGAATGTATTTGTTATATAAATATAAAACTTGTTATCAATACTGAAATGAGGCCTAGAGGTTTCATCATCTTTCTTTTTCACTGATGGTCTGTATTTACATTTACAGAGCAAGCTATTAATACGTTTTGATATGGCCGGTACATGCCTTAGTTTACATCTCATTTCAGAAACGAAAATGGAAATGTTCAAAATGTTTTAGCATTTGCATGTATGGTACATGTGTGCTAGAAGGTTAAAGATATGTTATTTTAATACAATTGATTTAAAGAAAGTACCGGTAAATATTTAGATGTGCCACTTCTACCTCTTGAATGCAATGCTGTCATTGTCCATTGCATACTAATTATTTAAATTTCAATATTACGTGAAGCACTGTATTTGTTTGTGCCTTTCAGGAGAAAATTATCAAGTCTGATAATCTTTAATTGTAGCAATTGCAATTGTAGTACTTTCATATATTGTAATATGTCTTGATCAAATATTCTTATCACTGATTGTAAGTTTTTTCCTTTTAATATTTTTTTGTGAAGCAATGTATTTTTGTTCCTTCCCTTCAAAGGAAATGGGTATATATAGAAACCAAAATCAAAACTATTTCTTCTTAGTATGTCTAAAAGCCAGAACAAAATGAAGCTTGCAGACATAAGGTATGGTCGGTGTGTTTGTTTATTCGAGACTCTGCCTGTGTCTCGTATATAGTACAAGGCTTGCCTGGGAAGCATGTGTATTCATTCATGCTACAGGTCTTATATTGAACCTCTCATGTATTAATTATAATCAGGTGTAGATGCACATTGTGCAGGAATAGGGACTTTCAGATTCGCACGACGGATAACGTGGACTGCCCTTTTAAGGCAATGTGACGTCACTGCCAGTGCCTTAAAAATATGTCACATTGCCTTAAAAGGGCAGTCCACGTTCTCCGTCGTGCAAAATCTAAAAGTCCCTAATGAATCTGAAGACCGGGCCAATAAAAATATCCGATTCTGTAAAGTGCTTTATATAGAGACGGTATTTCGTATTGGGCGCAATATAAATGCAGTTTTATTATTATCATCATTATTATGTGCTAAATTTGCTTTAGTTAGAGGAGTACAGTGTCTTGGTTTGGGATTTCCGTTTGACCCATGCAGTATTCACCAGCCAATAGTATGCTGTAAGATAGTTGAAACACTCTGTTTTGGTGGAGAACTTAAAATAATTATACAATGTCGAGTCACCTGTTGTTCTGAAAATTCCCACCCCAAACGGGAAACGTACTTTAAAAAATTCAGTTAGCAAGCTAATGTACTGTTTTGTTTTTGTGAAACTCAGTATATGCAAATAAACACACTGCCATGACATATTTTGAAATATATATAACAAAACCTGTATTAGTGGCCTCCTCTCTATACAGGTCACCTATCTATAGTGGCAATATATTTTCACTTTCAAATACAAAAAAACGTGTGTTGAAAAACCTGTTTAGTAGGGTCACCTGTTTACCGTGGCCACTTCTTCTGTTTGTCTTCAGTGACCTAAAAAGACAGGTTGGACTATACTCTGTAAATAGTACGTCTATTGTTCATCTTGGATTCTAAAACAGTAAACAAAAGCGGAAAAGAACATGCGCTAATTGTGCAAGTTCGTCAGTATGCTTGTATAATTTTTTTATTTTTATGTGACTCAGAATGCTACACATATCTGTTTTGCTTTGTTTTACATTGTAAAATGTTGTAACACATGGATTAAAGAGTATCGTTGGTATATTATTTTATTTGTGTGTAATGTGTTCATTGTTCCTTATTTTAGCATGACTCTGAATATACCCAATTTATACATTCGTCCTTTGGTTTAAAAAGTTTAAAAGTTGTTCATCAAATTCAGAGTGCAAAGTCTTCTAACAAGCATTTATGCTTTCTTAGCAGTCAGGTAAAATTACCACCACAACCAATTAAGTTACCATCACAAAGTTGAGTAATATTCCATAAAATAGAAGTGAAATGAAAGACGAAGCATCCACACCAACCACCGAACATGCACGCACGCACACACACACACGGACGCACCCACACATACGCACACACAGCGCATGTATAAATTACATGTTTGAGAATGCTGTGCTAACTGTTTTGGAGGTCAGATAATGTCCTACAAAATAATCAATTTAGACGTAATGTGTACACTTTGCAAATGGCAATTACATAACTAACAGCTTGTAAATGTTACTGGAAAAATACAAAAAAACTTATGACAAAATTTACAAGCTGCTAACTATTGGGTGGGGCTAAATCCCGGACCACGGAAAGTAAAAATAGTCATCCCATGGACTATGAAGGCTGGAATTCGTGATATGTTAACTGATCTTTAAGCTTCAAACATTTATCAATTTTATTATATAATTATCTGTCGGAAGTCATCACTAATATTGTTTTCCTTGCAATTCTCCTTTCCTCCGAACCAACTTTTTTTTTTGGGGGGGGGGGGGGGGGGCATGCAATTCGTGAGAAAAATCTCTTTTTTGTTTGTTTTTTTCTTCTAAATTTATCTGCATTTAGTATGTACATGGAATTCAGGGGCTCAAACAAGGCGAAATTGCATTATAGTAATGATTTGAGATAACTTGTGACAGACTTGATGTCCTCAGATTCTTGTTTGTTTGATTTCAGAACAAAAATGTCTAATAACAACAACTGCATAACTGAGGCGGGCTGAAAAGGGGGGAAATGAGGGGGCGAGAAACTGGGAATTTTTGTTTTCCTTATTTCTCACCAAATATGAAATGACTGCATAAAAAATCCCAATGAACATTCTAGGTTGACTTATTGTCGTGTCGACATATTTCACGGTGTGGTTAACGAGAACAAAGAACTATCACGAGGAATTGAACCACCCAAGCACCGAGAAGAAGTAGTTTGCCATTTTCCCCTCTTTTTGCACTTCCTAGCTAGCTTTATTCGACACTGTCCTTTTGTTTCCTCTTTGTTTGCTCGGTAGTGCTCCAAACCTTCGCTTGCATGTTGACATCATTATGTGTGTGCGTGCACCAGTGAATAACAAATTTCCGGAAAATCATGTCATTTCAGCAACATTTATTGTTGGGTGTACTTTTTGTTCAATTCACATGCACTGTATACCGTGTAAACCAGCTATATTAGGGCCATTTTGTGAGGCATAAATCCTCAATACTGTCAGTTATGACTTAAGGACGTAGGTCCCCCAGTTGATTAGCATAGTAGCGCACACATGCTTTAGCAATCACGTAAAACAAACACTTGCAAACTATTGTTCAATAACATCATAGAAGGTATACTATTATTTAGATCTATAAGGAATAAATCATTGTCAAAATCGTTCCATAAATTGGGGTAAAATTTTGTTATTCCACCATTATGACCAACAGTGTATATAATAGGTTTGGATGGGTGGTAGGAATATGGTAATCCCTATCGCACTTCAAAATGCTCAAGGGGTTACCATTTAACAATACGTCTTGTTTAGGAGAACACTTTTGTGAAATACCCGTTTAGGATGTGATTTCGGGGAAAACCACGCGAAATCCTCATTTAGGGTGCATTTTGGCTTTAGAAGAAATCCTCGTTTAGGGGGTGTCTGGAAAACCTGTGGTCACGCACGCTTACAGTATTTCTACATGACTGAGGCCCCCGGGGCTACATCCTCATCCCTGTATCAAGGGGACCGAATATATGAAATTTGTAGAGTCATGTATTCAGCAAGGTGCCCGCATGCATAACTTTATATCTGTCCTTGTGTGTAATGAATACAAAATAATATTTGCACATAACAAGTGTCATTCGTTTATCACCCGCGAATGTAATGTGCGTGCCCGTACAGGGGCGGCGATCCCGGGGGGATGGGGGACAAGCCCCCCCCCCCCTCAATTTTGTTTAGGGGGGATCGCCCCCTCCCCCTGAAAATTTGAAGTGCACACACAAAATTTATAGCAAATACGGACTAAAGGCTGCAACGTACTTTTAGGCTCTGGAGGGCCCAAGAATGCAGCGTTTAAACAATTAAAAATGCAAAAATCTTCTCACTCGGTAGCTATACGCTCCCTCGCATAATATCCTTCAAAGGTTGTAAAGATTGTAGAAAAGTGAGGTGTAAACAAAGTATTTTGCTTGTCTTATTCTATAATTTTGCTAAGGAATGTCATTTTTTCATACAAATAACTTCAAAAACGTGTGAGGAGGTAGTCACTTCCGCCACATACACCCATCTCGTTCACTAGGCTCCTTCGCCCTTGCCTACGGATGGGAGGGGGTGGGAAGGCTTGGGGGCAGTCCCCCCCCCCAAAAAAAAAAAAATAATTCGATACCAGTGATTTAAAAATGTTGCTGAAATGGCATGATTTTCCACTGAGCTTCCGGGGGCTCTGCCCCCTGGACCCCACCAAGTGCCCTAAGGCGGGCCCCTGTATGGATGCTCATCTGACCTTTATTAAATGCCTAAAAGCCCTGAACTTCTGGGGGCTCCTCACCCTGGACCCCAGTCCAACCTGGATGCCAGTGTCACAAATAAGGTATCAACATATGCTCATCTGCATGACCGTCATTAAATGCCTGAAACCCCTGAGCTTCATGGGGCTCCGCCCCTTGACCACACGTCAATTTACGCTATCCACTTGCTTTGCTCGCTTTGCTCTACCTGATCGTAAATACTTTAGCCCCCCCCCCCCCCAAACAAAAAAAAGGTTTTGCTCATTACGCCACTGCTCCCTCGTCCCTCGCGTTTCGTCCGTACCCTGGTAGGTTCCATTGTGGAAGGATTATGGTTCCAGGGTCGGCCAAAACAAGGAAACTCTAACAAGGAAACTGACGTGATCCTAAGTCAGCATATTATGACCATGGACGCATTGATTATCACGCGTCGATGCATCCCGGCCCGCCCCCACGCCGGCCCACGCCCCGGTCGCGTCTTTTTTTCCCGTAACCTAGCCATCCTAGAATGCATATTAATATTTGAATATATAAATGTTTGCGTTGGTACGGTGTGGTGGAGATCAAAATTAAATCAGCCAGTCGATTCTTTACTAAACCAGTATGTCGCAATGATTAAGGACAAGTTACGACCTGGGTAGTCATCATTCGTTTACGGTAAGCCTCCCGATTTTGTCGCAATGTCATTTATGTTAAGTAAACTTAGCTTTGCACTTGTAATTTTTGTATGAAATCTTATATTTGATAAATTATCGCGTCGGATTTTGTGTGCGTGCGTATCATGGATATTGATGACTAGCGCATGACGTATAGGTCATATTGAGCCAATCAAATGCAGCGACAGGATGTTAAGTTGCCCCAGCGCGCGAATTTGCACAGGCGCTTTCGCACAGATCGAGCTCTAGCTCCAAGCTACGAAATATTACGACTCGACTACAATATCTCGTCTGATAAAGAACCAACCAGACTATGCGTAAGTAGTCAAATTTGCCTAAATGCCCAAAATACAACCACCAACAGCAACAACAGTTATTAGGTCAATCAGAGAGTAACTACGTTGGTCAATAGTCAATGCAGTATCCCCGGGACGTGTTACGGAATTAAGAGCGAGTTCGGAGTTTATAATTGGCGAGGACTGTAGCAGGCCGCCCATCAGACAGCCAACAGGTAGATGAACTATGGAAGGAGATGAAGTATTTGTGTCACCCATGGCCAGCATGGATGGAAAACAAGGACTCGTTGCTGTGGATGTCGTGGTGTTGGTGGTATACTTTGTGCTTGTTCTTGCTGTCGGTTTGGGAGTAAGTATCATTTTCTTCTCTTTCTAAAAATTCGTATATGTAGGCCAATTATTATTTTTTAAAGTTCTGCAATGGCCCGGGCCGTGCGGAGTAGAAAGGGGTAGAGCTTCAAATATAGTCATGGGAGATGTGATGGGGATGTATGCAGTATAAATAAATAGAACAACCGAACAAGTAAATTTTCATTCAGTTTTATGCATCTTTCGAAATATATGTTGACGGTATAAATGAGATATAAATTGAGTACATTGTAGGTGAGGCTTAATTGATGCAATTATTTTTTGGTAAAATCAATCAGCAAAGTGACTCAAGATGACATGAGGAGATAATTGAGGGCATTCCGAAACAGCTTTATTTAAGATTTATAACAATAATAAGTTTAAAAAGTAATACTAATCATGTGAACTTTTGTGCTACATATTGTAATATAAAAGGAGGGGCCTGGAAGGGTAAACGTCTACCAATATATATCTATAGTTTTGTTTGTTTGTTTTGGGTAGTTTATTGTTTAATGTGATGAAAGAATGAAAATCACTGATTGTCATTAATATCACTGAAACTGTCTGCTATCATCCAATGTAGAAATGGATCAAAACAACGTTTTGGTTGATATTCGTTATGTATATCTTATTTCTGAACTATGATATGATATTCATTGGTACATGTGTTCAAATATGTTATTTGGAGATTGATCTTCAATAAAATGGCCTTGTTGGATGGTCCAAAAAATGAAGAAGAAAAAAAATAAAACGTTCCCGCCAAATGTCAATGTTTGCATGCACAAGTGCCAATGTGTCTAGATCAACAAGTGTGCAGATACCCAATTAAGGCTATTGCATATTATGTATTTATAATTGATGAGAAACCTTCAAAATTTCACTCCAGACCTCAACTCTATACTCCAGAAAAAATACATGTTAAGCACCCGTCCTACCCATACAATCATACGCAAACAAATTACCTTTTTTTCTTGAGTGCTTGCGTTCTCAATATACTTGTTTTTATACTTCTTTGAGTAGACAACATTTTAAGTAGTGTGTAGTTGCTCTCTAATAATATTTTTGAGTATGGAATTTTGTATATATTGTTTGTCCGTATGTCATGAAACAGTGATTTGTATTTCTTTTCCATGTTCTCTAGTCGATGTGTCGATCCAATCGTGGTAGCACTGAGGGATATTTCTTAGCTGGCGGAGCAATGCTATGGTTTCCTGTAAGTAGTACTTTAGTCTCTTTTGGTTTTAGCTCAAGTTCAAGTTCATTTTAATCAGTACTTTCATTAGAACTAAATGCTATCAATATATTTAATATAATCCGATCGTGGTAGCACTGAGGGATATTTCTTAGCTGGCGGAGCAATGCTATGGTTTCCTGTAAGTAGTACTTTAGTCTCTTTTGGTTTTAGCTCAAGTTCAAGTTCATTTTAATCAGTACTTTCATTAGAACTAAATGCTATCAATATATTTGATATAATCCGATCGTGGTAGCACTGAGGGGTATTTCTTAGCTGGTGGAGCAATGCTATGGTTCCCTGTGAGTATTACTTTAGTCTCTTTTGGTTTTAGCTCAAGCTCAAGTTCATTTCTATCAATACTTTCATTAGAAATAAATGCTGTCAATTATATTACATGGAAATAACAAAAACGGAGAAGAAAGAAGAAGAAGTTACACATATACAGTAATTATAGTACTGTATGTATTTGGCGACTAGACAAGAACGCCTGCCTTATGGGTAAAGGTCTGTCTTCACTGATTATATCCAAATAATCATGTGCATTATTTAAATTATTACTTATTCAAAGGAATCACTTCCTTGAAATGCTAGAGCGCCACAAAAGTCTTGTCTGGACGGAGGCAAGTTACCATAGGGTAAAGGTGTCGGGGTAAATATGGCGGGGTATATGGCGAGCCAAGCATGCCACTGTCCGTACAACTATACAACTATACGACTATACGTCTATCCAGCCGGCCAATCAGAACGCAGGAAACTGTACATCTATACAACTATGCTAGTGGCGGATTCAGAGGGGCACAGGGATCACGTGCCCCCCGGTAAACAAAAATGGGGTGACGGGCGGAAGGGGGGAAAGAAAAAGGAGGGGAAAAAGAAAGAAAAGGGAAGAGAGAAAGAAGAAGAAAAGAGGGAGGAGAGAAAAGGGAAGAGGAGAAAAAAGAGGGGGAAAGAGAGAAAGGGGAAGAGAGAGAGGGGAGGGAAAAGCCGGAAAGGAAGAAAGGGGGAAAGACGGAGAAGAGAAAAGGGGGAAAAGAAAGAAAAGGGGATAATATTATAAGAAGGTTTTTTTCCGGGAAAGGGCAGGGGGGGGGGCACACAATTTTGCAGTGTGCATAATATGGGGTCCCTCTTGCCAGGCGTATAGCCCCCCCCCCCCCAAAAAAAAAAGGGACAAGAAGAACAAAAAAAAGATGGAAAAAAGTGTTGAAAGAGAGAATTATTGTGAGTTAAAGGAGAAAGAAAAAAATGAAATAGAATTAAACAACGATAGAAGAGAGGTGTGAGAGCATAAAGAATTGCAATTCTTTTAAAAGAATAATGGGATAACAACCAAGGAGTCGCTAAAGGGGGGTGTGGGGGTGTGACACCCCCTCATCTGTCAGGATATTGTCGGTAAAATTGCGCTGCTGTCGGGAAAAATTAGAAAAGGGGGGAGTGAGAGGGAAAGGGAAAGAAAAAAAAGAAAAGAAAAAGAAAGGAAAGAAAGGAAAGAGAAGAGAAGAAAGAAAGAGAAAGGAGAAAAGGGGGAAGGAGATGAAAGAAAGGAAAAGAAAGAAAAGGAAAAAAAGAGAAAAAGGAAACAAAATAAACGGGGATGAAAGAGAGGAGAGAGAGAGCTAGGGAATAAAAGCCTGAGAGAATAGTGGTGGGAATAAGAGAGAGAGGGGGGATGTTGGCTGGAGTCGCCACGTCGACGGGGTAAGAAAGATACGCATCAGAGAAGATGTTTGTAATAAGATTAAAGCGAAAAAAAATCCCTGGAAATCCAAACATTTCCTCTGGATTTATAAAAAACATGGATATTTTTCAGTGAATTACCCTATAATTTTTTTATGAAGATTGTGTTTCTATCCATTTTTATTCCATTCATGCAATGAAATGAACTATCAGGAATATGTGAAAGCAATTTCATGTCAATAACTTAAAAAGTCCATGTTAAATTGAAAGATTTATCAAAATAAGTCACTTTTGCACTAAAACTGTGAATACGTAAGATTTTGCTGTTTTAAGGAGTAAATTAATACCCTTATTGTGTATACTGAACATTTTACTGAGGTATTCTTAAATGTATCATCTTTCAACAGGGCAAGAAAATAAATGAATAAACCACCAAAAATGAGTTTTGGCGCACTTTGGCTCTCTCGGTAAAAAAAAACACCTTCTCATAAAATCATCCCCCTTTCTTTCTTTTCCCTTCTCATTATTCTCCTTTTCTCCATTTCTTTCTTTTCCACCTTTTTCTCTTCTCTCCCTTCCCCTTTCTCTCTTTCCCCCTCCTTTTTCTCCTCTTCCCTTTTCTCTCTTCCCTCTTTTCTTTTTTTTCTCTCTTCCCTTTTCCTTCTTTTCCCCTCCTTTTTCTTTCCCCCTCCTTTGTCTCCTTTTCTCCTTTTTTCTTTCCCCCTACCCCCTTTTTTTACCGGGGGGGGGGGGAGGGGCACGTGCCCCCTGAATCCGTTGGTATAGTTGTATAGATGTACAGTTTGCTGCGTTCTGGTTGGCCGGCTGGATAGACGTATATTCGTATAGTTGTATAGATGTTCGGATAGTGGCACGCTTGGCCCACCATATTTACCCCCTACTAGCTCTTAAAGATAAACTTGAGTTCTGGTAATGCGATTGCATTGTGAAAGAAAAGGTGTGGAATGGATCAGAAAAGTTGATCATATAGCATGTAAGTAATGGTGTGTAATGCAAGGTTCTGGAGTCATCAAAATCATCATAAATTTGGCAGAGTCTTGGTAAAGTTACAATCACTTACACAGAAAGATGTATATGGGACAACACACATGGTGTCGGGGCTAGTACTACCCTGATTTCCTTATCTTTCTATGCTCATTACTCAGCCAGTATACATTTTCTTCCAAAATTGTTTGGCACATGATATTTATTTGTAATCTTGAACATTCAGTGTAAGTTTCGTTAGATTCTGTGAGAATTCATTTTCTTTTTTTACCAGAACTCAAGTTTATCTTTAACACGACCTTTACCCTAGGGTAACTTGCCTCAGTCTGGACAGGACTAAAGGCAGCCATGCTAAAGTCGGGGTAATGGTGTAGAGCGCCAATAGTGACAAGTCTGACACACAATAGGGACTTTTAGATTTGCACGTTGACAGCTTTGACTGCAACGTGTGACGTCATTTTAAGGCATTGCGCATGCGTTACGTCGTCTCAGTCGGCGATCGAGAATGTGTCAACCTTGATTTTCCTCAATCTAGTACCTACATACATACACATTGATATTTATATAGCGCCTTTACATGCTCAAGGTACTAGTATGCCGCGTGTGCATAAAATATACAGTTCCTCAGGTAGACAAAGGAACATCCCTTCCCTGCTATTATGTAAAAATGTGTAGAACAGGTGTCACATGCATAGGCCTATCACCTGTTCTACACATTTTTACATATCAGTGAAGGGATCTTTTGTTGAGGGTAGAATGAGGAACTGTATATTTTGTCCTCTTTCTTTGTCCGTGATGTTCATAATGTTACTTCCTGCATGCATGCATATCGTCGAGTGCAATCTAAAAGATTTCTAATTGTAGTCAACATGGCAGTTAAGTACGTTGACACGCATGATCAGTCGGCGTTCGTCGTGTTCTCGTCCACTCATTCTAAAAGTCCCTAATAGCGCTATACAGGAACCCAGGGCAGCGTTTATCGAAACCGTCATAACTACAAGTTCACCGACATCCCATTGAAACGCGTGTTAAACTTAATACACGCCTTTCAATGGGATGTCGGTGAACTTGTACTTATGACGGTTTCGAGAAACGCTGCCCAGACAGACAGAAATTCCTTTCAGACAATAGAAACTAGTTTCTTTGTAGACAGTACGTGATCAGAATTTTTAGATCATCGGCCTGAGGGGTGTTTTATGAAACAATTAGTCGGTGGTTTTCACCGACTAATATCATTTTCACCGACAATTTAGTCAGTACTGACTAAATTTGACCAATCAGAGACCTGGAAAATAGTCGGTGACAATAGAATTGTCGGTGAAAATGATATTAGTCGTTGAAAACCACCTACTAATCGTTTCATGAAACGCCCCCCTGATTACTTTTTCGATTATCTTAGCTATTTGATGTCTCTACGCCATGTAAAAGAATTTACTTTGAAATTGGATTTAATTTTTGTGACAGAGTGATATTTTAATAGGGTGGTTACATGGTTTTAATGAATTTCAGCAGCGTGGTGAGTTAGGTCAATAGAATAGCCCTGGGGGCGTTTCATTAAACAATTCGTCCCTATTTTTACGAAGTGACGGTAGTGAGGAAAATCGTAACGAAAAGTATATGCAATTTTCATTTACTACCGTCACTTCGTGAAAACAATGACAAATTAGTTAGTGGTTTTCAACGACTATATCATGTTCACCGACGATTCCTTGTCACCGACTATTTCCAGGCCTGTGATTGGTCAAATTTAGTCAGCGCTGACTAAATTGTCGGTGACCATGATATTAGTCGGTGAAAACCACCGACTAATTGTTTCATGAAACGCCCCCCTGATCTGGTGCAAGTTAGGCATGTCATGTAATCACAGCCGGCGAAGAGAAAAGTCCATCTTGACCTGTGTCAGGCGTCAAGATGTCCTGGCACTACTAACATGACGGACAAAGAAAGAGGACAAAAAAAACAGTTCCTCAGGTAGACAAGGGAACATCCCTTCACTGCTATTATGTAAAAATGTGTAGAACAGGTGTCACATGCATATTCACCTTTCTACACATTTTTACATAATAGTAGTTAAAGGATGTTCCTTTGTCTACCTGAGGAACTGTATATTTTGTCCTCTTTCTTTGTCCGTCATATTCACAGTGTGGTTTCATGCGGGTTCGGGACGTGTCAGTGGTTGGTGACCACTAGTAGGCTTTTTACTTTGGGGTTCTTCATACATGTATGCAAACTTCAATAAAGACTTGAAGCAAAGATCTGTTGTCCCTGAGCTCCCTAACATGGTCCTTCCCGGGTATCTCCTTCCAACCCACTACACAACATTATTATTATTATTAATAGAAGAAAAAAGGGAAAACAGGACAAAGCATAATGAAACTTGATGAATGTGTATTCCACTATTAACAGTTAAACCTGACAGTTTGTTTAAAGCGTGGTGTAGTAAAGTATATGTAAACAAACGAAGTGAGACTTATGTCTCAGTGCTTTTGTTAAACTAATTTTATCATGTGACTGAATAAGTAGACTACAATCCTATATCACATCATTTTAAAATTGGGTGTACAGGAGAATGATCGATTAGAATATCATGGAAAGATATCTATATGAAAACATAGAGAGGAATACTGCATATGGCAGTGCTTATACAAAATATCCCATAGGAATGGTTAAAGAATGAAAGACGAAATACTTTGGCCACATTAAGACATCCAAGTGTCTTGAAAGATTTATTGGAAGAAAAAGTATAAGGTACCAGACCAAGAACCAACTGGGAAGGGAGTGAAATGACACTGCACAAGTGTACTAGGATGGCAAAAACAGAGATGTGTGGAAAAATGGTGCAATCAACCTGCGAGCTGGGCAGAAGATAACTTGATAAAGAGTCAATCCTGTCTCAGAAAGAAAATGTTATCTCTTTCTCGACAAAACATATACAGTTCTAATTGGCATTCTTTAGCCTGACTTTCTGCCTATAGAGTTCAAACGTTTTGTTCTGTTTGTGAAGTATCATGAAAACAGCTTTTCTTGTTATTTACGTTAATGTGAAGTAAGGTTAATTTCTCTCATGATCTCTGGTTTAACAATAACAATCTGAACATCCTGTAGGATATGGCTGTATAAGGTCGGAAAAGAAACCACTTCCAAAATAGGGCATGAACCCCAAGTTATATGTTTAGTTCATTAAGAAGTGATTACAGATGCCAATAAACTATCAATAATACTATACAGAAAATGTTCATTTGTTGGAATGTGATTTATGCCTCTACCAACCTTACCAATTTTTTTATCTACATGTATCTATCTATGAGCCAGAGCTTGGAGGCTGTGAGGGCGGCAATGGCATTGCCCTTGAGACACAGGTTCTCCATAACTTTCTGTCTTCAGCTTTTTTAGTTATATACTTTTCACACTCGGTTTTCGTAGCACTGTACTATCCTTCGCCCTATACTATTCCCCCCCCCTTTAACACTCGGTTTTCTTGGCCCCCTACTGTTGACATTCTAACCCAGGCTAAGGAAATCTACGCTGTTCTCACTCGAAATCCTGGACTATCCTCGAAATCTTAACTATCTCTGGTTACCACCGTTCTCCTTAGCCCCGGCCGGGCTATTTTGACTTCTGATCTCACTTGAGGGCCTACTTGTAGAATGTGCAGGCACATACATGTATCTTAACATTATTATCTTTAATAGATGTTGAATACAGCCCTAAGAGAATTCTTGATTGGTAGACCTTTTCGAAAGCCAATTTTTGGTACCTACAATGTATGCAAGACATTTCGGATGGATGAGTATAGCTGAACTCATAATGATAATTTTGCAAATAAAATAGAATGATTGCTCCAGCCCCAGCTTTTCACCTTCCCAGCCAAAGTGCCAGTGCAAAGCTACACCCTGTCCCTAGTAAGCGTGTAAACCCCTACTAATGGTTGATTTCCATATGAAAATGTAACGATCAATCATCAGTAAAATTGTAAAAAATCAGTACGATCCAAATGATCTGCTCTTAGGTAGTTCATCAAAATGAAGTAGCATGAAAAGATGCTTCCAGAATGCAATCAGTACAATTGTGGAAAATCACAGTTTTATCACACAGCGATTCATGTAGAAGCAGATCGTTCGGCTAAATGTTAGCTAGACTTTCATTCAGATACCAGGGTATGTCAAAAAAGAACTTGTAATTAACACACTTTACTAACTATTATCTTATTTGTTTTTGTCTCTTTGCATGACACTACATTTTGCTGAGCTACCTTACTATATATTTTCATGAAAATTTAATACAAATTCGAAGTCATATTAAGTGACATAATTATAGCCTTTTAGAAGAAAATACAGATGGAGTATATATGTATATATATATTCTTTATTTTGTGGGTACAGGTAGGAGCTTCCTTGTTTGCAAGTAACATCGGTAGTGAGCACTTCATAGGACTAACATGGTCAGATGGAGTATATATATTCTCTTTATTTTGGGGGTACAGGTAGGAGCTTCCTTGTCTGCAAGTAACATCGGTAGTGAGCACTTCATAGGACTAACAGGGTCAGATGGAGTATATAAATATTCTCTTTATTTTGTGGGTACAGCTAGGAGCTTCCTTGTTTGCAAGTAACATCGGTAGTGAGCACTTCATAGGACTAACAGGGTCACATGGAGTATATAAATATTCTCTTTATTTTGTGGGTACAGGTAGGAGCTTCCTTGTTTGCAAGTAACATCGGGAGTGAGCACTTCATAGGACTGGCAGGGTCTGGAGCATCAGCCGGCCTGGGTGTGGGAGCCTTTGAGTTCAATGTAAGTCTTCTCTTCCAATTCAATGCCTAGATCTACTGAAGTCATACTGCAGTGTGTGTGTGTGTGTGTGTGTGTGTGTGTGTTCATGTGTGTGTGTATGTTTATGTGTGTGTGGGTGTGTGTGTGTGTGTCTGTCTGCCTGTCTTTGTTCAATGCACTGTTTTATTCCTCACCCAGTAAGTTGGCGCAAGTGAAATCTGGCAGTCTTGTAAAGATTGTCTGATGTTCAGTCATGCGTGAAGGGATTCAAATGAAAATGGTACCTACATTTACTGGGAGGATAACTCTATCAATTAAGACATATCATTTAACCCCTAATTAAATATTCATACTTCAAACAATACAACTTTTAAAAAATGGGACATTCTTTCTGACTCACCCTGTATAGAATAGAAGGTAATGTTTATGTAGGTTAATTTTATATATTCTAGCCATAAATACATTGTATTTTCAGGTGAATGGTACACTTTAACCAAAACAGTGTGCTATTTAATACAACACCCAAGATGCTTGATCAATGTTATGATGTGTTATTATGTTGCAGGCCCTTTTCTTGCTTCAAGTGCTGGGATGGATCTTTCTACCAGTGTACCTTGCTAGTGGTATCTATACCATGCCTGAGTATCTCCAGAAGAGATTTGGAGGCAGGAGGATCAGAATGTACATTGCTGTTGTCTCACTTATCTTATACATCTTCACCAAGATATCGGTAAGAACACTGTCTTCCATTGCTGTGCTTTCAGATTTAATGCCCTTTTGTCTTTACAAAGACATCAGTAAGAACACAATCTTTCATAGCTGTACTTTCAGATTTAATGCCCTTTTGCTTTACAAAGACATCAGTAAGAACACTATCTTCCATAGCTGTACTTTCAGATTTAATGCCCTTTTGTCTTTACAAAGACATCAGTAAGAACACTATCTTCCATAGCTGTACTTTCAGATTTAATGCCCTTCCGTCTTTACAAAGACATCAGTAAGAAAACTATCTTACAATGCTGTGCTTTCAGATTTAATGCCCTTTTGTCTTTACAAAGACATCAGTAAGAACACTATCTTCCATAGCTGTACTTTCAGATTTAATGCCCTTCCGTCTTTACAAAGACATCAGTAAGAAAACTATCTTACAATGCTGTGCTTTCAGATTTAATGCCCTTTTGTCTTTACAAAGACATCAGTAAGAAAACTATCTTACAATGCTGTGCTTTCAGATTTAATGCCCTTTTGTCTTTACAAAGACATCAGTAAGAACACTATCTTCCATAGCTGTACTTTCAGATTTAATGCCCTTCCGTCTTTACAAAGACATCAGTAAGAAAACTATCTTACAATGCTGTGCTTTCAGATTTAATGCCCTTTTGTCTTTACAAAGACATCAGTAAGAAAACTATCTTCCATAGCTTTACTTTCAGATTTAATGCCCTTTTGTCTTTACAAAGACATCAGTAAGAAAACTACCTTCCATAGCTGTACTTTCAGATTTAATGCCCTTTTGTCTTTACAAAGACATCAGTAAGAACACTATCTTCCATAGCTGTACTTTCAGATTTAATGCCCTTCCGTCTTTACAAAGACATCAGTAAGAAAACTATCTTACAATGCTGTGCTTTCAGATTTAATGCCCTTTTGTCTTTACAAAGACATCAGTAAGAACACTATCTTCCATTGCTGTGCTTTCAGATTTAATGCCATTTTGTCTTTACAAAGACATCAATAAGAATACTATCTTCCATTGCTGTACTTACAGATTTAATGCCCTTTCGTCTTTACAAAGTTATGAGTCAGAACTAAATGTATCTTTCATTGCTGTGCTTCCAGTTTTACCAAGATATCTGTAAGAACACTATATAATGTTTGCTTTCTGTTATCTTTACAAAGAGATTACAAAACATTCTATTATCTTGTATAGACCAAGCTTATGCCAAATTTTAGATTTAGCAAAATTTAAAAAAAACATTATCACAGATGTGAATTACCGGTAAGTAATTTGATAGAAAGTTCACAGTCACTTTTTTCTCATCAGAAATTGATATTATCAGAAATGACTTGCCTTACCGGTTTAACCACGGAGCCATAAGCTGTTTGCCAAGGTACTATATTTAAAGGAAAACATTTTAAAAAAAAATGTTTAAATATAGGTCACTGAGTTGCCATTTTGTGTTTGATTGATTGCACCTTCGAAATATTCGAAAAAACTTACTTTTAATTAATTTTTTTTCTCAAACTTTCACTGACCTGTTTCTCTAATTTGTCTGCGTCTTTAAAAACCCATTTGATATTAGGATGGACTCCTCCTTTGACAGTTTGAATAAAAAGTACCACAGTAGCAGGTTTTAGCACATTTGTAGTCTGGATATTTGGCTGTGTGAGAGACTTGACTTGGTGTGATGTGTTATTCTTGTGTCTTTAGGTTGATCTGTACTCTGGAGCTTTGTTCATCCAGCAAGCCCTTGGATGGAACCTCTATGTGGCCATCTTCTCTCTACTTGCTATCACAGCATTGTATACAGTGACAGGGGGACTGGCTGCTGTCATCTTTACAGATACTTTACAGGCGATGGTCATGTTGGCAGGGGCACTCTGGCTTTGTATAGTGAGTAAGTACAGCCCTCTGCAAGGTGGTGCTTTTGATAGAGACCTTTTGGCTTTGTGTTTGGAGTATATTCTGGTACTCTGGTCGATTTTGATAAAGACACTTGATCTTTATTGAAAATATTAGAATCAAGTTCAGTCAAACATATCTTAGTGGCCACCTCTCTATAAAAGCCACTGGTCCATAATGGTCAACTGTATTGCCTCCCTCTAGAAGTAAATATGTGTTGAGGAAATTGTCTAGAAAGACCACCTGTTAACAGTGGCCACCGTTTGTGTTTCCTATAGGTGGCCTTAATAGACAGGTTTGACTATATACTACCTCAAATATTATGGGTATACTTGTATACTTTAGTTGTTAACTGTGTATTGCCACTATTATTCTCTCAAGGTTTTCAGGCAATCGGTGGTTACCAGAATCTTGAACCACTGTATGCTCTAGCCATTGCGAATGATACCATCGTGTCAAACAATTCTTGCGGTCTTCCTAGAGATGATTACTTTCATCTCTTCCGTGACCCTGTGACCTCTGACCTTCCATGGCCGGGGTTCGTCTTTGGACAGACTGCAGCTTCTCTCTGGTACTTGGCTACTGATCAGGTTTGTTTTATTTTTTATTCTGGCAGGTCCAATGTGTTCAAATTCATGTATCATTTTTCACAGCAGACTGAAAACTGTCAAACATGTTTAATCAGGTGACAGGCTATCATGCTGATTTTGCAGTTAATGCACAATCTGACCTTCATCATAAATGTAGGTTCAGCTCGTTATTTCCCCCAATAATTTTTACCTGAGACCATTAGTAGATCCATTTAAAAATAAACATATTGAGCATTATTGTGTATGCACATGATAATAATGTTTGTCTAATAATGGCATATCAGTTCGGAGTGAAGAGAGGGGGTACGTGTCACAGTTGGCACTTGAAGGGGATGTGGGAAATATATGGTTCTAGGACAATTACCCCTGGGCAATCACCCCCCCCCCCTCCCCCGGCCAATTATCAGCAGGACAATTAGCCCCCAAGGAAATCACTCCAGGAAATACCCCTCGAGGACAACCACCCACCCCCTCCCCTCCCAGGACAATTACCCCCTAAGACAATTAGCCCCCTGAGGAAAATTACTCCTCGAAAGAAAATTATGCTTTAAAACCAACTTGTGCTTTAAAACCAACTTATTAACAGGGTAGTAGACTTCCCCTTTTAATGAAGAGAGGGAGGGGGGTTGTTGTCCTTGGGTGTAATTTTTTAGGGATGGGGGGGGGGGGGGGGAGGTAAATGTCCTTGGGGTCGTTGTCCTTGGATGTTCTTATGGGGGGGGGGGTAATTGTCCTTGGGGGAGGGGTGGTTGTCCTTTGGGGGTAATTTTCTGGGGGTAATATTCCGGGGGTTTATTGTCCTGATACAGAATTATATTATGTGAAAGAGAGTAAGAGAAATCTTAACAATAATAATACAATATTTATAAAGCGCATAATAAACGGTCTATTTCTCTATGCGCTGTACAAGCATGAATGACAATTTGAGAAACATAATCACAAAAAGAAATAAAAACAGAGAATACAAAAATCTTATAACTACTAAAATGACTAACTTAACATTATAACTAACATAATCAAGTTTTTATAACGTCACATTAGGGACCAATCCTGCGTAAGCAAACGACGTCCTATAACGAATGAACATATTTTCAGTCCAATTATTTCTTAATTGTAAATCAGAGTTTGATTGATGTTACACATGACATATTTCACACCATTTTCAAAGGGAAGTGTCAGATGCTGATTTGGATTTGACCAAATTTGTCTTCATTGTGACTGCTATCTAGGTGATGGTACAGAGAGCTCTGGCAGCTAAGAACCTGTCGCATGGCCAAGGAGGAACACTGTTTGGTGGCTTGCTTAAAATCACACCAATCTTCTTTATTGTGATGCCAGGAATGATTGCACGTATTCTTTTCCCAGGTAAGTTGATCACATGATAATGATGTGCTTTCAAAAGTATTTTATTCTCTTCTCTGGTAAATTGATCACATGATTCCCTAGTTAGTAAATCACATGACTTCCATGGTAAGTTGATCACATGACTTCTCTGATAAATTGATCACATGACTTCCCTGGTAAGTTGATCACATGACTTCCATGGTAAGTTTATCACATGACTTCCATATGGTAAGTTGATCACATGACTTCCATATGGTAACTTGATCACGTTACTTCTCTGGTAAATTGATCACATGACTTCCCTGGTAAGTTGATCACATGACTTCCCTGGTAATAGTTGCTCACATGACTTCCATGGTAAGTTGATCACATGACGTCCATGGTAAGTTTATCACATTACTTCTCTGGTAAATTGATCACATGACTCCCTAGTTAGTTAATCACATGACTTCAACGGTAAGTTGATCACTTACTTCTCTGGTAAGTTGATGACATGACTTTCCTGAAATTTGATCACTTAACTTCCCTGGTAAGATGATGACATGGCATATGACTTCCCTTAAATATGATCACATGACTTCCCTGCTACATGTAAGTTGATCATATGACTTTCTGGATGACTGCATTCCCTTCATTGATAATTGTATCACATGATACCCTCCCCATAGCATGGTGAATTCAGAGTCAAAAGGGCAATAATTATGTGGTAAAGGACATGAGTTTAGTTGTAATCCTAAATGCTCTCAAAGTGAATGTATTTTCTTATCAGTAAGTTGATTACAGACTCTCAAAGTGATTTCATTCTTTTTCTCTGAAGTTTATTACACCATTTACTCTCAAAGTGATTGCATTCTCTTTCCTAATAGGGGATTGCACTATTAATTTACTCTCAAATTGATTGTATTATCTTTGCTGGAAATTGATCACGCTTCTGTTTCTACTCTCAAATTGACTGCATTCTCGTTTATGGAAGTTAATTAGATTATCTACTCTCAAAGAGAGATTGCATTGTCTTTCCTGATAAATTGATTCCTGACCTACTCTCGAAAAAATTGTAATCTTCTCTTGGAATGTTGACCATATGATGTATTCTCTAATTAATAATATTCTCATCTTTAGTAAGATTGGCACATAATAATATACCATATATGCCAAAGCATGTGGACCTTTGTGCATGCCCTTGAAGTAACCATAATTTGAAGGGGGTTTAAGAATGTCCAAACGTCATTTCTGTTTTTTCTCTAGATATTGTAGCCTGCACTGATAAATGTGAGGAGATTTGTGGCTCGAAGGATGGCTGCTCAAACCTTGCTTATCCCCTTCTTGTTATGAATGTACTACCAAAAGGTTTGTATGTCAAGCTATTATTACTACATTTAATCATTCATTACCATATTCTATCTCATTAGCATGTTACATGGGATATCTATTTTTATTTGGTATATGTTTAATAGTGAAGATACTTTAATAGAAGCATGTAGAGTTGAAACGTTGCAAAATATATTGTTCTTGTCAAGAGTGAATTCTTCATTTTTTTCCAGGATGGATTGTGTTTGATGATTAAAATAATGTATTTTGCAACATTTCACTTTTGACTTGGCCCCATATTCAGGTGTACTGCATATTCCATGATTACATATCAATGCTAGCTGTTTGTAAACTTTTAACATGGTTCATTTAAAATAGGGCAGTGATGATGAAGCAAGGTTGGTTTGAGGTATGTATACTCTCTTAAGTATGGCACTAGTACATGTCATGTGAAGGTCTGTTCCAGATTAAGTTGAGTACTGTTCATGTCATTGCATTGTGAAAGAACTTTCTCAAAGATTTCAGACGAAAATTCAATTGAATCCCCATTGAATGTCCCCATCGAATCCAAATTGGCAATTTGGAGTACATGGAAAGTGAAACAGTGGGTACCTATTAGAACCAATTAGCAATTGGTCTCCATTGAAACCAACTGGCAATTGGTCTCCATTGAAACCAACTGGCAATTGGTTTTCATGGGGACCAATTGACAATTGGTTCCAATGGGGACCAATTGCTAATTGGTTCCAATAGGTACCCATTGTTTCACTTTCCATGTGCTCCAAATTGCCAATTGGTATTGAATGGGGATTCAATGGGGTTTCAATTTGTAAATCGATCCAGGTAGAAGAACCAGTGGTAAACTGATACTTCATAATCGATATTGGCAACTGTCCACCAATTAGGTACATTCTAATCTCAAATGCATCAACTCCCTGACATAGATCATTTGAAGTGAATTTAAGATTAACTTTTGAACAGATATAGGCTCGTACACACATATACAATGAACATACATATTTTTTTTTTGGTTAGTAATCATATAATCAATATATCTATTGCTAAAACGTGAATGTAATTGTCACATGATCAGACAAATAATCTATTGGACAATAATTCCTGAAGGAAAAGAGAAATCACAAAATTGATGTGCATTGTCATAATTTGCTTAACAAATCATGATAAATGTTTTCATCTGACCGAAGTTGCAAAATAACCCACTATTTTAACTAGCTAATTTGCGTCTGAAATCAGCCTGCAGTTGCAAATTAGCGGGATATTTGGTCGAGAAAATATCACGAGAAATCTTGGTCTTGTTTCCAAAATATCCCGCTATTTGGGCAATAGCGAGCGGGCTAGTTTGCAACTTCGGTATGATGAAGGCAGGTCTATGACTTTTCTTTGATTGCTGTGATTAACATTTTAACCCATAGTTCTTTCGCTAGTTAAACCTGTATGCGTAACTTTTGAGTATGTAAAGTAAACAATTAAACACTCTGTTGTGGTAATAAGAACCTTATATACATATATGTCATAATCCTTATTCTATTTTTTCTTTTGCATGTACTTTTTTATGATGTAAATAGATGTTCTTTTGTTGTATATTTGTTTGCCATTACTATGTTTAAGTGCTTTTACATAGACATTGCCTGTAAATGCCCATTGTATTTCATTTTGAATATGAATCAAAAGGTTTAAAAGACTAGAAAAAGTAGAAATAGAAAGTGTAGTGCACGTGCTATTAAATAAACAATATTTCCCAAATGTTTAGAAATTTATGATTTTGAAAAAAATAAACAACAAAAAAAGTGAGGCTAAAAATATGAAATATGTAGTAATCATAACCACGTACAGGGTGGTCCAGCAAAGAGAAAAACATATAAATTACAACTTGGAAGGAATGTGGACTGATGTGTGCTTTTGAAGAGCACAAAGCATCAAGTCTGTTGTGGCTGGGTTCCTGGAAGCTCTGAGGTTTTTAGATGTTTTTAAGTGCAATTTGAGCCATATTTAGAAGCATTTTCAAACAAATTTTACGACTGATGTTTCATAAATGATTTTTGTTTTTGTTTGAGGATAAACTTTAATATGTCATTGCACAATTGAAAACTGTCGCTTCACACATTAAAGGCATCGTTTAACAATGTTAAATCTGAGATGCACGGCCCTACGTGTTATCAGTGTCTGAGATATGGTGTAATATTGAAGCCCTAAAAAAAAATCTTACTTCAAAATGATCAAGAAGTGCCTCAAATTATTACCAAATAGGTATAATTGTGTAACAATCTCTTATATTTATATGATAATCAGTTACACGACAATCTCCATTTATTTGTAAAGTGCAAGCACACAAGATTGTTTTGGTTAAAATTTGGAGACATAATTCGAAAACTTTACAACGTTAATTTTTCTTTTGACAAGTTCGTTTTAATTGAAGGTTATAAATTGAAAAACAAAATATTTAAAACTTTAAATTTTCTTATCATATATGCAAAATACGCAGTTTATTTAATATTTATGCAAACAGAAATTCGCAAACTTATGTTTCATGAAGGCTCTATACTTTGTATTTTCAAAAGACTAATCCACAATCGATTAAAGATCGAAAGGAACTGTAAAACAAAAAAGATATGCATTTTTGAAAACACTGTTATTCAAGAAAACGAAACATGTTTCATTTGAACTATGCTAAGATGCTACGATATTATTTCAATTGATTGTGTATGATTGTTTGATTTGTTCAAATGCATATATTTATCAATAAATTCATTTTACAAAAAAAAGAAGAAAAAAAAGAAGTGCCTCAAAAAAGTGCAATTCTTTGAGTGACCGGTTTTACCATACTCGTTTTCCCTAATAGACTGTAGTGTTATGAAAACCGTAAGGAAAACGCAAAATTTGATTTCGATTTCCAATCATAATTATCTTGATAATCAGACAGGCGATCGGCTTGTAAAATTCATGGGGTTCCTGACTGACCTAAAGGTTTATAATTATTATTGCATCGAACATGAGCTAAATCCAGGATTTTGTTTCAGAATCTGAGACAAAGTTACCCAATTCCCTTTAAAACCTCTGTGGACCAACCAGAATCAGATTTAGGTGATGGGATGCCTTTGACAGGAGATACTGTACCCGGTAGGTTTAATATCTATTTGAGGGATGGCCTGTATGCATGTAGCACTCATAATATTTGGAGGCATTTAGGCAGAGTATTTTACCGACATCGACCACTGCTGTAATATATTTTAAATTGGGCCATCTTGCATCGATGGCGTACTTAAAGTGATTTCCGGTTCTTGTACCCATGCATCCTCATGCTAGCATCATGCAATTGATGATGCCTTGTGGGACATCAATGTCGACAAATCGAGACATTGTGAGCAGCATATACTAGATCTAAAGTAGTGTCAGTAGAATACCCTGCCTTCAAATATTTCCATATGAAATATATATCGCATCTTGGCTGAGAAAGGTGATTGTAGATTTGAATGCCTTGTTCTGAAACATATACCTCTGATTGCAAATTGACTAAAAAGAACATTGGTTTTATTATTTGTTCCTTACAGGCATTCGTGGCCTAATGCTGGCTGTGATGCTGAGCGCCCTCATGAGTTCCCTAACATCCATCTTTAACAGCGGTTCAACGATCTTCACTATGGACATCTGGAGAATAGTTCGTAGGTTTCCTACTGACCACCAGATGACTCGGCTGAACAGGAAACGAAACAGGAAATACGAGCTTGAACTCATGATTGTGGGACGGTAAATCTTGACTTAGACCCCTTTCTCACTCACTTCCTGGACCAGTCTACGCTTGATCGGTTCAGTTTGAAGTTTAAAGTTCTTCTCTCCTTTTTTGGACAAACACATACAACTTTTCCTTTATAGTACAATAACTTGCAGTAATGGTGATTTTGCACATGTTCCATGAGGATTCAAGACATTTTTACATTCCCTAATCAGAAAAGTAATATTTTTGCTAATTTTATGTACAAAACGGATAGAGAAAAACTGAGGGGATGACATCATTGACTTGCTAATTTACATACATGTATCACTGTTTAAGAAATTATGCGAAACTTTGATATTCCATATCCTTTCTCATCTTCAACTGATTTTAACAAAACTTTCACTGTTTTGTTTGTTCCATTTTTCTCTATTTAATCAATCCAACTTGCAGATGGACCTTTTAATATGTTATCAATAAAAGAGCAATACAGTATATATGCACATTAAAACAATTATAGATGGTTATTGGGATTATATGTTTTACATGTTTTACAAGTAATTCTGCACAATTAAATACCAGGATAATAGTTTTACAACACTTTTACGTACACTGTACAAGGACTAGGAACAGTATATCTTTTCAAAATTAACGAATGAACAAATTTTTGTTCATCATTTTGGTGAAATTTCACGTCTGTTCTGCATTATTTTCATTTGCAAAACAGTCGAGATGAAATTCGCTACCCTTTTTACTCGTTATCAAAGCTCAGCTTCACATTATCTCAGCTAAATAATAGAAAAAAATCATCTCACTCGGGCACATACCAAATAATGAACAAAGATTTGTCCTTTTTGAATAGATATACTGTTTAGGGTAAATTATTTCTAGAATGGAATAATAAATGAAATGATACATTTTGTTTCCAGGGTATTTGTGGTCGTTCTGGTTGGTATCAGTGTACTCTGGGTTCCTATAGTGATGAGAGGAGAAGGTGGACAGCTCTTCCATTACATCCAACAGATCACTGCTTATATTGCTCCGTCCATCGCCGGTCAGTAACGCTTTTCATTCTATTCACCTCATGTTAGTAGTTGTATGTTGTAAATTAGTACTTTCTTCACAATTGGTGGAAAAATGACCGGTTTCAATAAGCTTTCACTTGCTGTGCTGGAAGCTTCTTTAGACATTTGTCTTTAAATAGCTAGCGCTGATGCTGATGTAGTACGACAATGTGGTAGAATGGGATTGGACATCGAAGAAAGAGTATATTGTCCTAAGTCTCTGTTCATGAGATTATAACGTTCGGGCGTATAAGTATGGCCTTTCTTATCCATCTTGTGAAGCTGGCAACACAGCAAGTGAAAGTTTTAACTCATAGCCTGCTATAAGGCTGCATGCACGCTATTGTTATAGTGCTGTGTACACGCGAGCGAGCTACTGTTACTCTGCTTCTTGCATGATTGCACGCATTCGAAATAGCAGTTATTGTTCATGCATATTGGACTGTGGCTAGTGTTTTGCACGCGCTATTGGTAGTACCATCGCGTTAATCCGATTATCTTGTTATAAATTTGGCACTGGGGGTTTGTGGCTTAGCACAATGGGGATAAGCCTTTTGGCAGGATAAGAGTTAATACCAAAACAGGTAATTTTTCCACCGATTATGAAGAAAGAACCAATTTTCAAGTTACATCACCAATATTTAGTGATTTTTTTTGTAGTTGTGTGGCTGTTGTTTCAAAATCTCATTAACTCAATTTAATTTAGGTAAGCAAGGATAAGTTCTGAAAGAAAATTCTTTGATGTTCTGAATGCTGATGTGACTAGATAACAGAAATCTTGATTTTTTTTTTAAAATGAGAAAAGGGAAATGAAAAAGAATGAGAGACTCTGGTTGGACTAGTTATCAATAACCAAAGCTAAATTTCTATGACAAATTTGCTCTCAGCCAATCAAATGCCAATGTGGTGTCAGTAGGTAAACAGTTATTGTAACTTGTCATTGATAAAGAAAGTTTATGAAACAGTGCCCAGATCAGATAGCAGATTGACCGTTCCCTCCTATTGGAAATTAGGTTGGTCTGGAGCCCTGACTGCATAATTGTTAAAAACCACACAGAGGTAGAACCGCATCATTAAGAGAGGAATCAGAATGTGGAGCTGGTAATAATACATGTACCATCTCAAAGAGGTTGAATGTTAGCTAAATTTCAATCAGATATGTCAAAACGGAACTTGAGTAAGTTAACATCGCTAACTATTATGCAATTTGCGTTCTGAACGCATCTTTTTGTGCAACTACAGAGTTATATAATTGGAAGATCTTCATGAAATAGCAGAATTTTTTTCATTGCAGCATGAGTTTCTCCTTTTTTTTCTCTCTTCCTTTAATTTTATATTGCAGATGTTTACATAATCGTTACCACAATGTTCTTGTTTGCTGTTGTTCCGCAGGTCTGTTCACTGTTGCGTTGCTATGGGAACGCATCAATGAAGCAGGTGCCTTCTGGGGATTAACAAGTGCCTTCATCATTGGTTTGATACGTATGGTACTGGACTTCATCTACCTATCACCTGTTTGTGGAGAGGAGGATCATAGACCTGACATCATCAAACATCTACTCATTCACTACATGTACTTTGCTCTATTCCTCTATCTATGGACTATGCTGATTGTCATCATTATCAGTCTCTTCACCAAACCTATACCAAAGAAATATGTAAGCCTTTCAGTTTTCATATCACAACCAATCTCAAACCAAATGACTCCTGTTCTAGAACCCATCTCAAAGCAGACCATTCCTGTTTTAAAACTCATCTCATTGGGTTGTAGACCACTCCTGTTTTAAAACCAATGTCATTGGGTTGTATACCACTCCTGTTTTAAAACCAATCTCATTGGGTTGTAGACCACTCCTGTTTTAAAACCCATGTCATTGGGTTGTAGACCACTTCTGTTTTAAAACTCATCTCATTGGGTTGTAGACCACTCCTCTTTTTAAAGCTCATCTCATTGGGTTGTAGACCACTCCTGTTTTTTAAAAATCATCTCATTGGGTTTTAGACCACTTCTGTTTTAAAACTCATCTCATTGGGTTTTAGACCACTTCTATTTTAAAACTCATCTCATTGGGTTTTAGACCACTCCTGTCTTAAAACTCATCTCATTTGGTTGTAAAACACTCCTGTTTTTAAAACTCATCTCATTGGGTTGTACACCACTCCTGTTTTAAAACTCACCTCATTGGGTTGTAGACCACTCCTGTTTTATAACTCATCTAATTCGGTTGTAGACCCCTCCTGTTTTTAAAACTCATCTCATTGGGTTGTACACCACTCCTGTTTTAAAACTCACCTCATTGGGTTGTAGACTACTCCTGTTTTAAAACTCATCTCATTCGGTTGTAGACCCCTCCTGTTTTAAAACCAATCTCATTGGGTTGTAGACCGCTCCTGTTTTTAAAACTCATTTCATTGGGTTTCAGACCACTTCTGTCTTAAAACTCATCTAATTGGGTTGTACATTACTCTTGTTTTAAAACCCCTGTCATTGGGTTGTAAAACACTCCTGTTTTTAAAACTCATCTCATTGGGTTGTAGACCACTCTTGTTTTTAAAACTGACCTCATTGGGTTTTAGACCACTTCTGTTTTAAAACTCATCTCATTGGGTTGTAGACCACTCCTGTTTTAAAACTCATCTCATTGGGTTTTAGACCACTTCTGTTTTAAAACTCATCTCATTGGGTTGTTTAGATCACTCCTGTTTTAAAACTCATCTCATTGGGTTGTAGACCACTCCTGTTTTAAAACCCATCTCATTGGGTTGTAAACCACTCCTGCTTTAAAACTCATCTCATTGGGTTGTAGACCACTCCTGTTTTTAAAACTCATCTCATTGGGTTTTAGAACACTTCTGTTTTAAAACTCATCTCATTGGGTGTATAGACCACTCCTGTTTTATAACTCATCTCATTGGCTTGTAGACCACTCCTGTTTTAAAACCCATCTCATTGGGTTGTAAACCACTTCTGCTTTAAAACTCATCTCATTGGGTTTTAGACCATTCCTGTTTTTAAAACTCATCTCATTGGGTTGTAAACCACTCCTGTTTTAAAACTCATCTCATTGGGTTTTAGATCACTCATGTTTTAAAAACTCATTTCATTGGGCTGTACACCACTCCTGTTTTAAAACTCATCTCATTGGGTTGTAGACCACTCCTGTTTTAAAACTCATCTCATTCGGTTGTAGACCACTCCTGTTTTTAAAACTCATTTCATTGTGTTTCAGACCACTTCTGTCTTAAAACTCGTCTCATTGGGCTTGAGACCACTTTTGTTTTAAAACTGATCTCATTGTGTTGTAGACTACTCCTGTTTTTAAAACTCATCTCAATGGGTTGTAGACCACTCCTGTTTTAAAACTCATCCAATTGGGTTGTACACCACTCTTGTTTTAAAACCCCTGTCATTGGGTTGTAAAACACTCCTGTTTTTAAAACTCATCTCATTAGGTTGTAGACCACTCCTGTTTTTAAAACTTATCTCATTGGGTTGTAGACCACTCCTCTTTTTAAAACTCACCTCATTGGGTTTTAGACCACTCCTGTTTTAAAACTCATCTCATTGGGTTTTAGACCACTTCTGTTTTAAAACTCATCTCATTGGGTTGTTTAGATCACTCCTGTTTTTAAAACTTATCTCATTGGGTTGTAGACCACTCCTCTTTTTAAAACTCACCTCATTGGGTTTTAGACCACTCCTGTTTTAAAACTCATCTCATTGGGTTTTAGACCACTTCTGTTTTAAAACTCATCTCATTGGGTTGTTTAGATCACTCCTGTTTTAAAACTCATCTCATTGGGTTGTAGACCACTCCTGTTTTAAAACCCATCTCATTGGGTTGTAAACCACTCCTGCTTTAAAACTCATCTCATTGGGTTGTAGACTACTCCTGTTTTTAAAACTCATCTCAATGGGTTGTAGACCACTCCTGTTTTTAAAACTCATCTCATTGGGTTGTAAACCACTCCTGTTTTAAAACCACATCTCATTGGGTTTTAGACCACTCCTGTTTTTAAAACTCATCTCATTGGGTTGTACACCACTCCTGTTTTAAAACTCATCTTATTGGGTTGTACACCACTCCTGGTTTAAAATTCATCTCATTCGGTTGTAGACCACTCCTGTTTTTAAAACTCATCTTATTGGGTTTTAGACCACTTCTCTCTTAAAACTCGTCTCATTGGGTTGTAGACTACTCCTGTTTTTAAAACTCATCTCTTTGGGCTTGAGACCACTTTAGTTTTAAAACCCATCTCATTGGGTTGTAGACCACTTCTGTTAAAAACTCTTCCCAAACCAGTCCACTCCTGTTTTAAAACCCATTTCAAAGCAGACCACTCCTGTTCTACAACCCATCCCAAACCAGTCCACTCCTGTTCTAAAACCCATCTCAAACTAGACAACTCCGGAAATCCTATGCAACAGCATTATGTGCCACTGGAACTTTAAAGCATATTCATACATGTAAATATTTTCCGATTCACATCATTGTAGATTGAATATAGATGAATTAAAACAAACATACATGAAGAAATCCATTCAAGAATGGTAAATTAGTGATACCAGTTTGAACGTTTAAGCATTACAGGTTATATGAATTGAAAGGTGCTTTGTATTCTTGGTTGATATTCTTCAGCTGTATCGTTTGACCTTCTGGACGAGGTTTAGCAAAGCTGAAAGATGGGATATCATGGCTTACCAGGCAGGCACGGAGGAGGAAGAGGAGGATGGCGGTACACGCACCAAGGACAAGTATGCACATTTAGAGATTGATGATGAAGCAGGACATGAGATCGACCCACAAGACAAGAATGGCACTCAAGGTTAGAATCCTGAAACATGAATATAATCACTTTGCATCAAACTCTTCCAGATTTTCCTAACATATTCTGATAGATTATTGCACTTTTTATTCAGTTAGGATTGCCTCTCAAAAAGAAAATACATGTACAAAGTACCAGTAAATGGAACATTTTGGCTAATCATTGCCATGTTTTGCAGGAAGACACCTTTTTTCTCAATTATCTGATTTCATCATTTTCCCATCACGTTTTTATGTTTATTTAATTCGTTTTTTGATCTCCTTTCACCCAAAAGATTATGGTTTCACAGTGATACTTTTACCAGTAAAAATGTAATTGATGTATACACTGCACATGGATGGATGGAACTCAACTTTTCTCATTTTTTTGGTTTTATTTCAAAGGTTCAGATGAAGATGAGAGCTGGTGGCATAGATCTTTTAATTGGTTCTGTGGCCTCTCCAATCGGGAGTCCACGAGCAGCGTTCAGCTTAAAGCTCGGGAGTCCTTACAGATGGCAAAGATTGTTCAGACCAAGAGAGATAAGATTATTCTCAACGTCGCATGTGTCTTTGTTCTCATTATAGGAGTAGTTCTATATGGGGTTTATGCTTGATCAGTGTGTGTGTGTATGTGAGCGTGCATGTCCGGTGTTATGAACGGTGGTCACTCCACGGGGTATTTTGAAATAGAAAGAGGAGTAAGGCAAGGAGATCCATTATCGCCACATTTGTTTTTTGGTTGCCATCCAAGTTTTGGCGCATGCAATAAGGAGGGACAACGGTATTAAAGGGATTACATTTGGAAAATCTAAAATTAGGCAAGTGTTATATGCAGATGATATGACAATATTTTTGAAAGATATTGATTCGGTTAGAAGGTCGCGATATATTATTGAATCATTTGAACAAATTAGTGGTCTTAAAGTGAATAAAACAAAGACACATTTTATGTGGATGGGTGAGGATGAAAACAAACCTGATGGGCCTTTATTTGGAAATTTTGTTAAGGAAATACACATTTTAGGGGTTAGTTATTCATTAGATGGAAGATTAAAAGATGATTTGAATTATAAAGAAATTCTAAGTAAAATAAAAAAATTGCTTGTATGGTGGAAACAAAGAGATTATAGGTAAAATACATTTCTTAAAAACGTATGCGCTTTCAAAATTAAATTATATTTCATCTCTCATCTTATTGTCCCTCATTGGGTATACAAAGAAGTTGCAAAAATTTCATTTGAATTTATAGGGAGGGGGGAAGATAGAATTAAGCTGGCAATAATGTATCAGGATTATGACTTTGGAGGATTAAGAATGATTATTTTTGAAATGTCTGTTAAAATACAGCGCATAATGTGGATAAAACGTCTTTTATATGGAGAGAAAAATTTGGGATGGAAATTGTTTTGTGATCATTGCTTACAGTTTGTGGGTGGTAGATTTTTTTTTTTATGTGATTATTATTTAAAAAAGATAAAACCCTTTTAGATATTCCACCATACTATATGGAAATGTTGCAAGCATGGCAAGAGACAAGTAATTTAAGATATTTGGAGGGTTATATTAATCCAATTATTTTTAATAATCGGAATATATGTATAAATGGAAAGAGTATATTTGATAGATACTTGTTTGAAAGAGGGATAGTTCAACGGAATCACTTGGTTGAGAAAGGCCATGTTAAGTCTGTTAAATATTTTATGAACCTCGGTATGAAAGGTAATAATTTGTTTATGATTATTGATGTTTATGATGCGATACCCAGGTTATGGAAGGATGATTCAGGGTTAATACAATTCCTCGAGGTTGATTTGATAAGCTTTAATACTTATTTCCATATTTCTAGTAAAAAAATACAGTTTGTGGATGTGGGTTCAAGAACAATTTATGATTATTTTATCAAAGCACTGCAACAAACGTATGATTCGCAGGTAAGGGATGGGCAAAATGATTATGATTTTTTAGATAAAGAATTCAAAGAAATATTTGTTAGACCAAAAATGACTATACTCATCAGAAAACAACGAGAAAGTCAATTTAAATTATTGCATGGAGCCATATACACTAATGAGCATCTTCATAGATTTGGTTTTGTAGGTGATAATTTATGTTCGTTTTGTAAGCAGGAAATAGAAACATACAAACATTTATTTTTATCTTGCGGGAGCGTTCAAAGGCAGGCTTTAATATAACTTTTTGAGTTAGATGAAATTAAAGATTTAGAATGGCGAGATATATTTGTTGGGTTGGTAGGTACTTCATATAGAAGAAAAATGTGTAATACTATCATTTTCATGGTGAAGTATGTTACATTTATGTCAAGATCGGGGGGGGGGGCGAGTACCAACTTTAGAAAAGATGAACAAAAGCATTTTTAAGTGTATGGATGAGGAAAAGAAAAATAGCAATTAGAATGGGAAAGCTGGGATCACATTTTTGTAAGTGGGAGCAGCTTAAGATTAATTAAGATTTGTTTTCTTCTCCACCGTGAGCCTGTTAAAAGGGTAACTCTATTTTGCGGCCTGGATAACTTATTTAGTATATTTTTCTTGAGTTGAGAATGTTAGCAGACATCTACTGAGTGAGTAGTGTGGGTGTGTGGGGGATGAGTGGGTGAGTATGTGTGTGGGTGGGTGAGTATGTTTGTGTGATGGAGGGGGGCAGGGAGGGGGCAGGATTGTTCCAGTAAAATTACCTCCAGATTTGTTTAATTTTTTTTTTTTATATAAGTGAATAACATTTACAATTGACACATTATGTTTAGGTACTTATACATTTACTTTGTTGCTAAGTTATATATACTGCAAATAAGTTTGTGTTTAATTATGTTTATGTAAAAGCATCAATATTGAACACGTTTATTTTATTCAATTGTATGTTATGGTTTATATTACACATTTGGAGAAATAAAACAAAATTGTTAAAAATTTAAAAAAAATCGGGGCGGGTGGTGATGCTTCGTCTTTCACTTCATTTCTATTTTACGGAATATTACTCAACTTTGTGGTGGTAATTTAATTGGCTGTGGTGGTGATTTTAACTGACTGCTCAGAAAGCATAAATGCTTGTTAGAAGACTTTGCACTCTGAATTTGATAAACAACTTTTAAACTTTTTAAACCAAAGAACGAATGTATAAATTGGGTATATTCAGAGTCATGCTAAAATAAGGAACAATGAACACATTACACACAAATACAATAATATACCAACGATACTCTTTAATCCATGTGTTACAACATTTTACAATGTAAAACAAAGCAAAACAGATATGTGTAGCATTCTGAGTCACATAAAAATACAAAAATTATACAAGCATACTGACGAACTTGCACAATTAGCGCATGTTCCTTTCCGCTTTTGTTTACTGTTTTAGAACCAAGATGATCAATAGACGTACTATTTACAGAGTATAGTCCAACCTGTCTTTTTAGGTCACTGAAGAAAAGCAGAGGAAGTGGCCACGGTAAACAGGTGGCCCTACTAAACAGATTTTTCAACACACGTTTTTTTTTTATTTGAAAGTGAAAATATATTGCCACTATAGATAGGTGACCTGTATAGAGAGGAGGCCACTAATACAGGTCTTGTTATATATATTTCAAAATATGTCATGGCAGTGTGTTTATTTGCATATATTGAGTTTCACAAAAACAAAACAGTACCTTAGCATACTAACCAATTTTTTTTTTAGTACGTTTCCCGTTTGGGATGGGAATTTTCAGAACAACAGGTGACTCGACATTGTATAATTATTTTGCAAAGTTCTACACCAAAACAGAGTGTTTGAACTATCTTACAGCATACTATTGGTTTGTGTATACTGCATGAGTCAAACGGAAATCCCAAACCAAGACATTGGACTACAGATCTGACTAAAGCAAATTTAGCACATAATGATAATAATAAATCTGCATTTATATAGCGCTCAATACGAAATACCGTCTCTTAGCACTTTACTGAATCGGATATTATTATTGGCCCGGTCAACATGGTGTTTTTTTGTATAGTAAATAGCAAAAGGATTGTTCACATTTTGCTTCTATTTTGATTTAAAATGTTTACAATTTTGTTAACACATGTTAAAAATGAACACATGTTCCTACCGTTCAATGGAAAACGATTTAGACCATGTTCTTAGTTACAAGTATATACAGTGTATATATATATATATATATATATAGTTATATCTTTCCCTCTATCACTCTCTTTAATTTTCTTACAGAGTAACAAAATATATATATATGTATATATACGTCAGAAATCTATAGATATTTTTTAACAAATCTCCCATTCCGATTGTATGAGTCGCTGTCTTTAAAAGGACAATTTCTTTTAAAGAAAGAAAAAAAAAATCACATGTAAATCAGGGTTGGGAGATGCTTCCTTTCCTTAGATGAGAATCGCTTGAACCCTTTGGAACCCACTATCTCTCCTCCTCGATCTCATCCTAGATCTCTCTTTATAGTGTTCGTGTCATGTTGACGGTTCGAAGGAGTGTACCTATCATGTACCTCGTGAGAACTATAGTCGGGTGTTTACAGACCCCGAAGTTAATACAAACCGAATCCCTCTTTTTTTTAACTGCGCAAGCTCGGGAAAAACTTGAATTGAATGCCATGCAACAATCCGAAACAACAACATCAACGACAGCAGCAGCAACAACAACAACAACCACAACATTAACTACTATAACTTGTACTACTACTCATAATTATAATAAAGATAACAATCCTACTACTATACTACTACTATTGCTACTACTACTACTACTCCTCTACGTATTATACTACTACTTCTACTACATCACATTATATATCACATTTACATTCAGCTTTTCAACCCCCTCCCCTGCACCACCCCCCCCCCCCCCCCCCGGTGTCAAAGTGCATACGAGACACAAAGACACTATTGGTCAACATGCAGGTAACAGGAACTGCCCAGATGAATTTCAACTCCTTCCACTGTTTATCACATTAGACACTTTATTGGTGCATGATCATTGCATTGTCGGGCATTATGATTTTGTTGCATTGACATATTTCCAAAATAACAAGAAATATTCAAATTGTAAAATTCCAAAGAAATTAACACACGATCTACTTTAATGTTCTAAATAAAGATACTTTATATATTGGAAATTATTCATGCTGGTACTTTAATACCACTCCTACATAAAATACCAAATATAGTCAAAATGTATCGTTATGGACTGTATCAAAAGAATGTCACTTTATGCTAATATGTACAAGACAATTGTGGTTGTAACCGATAACAATATGAACTAGAAATGCAATCGTGTCACAACGATGTGCGTGCAATGACGCCATGTTTCTACGTGTCAAACGAAAGAGCTTCTCTCGCCCTATCCAGAGCAATTTGTACGAAGTCTGTAGCTTCTGTGATATTGGAGATAGGTAGGGCGAAAGAAAGGCCTCAACAGTGACCTTGATGGGATGGTAGTGACCAGTGGCGTAGACAGGTTTGTACATCTGGGGGGGATGACTCAGGGACGGATCTAGCTTTTTGCTAAGGGGGGGGGGTTGACCAAAATAATGACGATGCGGAGCATCGTCCACGACGAGCCGCGAAGCGGCGAGCCGATTTTTTTTGGGGGGTGTTTATTTGAACCCCGTAAGTGATGTTTTCCTGGCATCTATTAACACATGGAGACCATAAAAAGCAGTGCATGATAACGTCTTTTTAAATCAAGTAACAGTTAAATACACAGTTATATCCAGAGTTATCATGTGTTTGGTTAAGTTACCAGATGAGTTGAATATCTTCTCACAATATTTGCACTTGAAATGGTTTCTCTCCAGCGTGCGTTCTTTTTTTTTTTTTTTTTTTTTTCTTCTTTTTTTTCCCTTTTTTGTTTTGTTTGTTTTTTGGGCCGCCCAAGGGGGGGTTTAAACCCCTAAACCTCCCCCGTAGATCCGCGCCTGTTTAATCTTGTGGTTATCTTGTGGTTTCCAAACCACAAGATAACCACAAAATACTTGTAAGATTTTCTTTTTCTTACCGTCTGAATTGGCTTTCACCTTGTGAATGCGGCTAATAACAATAAACACAATTACAATAATGATGAGGATTATTATTATCATCATCATAATTATTATTATTATTAATATTATAATTGTTATCATTATTATTATTACTATTATTATCATCATTATAACTTATTAAGTAAGCAAATATCATTCCCCAAAACCTGGGGGGGATGATTGTACATGCCATCCCCCCCACCTTGTGAAGTGGGGGGGATGCATCCCCCTCATCCCCCCCGTTGTCTACGCCCTTGGTAGTGACTATGCCTACGAAGTTTGAAAGAAATTGGGATATGGGAAAGGACGTGGAAAGGGCTCGCAAGCACTGCGTGCAAAAACCAAGGGGATTTGGTGCATGTTCGTCATTGCAATAAAGATCGTTCTGGGGGTCAAAAGCGTGAACCCGATATGCCCCATAGACAATGCGTGTAATGCATGAGCGGAAAACGTACAGGATCTGTATTATGACCGGAGTTAAATTGTTTTTTCTCTCTCTCTTTATGTCTCTTTATGAGCCGTATTTGGTATCATTAGAAAGAGAATTTCATGAATGTTATTGTAAACCACTCTCTTTTTTCCCATGATAATCCTATCGAAACACGTGATGTAAAATAGATTTATAGGACAAAATGGCGTCTTAAATAGCCACATTGACCAATTTTAAAAATCCGGCCATGAGGTGCCCTGCGTATTGGAACTCGGCATGTCACTGCAAATTTTCAAGGAAAAAAAAGGACGTTTAAGGGGCGAAAAGCAGTCTGAAAAAATGACGTCATAGCCGATACGTGTTAGATTCGGGCGGAAACTCGGCGGAATTCGTGTAGTGATCTTTGTTCAAATGCGATTTATTCACAATTTTCTGTGTGAACATATACTATACTTGGTATCATTCGAAAGGGCACTTCATTGCGGTCAGTTTGACACCATTGTTATCTTCGCGCAATGTATTGCACGCATTTAACGCGCTATCACGCAATGCATAGTAAATACATCATTTTTTGAGATAACTTTGCGCTGACATAATCAAATTTTACCAAACTTTGCGGACAGTTGTCACGTATATAAATACATGTGTGTGCCAAGTTTTATTGACGTAGGTCAAAGGATCGTAATTTTAGAGCAAGTTGAAGTTATTTTGGAATTTTCTTGAAAATGGCGAATTTGGAGGGCAATTTTCTCAAATTTGGTCAGTGATAGGGTATATAATTTTGTATATGGCTGGAAAGGGCATATCTTCAAGTATCTAAATCCAAAAAAGGGTACGGGTTTGCCAAGCCATTATGGAGATACGGCCACAGAGAGAAAGCCAATTCCCAGAACTTTAGAGGGCGCTATTTATGTTGTGCAAAGTCATTGGAGCGTGAAATTTGGCATGGCTATGTGCAATTATGAGATAAGGATACTGTGAGATTTAAATACAAAACGGAATTTATATGAGAAAGTTATGGCAGTTTTAGATTATTTAGGTGTCAATTTTTCAAGAATTTGAGAGATAGTTGACGGAGTCGGTTTCAGATTTGAATTTTGAGTATGAAGATGGCATTTTGAAGGGCAGGTTATACGTCGCAGATAAAAGAACATCTCTTAGACTATCTAGAGGAATTTGTTAGAAATGTGTAGGATCTAGGATAGTGGAGATAGGAAGGAAGAAAGAAAGGCCTTAAAATGGACCAGAAACGGACAAAATGGCGCCTGGACGGTTATGCATGAGTGATTTCGAAAATCGAAGAATGTAGTGACCTTGAAGGGATGTTAGAGACTATGCCTATGAAATGTGAAAGGAAAAGGACATGAGAAAAGCACCTAACTAGGAATAACAAACATTACGTGCAAAACGAATGCGATTTCCTGACGATAAGGATAAGGATAAGGAAAAGGAAAAGGAGGAAAAGGAGAATACTAGAAATGCAATCGTGTCAGAACGATGTGCGTGCAATGACGCCGTGTTTCTATGTGTCAAACGAAAGAGCTTCTCTCGGACTATCCAGAGCAATTTGTACGAAGTCTGTGGCTTCTGTGATATTGGAGATAGGTAGGGCGAAAGAAAGGCATCAACAGTGACCCTGATGGGATGGTACTATGCCTACGAAGTTTGAAAGAAATTGGGATAGGGGAAGGAACCTAGAAAGGGCTCGCAAGCACTGCGTGCACAAACCAATGGGATTTGGTGCATGTTTGACATTGCAATCAAGTTCGTTCTGGGGGCCAAAAGCGTGAACCCGATATGCCCCCATAGACAATGCGTGTAATGAATGGGCGGAAAACGTGCAGGATCTGTATTATGGCCGGAGTTAAATTGTTTTTTCTCTCTCTCTTTACGTCTCTTTATGGGCCGTATTTGGTATCATTAGAAAGAGAATTTCATGGTTGTTATTGTAAACCACTTTCTTTTTTTCTATGATAATCCTATCGAAACACGTGATGTAAAATAGATGTATAGGACAAAATGGCGTCTTAAATGGCCCCCTTGACCAATTTCAAAAATCCGGCCATGAGGTGCCCTGCGTATTGGAACTCGGCATGTCACTGCAAATTTTCAAGGAAAAAAAAGGACGTTTAAGGGGCGAAAAGCAGTCTGAAAAAATGACGTCATAGCCGAAACGTGTTAGGTTCGGGCGGAAACTCGGCGGAATTCGTGTAGTGATCTTTGTTCAAATGCGATTTACTCACAATTTTCTGTGTGAACATATATAATACTTGGTATCATCCGAAAGGGCAATTCATTGCGGTCAGTTTGACACCATTGTTAACTGCGCGCAATGTATTGCGCGCATTGAACGCGCTATTACGTAATCCATAGTAAATTCATCATTTTTGGCGATAACTTTGCGCTGACATATTCGAATTTTACCAAACTTGGTAAACAGTTGTCACGTATATGGATACATATGTCTGCAAAGTTTCATTGATGTAGGTATAACGATCGCCATTTTAGAGCAAGTTGAAGTTATTTCTCAATTTTCTTGAAAATGGCTTATTTGGAGGGCAATTTTCTCAAATTTGGTCAGTGATAGGGTATATAATTGTGTATATGGCTGGAAAGGGCATATCTTCAAGTATCTAAATCCAAAAAAGGGTACGGGTTTGCTAAGCCATTATGGAGATACGGCCACAGACAGAAAGCCAATTCCCAGAACTTTAGAGGGCGCTATTTATGTTGTGCAAAGCCATTGGAGCGTGAAATTTGGCATGGCTATGTGCAATTATGAGATAAAGATACTGTGAGATTTAAATACAAAACGGAATTTATATGAGAAAGTTATGGCAGTTTTAGATTATTTAGGGGTCCATTTTTCAAGAACTTGAGAGATTTTTGACGGAGTCGGTTTTAGATTTGAATTTCGAGTATGAAGATGGCATTTTGAAGGTCAAGTCATGCGTCGCAGATGAAAGAACATCTCTCAGACTATCTAGAGGAATTTGTTAGAAGTTTGTAGGATCTAGGATAGTGGAGATAGGAAGGAAGATATAAAGGCCTTAAAATGGACCAGAAACGGACAAAATGGCGCGTGGACGGTCATGCATGAGTGATTTCGAAAATCAAAGACGGTAGTGACCTTGATGAGATGTTAGAGACTATGCCTATGAAATTTGAAAGGAAAAGGACATGAGGAAAGCACCTAACTAGGTATAACAAGCACTACGTGCAAAACGAATGGGATTCCGGACGACAAGAAGAAGAAGAGGAAGAGGAAGAGGAATAAGAAGTAAGAATATTAATAAGAAGAATGTGAACGAAAACAAGGCAATGACGAAGGTTCGTCATTGCAATTAATGGGGCAGAATGTGAACGAAAACAAGGCAATGACGAAGGTCGTCATTGCAATAAAGCTGTGAAGTCCGCATAATATATTTATACATGCTGATAATGTTCAAGCATACCAGGCGAAAAGAAATATATCAATACCAATCACACACACAGCTACGATATCAAGAATGATGACGTCACGCCTGGTCTGGACCACCTTCTCCATTTGCTCTTGCTCTCTTATCTTGATATCCTCATCCGAAATCGTCTCGTCGTTCGTAGAAAACCCACAGAACCACTGATAGGCACGTTTCCAACGCGACTCGACCTTTATCGGTTCTTCACCTAGATTAATGAGCAGTAACATAATATAATGGTAAAATAAACATTAACGGTCGACAGTAGGCCTACCTTATACATGTCAACTTACGATGATGGGGAAATAACTGTGGGATAAAGTTCCGAAGCATTTCACCTAACCGATATCATGAAGCTTATTATTTTTTATCTAGAAAACATGACTGTGTGTCTAACAGCTTACTAAGCATTTGCAGGTAATTTAACTGATAGTTTAGATAGAAGAGAAAGCATAGGAACTGGATCTGGATGAGTCATGTCATGAGAAGAAAATCAAACACTGAGCATCCCAAAAGTAGCCCGGCAGGGAACATAAAGTAGGTTGAAAAAGTAAAGAGGATGACCCAGGAACCACCTGGCGTCGAACCTTAGAAGATGAAATGAAGGTAATCGAGCCTGACCTGACCTGGGAAATTACCCAGAATAAAGCCGAAAAACAGACAAGAGTGGAAGACCTTCGTTGCTGCTCTTCATGCCAGGATCGAGGCATAATGGGCAGTAAGTAGGTACGTTTTTCAGTAAGTCAGTCAGTAAGTATGTAGGTAAGTAGGTAATGAATTAAGTCAGTCAATCAGTCAGTAATTATGTAAGTAGGTAATGAATTAAGTCAGTCAATCAGTAAGTAATTATGTAATAAAGTAAATAAGTAAGTAGGCCAATCAGTCAGTAAGTAATTATGTAATTAAGTAAACAAGTAAGAAGGTAGTTAGATAGGTAATTCAGTACGTCAGTCAGTCAGTAAGTAATTATGTAATTAAGTAAAAACGTAAGTAGGTAGGTAGATAGGAAATTCAGTACGTCAGTAAGTAATTATGTAAGTAAATAAGCAAGTAGATAGGTAGATATGTAAGTCAGTCAGTCAGTAAGTAATTATGTAATTAAGTAAATAGGTAGGTAGGTAAATAAGTAATTCATTAAGTCAGTCAGTCAGTAAGTAATCATGCAATTAAGTAAGTAGGTAGGTAAGTAATAATTAAGTAAAGTAAGAGAGCAAGGTAGTGAATAAGTAGATAGTTAAGTAGGTAAGTCAGAAATTAAGTAGGAAGGTATAGGTAAGTCAGTAGATAAGTAAGTCAGTATAGTTAGTCACTCATTATGTAATTTAGTCAGTAAATAAGTAGATGGAATAAGAAAATAACTATGATAAAAGACAGTAATAAAGGAGATGTGAATGCCCAATTCCTGATTCAATTGGCTGATGATAATCCTATGATGATTACATTACCTTGTCTCATGATATGCTGATCATCAGGAGATGTCTTTTTCTCTGACATTGTCACTGAGAGTTTAGTTTCATCCATAGGACCAGGCCGCGAGATCTGTGCATTCAAATACAAACAATTCAATGAGCTCACTTTCACACACTGTCACGCACGTTATAACGCACACATTTTGTGTAGCTCTAGGTAGATTTATCTTCCTATCTCTAAATAAAATTATGTTTGCACCCTTGTCGTTTAGTGGCTAGGAAAGGTAAATTTTACTCTATTGATTTATTCTCAATTAAGTATAGGTTTACCAACATCAGACTCGATATGATTCAAAATCATAGACAAGTCATATTACTTCTGGAGACAGACTAGGCCAACAGCTTTAAAGGTACTATGTCTCATTTGCAGGTCAAACAAATGAAAAGGTTAAAGCCCAACGGCATTTGAAAGACAATACTAATTTAAAACTTCCCTCAAAACGAAAGGGCTTGTACACGTCTTTAAGTTGGGAAATAAAGACAATTAGACTTTAGTGATTGCAATCATTAAAGTAATAGTCTGATTTTCAGACCCTTGTACAGAATGGTCGCATGTTTTGTTCTGGGCAAAGGTTCAATCACTTTATTTTGGCCATTACAAGTAGTGGGTTATTGATGACTGATGTAGAAAAATGCTTATTTACCTCTTAGTATGTTACAGCTCATTTTATGTATGTAATTGCCAAAGGAAGTCAGACAGTGAAGTCTAGAAAGTAAACTGTTTTCTTGCAGAATGTGAACACTGCTAACGTATAAATTTCACAGATATGACATACGTGACATGTTCATGATTCTTGCAAGGTTTTACAGAATTTGATGTTGGCTGGAAATGGAACATAGTACCTATAATGGTGTTTCCGCCAAGTCTCCATGGTGTCGGCGTATTATGCCCTACTCCACATGGAAATTGACTACCATTTCCGTCTAAGGCTCTGAAACACTGTTGCCCGGCCGTTAAGTTGGAATAATTTTAAAACCCGTTTTCATGCAATGATTGTGACAATATGGTTAATTATCTACTCAGAACTTTATTGGCAGGAATTAATTCCTTGAAATGCTAGAGCGCCGCAGTGGCTGCCTTACTAAAGCCATAGTAATAATCGGTGCAGCGCCCACCAGGAGCATCACAACGTGACGGACATGTGCGCTATATAAGAAGCCACCATTACTATTATTTATCAATATTATCAATAGCTATAACTCTTTTGATTGATCAACACATTTCTGAGAACATATAAACCTTATTTATACAAAAAATTGTCATAATTCTAACAATAAATTTTCATGCGAACCGGAAAATTATTCAAACTTTATTCCAACAGTGTAGCGCAGGAATTAAGTGAACAATACTTATATTACAATTGATACTCAATCACGTATCTGACTGAGGCAAAGTAATATTTATTATAAGTTATTACTTATCAAAATAGCTGACCGGTAACACTGTCTAAATAATTATATCATCAGCGACCTATTTTGAGCCACGTGCTTACCTCTTCTTCGATTGGTTGCTCTTCGCCCATGATATAAGTTTCTTTCATTGGATTGTTCTTTCCTTCTAACATCTCGTTTCTCTTCATATCACTGATGTTCTTCCTTTCCTCTCGATTGAATCGTGTCCAGAACGTTAAGCGATACAGCTGAAAGTCGAATAATAATAATAATAATAGTTAAACTTTGTGTTGTAAAGCGCATAACACATAGGCATTAGAGGTGTTGTGGTCTAGTGCATAAGTCACCCGACTGCAGATCACATGGTACGGGGTTTAAATCCCAACCCGGCACTATCTACATTTGCTACTCTCCGCCAGCTGTTAAAAAGGTACCCGGTAGGATGCTAAATTTAATGAAGTTCGCTAAGCATTGTGAGCGTCTGTAAAATTAAGCCTGACTGGGATGCTCCCCAGGGAGTGGTGAATGTGCACACATTGTGTGTGGGAAATTAAGCCTGAATCCGATGACCGGGGTAATAGTATATCTGTAAAGCGCTTAGAGACGTCGTCGATGTATCAAGCGCTATATAAATGCGGAATATCATTATTATTTTGATTACTTGCATGTCCGCTTTACAGAATAGAACATAGAAGGAGTGGAAATGGTGCCCTGGGCTCATAATTGTGAGATCTTACAAAATGGCAAACTAGATATATTTCCAAATGACTTCTAAACTTGTCATATCTTTCTATATTTCTAAGGTATTCTGGAACTTATTCCATAAAACAGTGACTGCATATGAAAATAACTTTCTTCATACGATTTTGTAACGGTTTGTGGGATATACAATAAAGACTTTTTACTTGAACGCAGCATTCTTTCTTGTATATATTTTACTAATATTTCAATGAGATATGATGGAGCAAATTACATGATGGAAACATTGACAAGTTAATCATAGTACTTTAAATTTGATGTGGGACTCGATAAACCATCATTTAGTGCATCACATCAAGGAGGTAGTACAACTGGATTTAAAGCCATGAGCTTGTCTTTGAAGTAGCTTCAAAACCGCCGCAACATGCATTTAATGCAGCTCACAGTATGTTATCATTGTTGGAATGTTGCATGCAACTTCCAAAACTATTTCATCTAAAGTAAAGTAAAGTCCCGGCCCTTTTCATTTTAGATAAAGTAAAATAAATATATGAATTAATTTAAAAAACTGCTACTTACGTAATCTTCTGGAATGGGTTGCGTTAGTAAACTAATGATGATAATAACTATTACAGTCCACCAGAAGAGAAAGAGTGCAAAGTACATGTAATGAAAGAGAATAGCGGCAGCAGCTTCGGGTCTCTCATCCGGCTCACCGCATCCCGGTTTCGGATAGACGAAATCGAGTACCATCCGAATAAATCCGATTACTAATGCACTCATCAACCCCCAGAATGCTCCGGTTTCATTCACGCGCTCCCACAGTATACCGACTAGAAAAAAAAACGAGAAATTTTTATACAGTAGGCTTGCGGGTGCACCATGTGAGAGAGAGAGAGAGATTTTTATATTGAAAAAAAACTTAATTTATAGCTTGAAATGAACACGTTTGGCCAATATGGATAGCTGTTACAGCATATGAATATAATCATGTTACTACCAGGGATCTATTTCGGCGGATTTTGTCCAACGCCAGGACGTTCATATTATGCAATATAATCAGTATGCCATGTCTAACACTAGGCCTTATTTTTTCAAATTGAATCGCAATTATCTATACAAATTCCTACAAGAGGCATGTAGAAATTGAACTCCATCTAAAATTGAATTATTTTACACGACCTTAAACATATGAGTTTTAAACAATAACTCGGATGGAGCTTCTCAGCAAATTTATTGCAATATTTACACTGAATTGTTGGCACTTTCTATTAAGGAACAGAAAATATATTACATTTTGAACAAGAAACAAAAAGGATAATGTTCAGGACCTGACCAGATTCCAAGAAACATTAAACAAAAAAAATCAAATTTGATACTTGTAAAAAAAAAAAAATCATTGTACCAATCAACTGTAAATCTCTTGCGACATCAATTTATATTTATTAGTTTCAAAGTTTAATCCTGAATATTAATCTGTGTTAATTGAAAGGAAAAATTACCTGTATACACTGCAGCGATAGAGGGAGCTAGATATGCAGATATTTGCTGGATATAGTCAAACAGTTTTCCATTCTGACTATTTTGAACAACGGGAACCCATAATACACTCACGACCACCAGAATTAGCACGAAAACTCTGCGCCATACAAAATGAAATAAAATGGCATATGTTTTATGTATTAGTGTGATGTACGAGTAAAATTAGTCTGTATGACTATTTATATGTGATTTTAAACTTAACTAAAATAATAAAGAACAAGGAAATGCCTAGCTTCATTCCTCTCTGTTTATTTTTGCACTATAATCATTGAAAAAATATGCTTTTCTGCGATTAATATTACATTCCAAGTCTGCACGACATATTGTAAATTCCGGTCGCTCCTTTCGAACTATAAATAAACCTTCGAAATTTGAATTTTATGGTCTGTGACCAGACATTCACTGATCTTCTTTAAAAATCCTAAATTCACTAGATAAAATCCGCAATTATGTTAACACTGTGTCTACTGTAGAAACGTGCGAGTTGAGCCTGTTAGATCTTTTTTCCATGCTTGTAAGAATTCGGAGAGAAAAATATACAACGTTTTGAGAATCTGAAAAAATTCCTGTGATCATTCATGATTAATCCAATGGTCAATCGGCCTTTTTTGTTTTCCTCTGATTTTTAATTGAAATATACAAACCTGCCAACGATCATAAGTTCGACTTCGTATTTTCTTTTGGCCTTTTTGTCCAGTTTCACCATTTCCTTTTCATCCGGGAACTTTCTAATGTGGCGCCATATATCCATGGTAAAGATGGATGACCCACTGTTAAAGATGGACGTCAGTGAACTCATGAGGGCGCTTAACATGACAGCTAACATTAAACCACGAACACCTTTAGGGGGTAGTGAAAGGGCAAAAGAGACTCGGTAAAAAAAAAAAAAAATTAAACCACCCACATGAATACATTTGTCCAAAAAAAATTATCTAAAAGTAGCAGGCGTATGGAAAATCAGCCTGCAAGAAGAACGAGGCTTTGAGAATGTATGTCTGGAGCTATATTTATGTTTTTAAATGAAATTTGTTTTATCGGTAAACTGAAATTATCAAAAGATCATCCGCAACATGCTGTTAACGCCAGGGTATACACTACTTTAGATTTACGCATATCGATCTGCTGCTCACAATGTTCCGATGCGTCGACAGCCATGTCCCACAATGCATCACCAACTAATAGACCAGTTTCGTAATGTAGCCTAATACATGTACAGTTAATTAATTTTTTGTGGAAAGTGCCTCGTTACAAAAGATTTCATTCACCTTTGTAAATGCCTCCGTTTTCGTTGAGGGACTGACGTCTTTTGCTAGAATATCAAATGTCCAAGTTTGCGAACGAGCAAAGCAAGTGAGCACTCTTTTTGCCAAAGTATTATAGTGTTGTGTAGGGGAAGTATAACCCCTACAGCCGACAGCAATTTACTCTCCGATCTCATTCGTTTAAGTCTCAATAGTCAATTACTTGTTGCTAGGTATGGCAGACATTATGGCTCCCTGAGGAGTAGAATAATGACTGAATAATATTTACCATCAGGCAGTACGTTCATAACCATCAGGGGGTAGGGCAGACATTATGGCTCACTGTGGAGTAGAATAATGACTGAATAATACTCACCATCAGGCAGTACGTTCATTACCATCATGAGGTAGGGCAGACATTATGGCTCACTGTGGAGTAGAATAATGACTGAATAATACTCACCATCAGGCAGTACGTTCATTACCATCAGGGGGCAGGGCAGACATTATGGCTCCCTGGGGAGTAGAATGATGACTGAATAATACTTACCATCAGGCAGTACGTGCATTACCATCAGGGGGTAGGCCAGACATTATGGCTTCTTGGGGAGTAGAATGATGACTGAATAATACTTACCATCGGGCAGTACGTTCATTACCATCAGAGGGTAGGGCAGACATTATGGCTCCCTGGGGAGTAGAATGATGACTGAATAATACTTACCATCAGGCAGTACGTTCATTACCATCAGGGGGCAGGGCAGACATTATCGCTCCCTGGGGAGTAGAATGGTGACTGAATAATACTTACCATTAGGCAGTACGTTCATTACCATCAGGGGGTAGGGCAGACATTATGGCTTCTTGGGGAGTAGAATGATGACTGAATAATACTTACCATCAGGCAGTACGTTCATTACCATCAGGGAGTAGGGCAGACATTATGGCTTCCTGGGGAGTAGAATGATGACTGAATAATACTTACCATCAGGCAGTACGTTCATTACCATCAGGGGGTAGGGCAGACATTATGGCTCCCTGGGGAGTAGAATAATGACTGCATAACATTTACCATCAGGCAGTACGTTCATTACCATCAGGGAGTAGGGCAGACATTATGGCTTCCTGGGGAGTAGAATGATGACTGAATAATACTTACCATCAGGCAGTACGTTCATTACCATCAGGGGGTAGGGCAGACATTATGGCTCCCTGGGCAGTAGAATGATGACTGAATAGTACTTACCATCAGGCAGTACGTTCATTACCATCAGAGGGTAGGCCAGATTAGAGCAACCATCTTTAGATCCACAAATCTCCTCGCAGTTATCTACACACGCGACTATGTCTGTAGATAAAGAAATAAAGAAAGAAACATAGACAGGGAAGATAGAGGGAGAGGGGAATATACAAAAGAATGAAAGAGGGAGAGAGAGCAAGAGAGATAGAACAAACGAGAGAGATATAAAGAGAGAGAGAAAGAGAGATAATGAGAGAGAGAGAGAAAGAGAGAGATATAAAAAGTAAGAGAGAATGCGAAGGAGAGGGGGATGAGAGAGAGAGAGACTGGGACAAACAGACACACAGAAAGAGAATGTGTCATGTTTAGAGAGAGTGTGTGTGTGTGTGTGTGTGTGTGTGAGAAAGAGAGAGAGAGAGAGAGAGAGCAAAAAAAAGGTAGATAAAGGCAAATAGAGGGATAGAGAGAAGAAAAGAGCACAAAAGAATAGTGTTAAAAATGACTGGAACCACGCTACGTCACAGTTTAGGTGTGGAGTGGCAGTACGGTTATCATGATGCAACCGATTAACCGATTGATGTATGATAGCATTGCATAAATTTATAAATGTCTAAATGAGTCAGAAATATTCTCCTCAAATGAGCTCCAACTATTTATATTTTCAGATCTATTACAGTTTTTTTTTAATGGAGAAAAAGCTATGCGGATGACTAATTAGAAAAAGAAATAATAATAAAATGACAATTTGTACTTAAAGGCCTAAACGTGTTTTGGTTATATTAAGTTAAAGATATATTTTTTTAAATCCTCTTATGAGGAACTCCATTTGCTCATATCATGAAATAACAGCTATTTACAACAATGTTTATTTACAGAATTCATTCAATTCGGTGTAACATATCATATATAGTACAAAACATGAAATTAATGTGACATATTTTTGTCACTTCTTTTGTATCGAATTTCTTTTGATTACATTTCATATCGAGCTGGTGCGAATTTCTACCTTTAATTCTTGTAGCAAATATACATGTGCTTTTCACTTCCCAAACATTTTTTAATTTTGTTTCTATAGATAATAAACTGAGCAAAGTATTAAACAAAATAAGATTGACCAGATTCATTTCTCTTCTCTCTATTTCATGACCTATTAAAATAGTTTTTCGTTCAAAAAGGCGAAACCTTCTTACAAGCCAGAAGAAGGTGGTTAGTTGTATTTGGGATCTTACAGATATCACATAGATTATAATGTTTAATCTTCCATTAACATAAATTCTCTTTACTGGTCAATATTCTATCAATAGATTTACAATTTAAAGGTAAAGACCAATTTTTGGAAACACCCCCTCTCAAAAAATGAAATGGAAGCTCTTATTACCAATCATGTGAATGTATATGATTTGACTAATACGTGATGATACAAATTTTTCCAAGAAACTGCCTACTAATTGATATATTTGGTAAATTATTATATCTAGTTGGACCGGATAGATATCGCGCACGTGTCACGTAGTCCAATATACATCTTTCTGTGTACAGTGCTTGTAATTTTACCAAGACTAGGCCAAATTTCTTATCATTTTGATGATTCCAGAACATTGCAGTACACACCAATACTTATATGCTAGATGATCAACCTTTTCTGATCGATTCCACAACGTTTCTTTCACAATTCAATCGCATGACCATAACTGGTCTTTATCTTTAAGAAGTTAAAGATATTATATACCCACCTGGATATAAAATCCTGGAGATCATTCCGGGCATCACAATAAAGAATAGAGGTGTAATCTTAAAGAGTCCCGCGAGGATAGTTGCTCCTTTACCGTGCGATAGATTCTTAGCTGCCAAGGTTCGTTGTACTATCACCTGAAAAACAACAACCACCAATCAATTCAATTCAATTCAATTTATTTCGCAATATAAAAATCAAAGTATATAAAGTAACAGTAAATTGTAACTATATTTGCAAAGGTTATATGCAGGGCTTTCCATGAAGGTTGCGAAAACATGTGAAGTTGGATCGCCCATTACAGAATGAAAAACAAAAATTCAAAATATTGTAAGCACACAACAATAAATCAAGTAAAATAAGGAAAGTACAAACACTTCAACTATGTATAAGACGAGAGAGAGATTTTAAAGCGGGAAAAGAAAACAACAATGAAAGGGGGTTCAGATATACAAAATCAAAGACTGTGATGATTAATAATTATTTAGTAGTAAGATTTTATTTTGTTTTCTAAAGGAAGATATGAATTGTGATTTCGTTATTACTTGGGGAATCATATTTCATTGTTTAGGACCTAGATACTGCATTGATTTAGCTTCATAACTTCATCACATGCTTGCTGTTATCACTGAAAATCCAAAGGATTCAATTCAATTTAATTCAATTTATTAATTTCATAAAACTTAAGGATATAATATATACTACAATTGTGCCTGGGAAATAGCATTAAAAAGCCGGTGGCTTGTAATAAAACATAGCGATTCCCCTTACCATCATAGTTATGAAGAAAACGAATACAAAATGCTACACCCTTCACCTTGATTTCAAGGCATGAATGAGTAAACTTAGTGCCAATATTTGCTGCTAATTCCTACGAAATGCTTTTTCTTATAAATTATTATTCCTAGACCTGTTGCACAAGAAGCGTTATTATCATATTGCGCCATCAATCAATAGCCATTTTTTTTTTAAAACTGTAATAAAGTTTTATATATAATTGTTTGTGAAGTGCCACTGTACATAATACTTCTTTCACCTGTTTCGAATAATTGTCTCTCGACAGTCAGGATGTGAATTTCATACAGTAAGTGCTGCTAGGAAGGACAAACATTATGGCTTGTCCTACCTATAACAAGACCGAATGATTGCAATTCGTATTCCGACTATTAAAATACAGTTATTCTTAACAGGTGTATTATGTAACATGGCACTTAACGAAGATTTATATATCAAATTGGATTCCATTACGATGGGTCAATTGGTTTGCATGAGGGCTCTGATGTATGTTTCTTTGTTTTATTTATACACCATTTAAAATAATTGCTTACAGATAATACAATTCAGTGGGTTACATCGAGATAAAATACATAGTAGGAACAGTGCATAAACAAAACATGTATGAAGCGCAACGTCCCCAAGATAATATAGTTGATATTTATTAGGTTGAGATAGAACATGGCATAATATAAGACGTCGTTTTGTGATGGTGGTTATTTTACCTGACTGCTAAGAAAGCATAAATGCTTGTAAGTAAACAACCCGACGGCCGACGGCTTTAGGTCCTCTCCGAGGGACCTGGTAATGAGGGTTAATGCCTAAATTACCAAAGGGCACTAGCGCATCGACTTGGTTTCGAACCCCGGTCACCGGATTACGAGACCACTGCTCTACCGACTGAGCTATCGCGCCGTTCTGTCGTTACAACAATAAAAACATATGTACCTGGTCAGTAGTCCAGTACCAGAGAGAAGCGGTGGTCTGACCGAAGATAAACCCAGGCCAGGGTAGATCTGAATCTATAGGGTCACGGAACATATGAAAGAAATCATCCCGAGGTTCTCCACATGTGTCATTACCATACTTGGTTTCATTGGGAACTGCTTCACTGTATAAAGGCTCCAGGTTCGAGTAGCCACCGATCTCGTTGAAACCTGAAATAATGGAAAAAATAATATCTCTAATTAACTCTAAACGTTATCATTCAATAGCCTCCTAATTTGTACATTGTAAATATATTTCATGTTATGTCAAATTTTATCATGAGAAGGGTTTTATTGAATTGAGTTGAATTGAATGAATATTTGACATCTTATGATTTTTGTTTCAATCGTTGAGCAGAATAACAACAATCTGTATTTTGTATATTGGGCAAACTATTCCACAAATTTTGCATGTTGGCTACAATGTGACACCTAAAAAGAACAAACACCCTAATTAATATTTGGCCCAGCAGTTTTCATGACGGAATGATGTCGAATAAGAAGTAAAGATTTTTAGATTTAAGAATTTGATATCTTTACAGATATTTGTAAAAATTGGAGAGATTTTCCATAATACTAAGATAGGCTTACGAGCATGAAAAACCAACAATTTTTTTTTCAAAACTAGCCTGTGTAATTTACACGAGCTTTCAGATATTTAAAAATGTTCAAAACCGCTAAAAAATGATAATTCTAATAATAATAGCTTTCATGATGATAATGATAATAATAGTAATGATAATAATGATGATTATAATAATATCAATACTTATTCTTCTAAAGTGCATTATCATTATCTTACCAAAGCTTTAAAGGTACTATGTCCCTTTTGCAACCAACCTCAAATGCTGTAGAACTTTGCAGGAATTATGAATATGTCATGTACGTCATATCTGTGAAATTTAAACGTTAGCAGTGTCCTCATATTCAAATTATGCAAGGAAACCCGTTAAATTGCTAGATTTCACTGTCAGACACTATTGAGTGACTGACTGGCTTTTTTTCTTCTTTGGTAATTTCATACATGAAAAGAGTTGTAAAGGGTACATGAGCATTTGTCTACATCAATAACCCACTTCTTGTGATGGCCAAGATTAAACTGATTGAATCTTTGCGCAGCATAAAACGTATGACCATTCTGTACACTTGTCTGAAAATCAAGACTATTACTTTGGGGCTCTATAGCCCTAAAGTCGATTTGACAACTAATAGTCGTTATTTTCCCACTTGAAGACATTTTCAAGCCCCACCTTTTTTTAGGGAAGTTCTAAATTAGTATTATCTTTCAAATGCAGTTGGAATTTAACTTTTTCATTTTTTTGGGCCTGCAAATGGGACATAGTACCTTTAACAGAATTATTATTCCATCACCATCAACATAAAGACAAATTTATTTTCTTACTTGCTATGCACAGCCATAGTGCACCTCCAAGCATGATGAAAGCTTGTAATGTATCAGTATAAATGACTGCTGCTAGCCCTCCCGTTACAGTATAGAGAGCAGTGATACACAGAAGTACAACGATGGCAACATATAGATTCCACCCCAATGCTTGTTCAATAAACAAAGCTCCAGAATACAGATCAACCTGGTACAAAATATAGAATATATTAATAATAATCTTTTTTTTTAAAGTCCACTCCAAATTTAATTCAGTTAAACCGAAAGTGGAAATTCGTTTTGCCCAATTGATCGTGAGCCCGGCAGCCACTGAGCAGCGCCAGATCGACGTTGCTCTATCCCTTATTGTTGAACGCCAAACAAGGTAGCAGCAACTCCCGTCTTTTAACGTCTTTTGGTATGACGCGGCCGGGGTTCGAACCCACGACCTCTCGGTTGTAAGGCAGACGCTCTACTGACTGAGTCAACACACCGGTATAACATTTACATGTAATCTTTGAAGGCTTCCATGAAGAAGGTTTGCGGTGACACATCGTATTCTTTCGAAAGGGTACATTGGCTCTGAAAGAGTATAACATTTACAGTTTTTAAATTTCATATTGTTTTATTCCAAAGGCAATCGAATAGTTGAAAGCCTCTATAAAATGAGTAGGGGAATGTCGATGAATCCTGTTCTCATTTTGTGCTCATTTGTTGTCACATGTTTTATTTTCATCTTCAAAGAAGTGCAAATTACAACAAAAAAACCTGTCTCTCAGTTTGCAACAACCATCTTAAACAATCAGATATATTTTGGATGATGTATATGGAAAGTAAATGAACATCAATCAAAATAACTAAAAAGATTATTCAGTACATCCCATTTCTAAGTGCTGAATATCTCGCTCCCTCTAACAAATTAAAGATAAACTTGAGTTCTGGTTTAAAAAAAAAAAACAATCTCACGGAATCAAACGAAACTTACACCGAATGTTAAAGATTACAAATACATGTCATTTGCCAAACAATTTTGGTAGAAAATGTATACTGGCTGAGTAGTGAGCATAGAAAGATAGGAAATCAAGGTAAGTGGGCCCCCGATATCATTTGTGTAGTCCCATATACATCTTTCTGTGTACAGTGCTTGTTACTTTAACAAGACCGCGCATGACCACTCATATGATTAGGATCTGGGAGTGAGTTGTATAATAAATATTGAAATATAGAACGAGTGACAGTGCTTGTTTTTCTTACAGATATCTTGGTAAAGATGTACAGAATGAGTGAGATTGTAGCTATGATCATTCGGATTCGAATCCCTCCAAACCGTTTCTCCATGTACTCTGGTAGAGTAAAGATTCCACTTGCGAGATAGACTGGTAGAAAAACCCATCCTAACACTTGGAGAATGATGAGCGCCTGTTGATATAATCAAAAGATATGTTACCATACAAACGGCAAATATATATATATATATATATATATATATATATATATATATATTTGTTTTAATGAATTATTAGGAAAAATAAAACAAAAGCAAGGAGCAAGAAATGAGAGGAAATTTCTGAAGATTCTTTTGATCAATGTAGGCCTACATGAACAAATCGAGAACTTACATGACATTGTCACGTTTAAGCATGCATGCTTGTCAAGCAATGAGTATAATTGTGCCATATACTTTTTCTCGTAGGCGTCAATCGGCTGTTATTTTTGTGTTTTATTTTTATGTATTTTTATCCAATATGTGAAGTTAAAGTGACGCCATATCGAAGATGTATAGACTAGTGACTGTGACTCTAACCATCGCTCTCGGATAATGATAATTTAACAGATAACCCCCCTCCTCAAAAAAAGGGGGGAGAGAACTATTACGATAAGTATTAAATAATATGTGATATTTGTTTTAAATTGCAACTTCCTTTGGATGTGTATGTTATGTGGGTGCATGTGTGTGGCGTGTGTGCGTACGTGAATGATTTCCTAAACACACCCGACCTACTTTAGGATAGTAAACCGAGAATTTACGAGATTAAATATTGATAGACGAGTCGGATTACAGCCTATTAACTGTGTTGACATGATCGGTCTCTTTACAACCCACACGATCTACTTGGCCTATAATTACGACATCACCACTCCACTACTCTTGAGCCCCGTTCAGATATGACGAAGCCAAACCCACGGCGTTTTTTTTTTGGTAAGGTTTTTTATGATGACGTAAAGAATAGCACGTTTCACATTTCTCACTGTGAATATGACGGACAAAGAAAGAGGACATAATATACAGTTCCTCATTCTACCCTCAACAATTGCTGTGGTAGACAAAGGAACATCCCTTCACTGCTATTATGTAAAAATAAGTAAAACAGGTAAATATGCATGTGACACCTGTTCTACACAATTTTACATAATAGCAGTAAAGGAATGTTCCTTTGTCTACCACAGCAATCGTTGAGGGTAGAATGATGAACCGTATATTTTGTCCTCTTTCTTTTTCCGTCATGTTCACAGTGTCTGTTTCTTATAACACAGAGCTAAGTGAAAACACGTAGGACCACTGTTGCGCGCTGTTGCCATTTTTTGTCATTCATTTAAACGTTGAAAAAAACATTTCTGAACGAACCTTAGAATGGGTAATTGTCTGTGGGTGGTACAGGAACTGGGCGGGGCGGGGCGGGGAAGGTATATGACTTGTTGTAATAAACTACTATTATTGCCATGACTATACTTAGAACATGTAATAAAATATTATAAGCATTCTTTGGTCTTACATTGAGTTCAAATGCTCCCACAGCTATGCCCGACGCAGCACCAGAGCCGGCTAACCCGACGAAGTGCTCACTTCCGATGTTACTCGCAAACAGTGACGCACCAACCTGTTTTTATGGATAGAAATACAAGCAAATAAATCACTCCACATTTCAAAATGTAAACTGTAATATTTATAAAAGTAGATAGTAGACTCTTTTTTATCAGTAGCTGCAATCAAACATGAACGTAAAAACACCTTAATAGCGCTATGCAATGTTGACATTGGATATTTTTTTTGATAACGAAAATATTGTCAGGATATTGGTAGCAATAACGTAGTAAATCTTATATTACACATTAAAATGATTATTCAGAGTTCATAGACGTTAGTCGAGGTTTAGTTCAGATACGGAGAAGGTGGTCAGTCCTCTTAATAATGAGGTTTAGGGTTCAATCCAACGCTCGATACTTATGCCATTTAGAGAATGTATTTTGTCTTCACGTGTGTCTCAATGGTTAATCAAAAAAGCAAAGGCTAGAGATAAAAACCTACGAAATAATAAAGATGTTATACATTATGAAAATCCGAACTCAAACCCAAATAGTAAATGAGCTGTGTGAAATTGACATGACAATTTTAAATTTTATTTGGCAGTTATTATATCAATAACGGTTTTTGTTTAAGTAAATGAAAAATATCTTGGTATAGTCTTAACAACATATAAGGCAGCACGAATTATGCCAAATTCATTCACTTTTTAATAGTAACGAAAAGCAATATGCAAATATAGTGATTGAAGAATAACTTACAGGTAACCATAACATCGAACCACCAGCCAGAAAATAACCTTCTGCACTGCCTCGATTCGATCTAAACATAGACTGAAAAGAAAAATTATTATTACAAAATAATATATTTACCTTAATAGACGACAATCAATATTATTGCAAGATCTTTAAAGTATTACTTTGAAAAAGTGAAAATCGTTTTGTCCTATGTTATTGCATACTTAGTATATGGGGTTGTAAAGGACCATTTTTGCGGCCCCTTTGGATTTGGGGGTAAATTCATTAATTTTCTTATCAATCACACTAGACATAAATGAGATAAATTATTGGTATTGGTAATTGGTAAATTATAGAGTTATATTGGTACAGAGATATCGTTTTAACATTTTTTGTGTGTGTGATTACATTAAACATAAACTCCCCATTTAACGTTCTGAAATTCAAGTTTGAGCGTTGATATATCTCATGTCACTATAATGTCATACTTGTATTTGGTATGACGCCCCATTTGTATTGATTATGTAATAATGTGACATCCACTACACCTGAATATAGGGCTAAGTCAAAAGTGAAGTGTTGCGAACTGCATTGTTATTGTCAAACGTGTTTTTGATACCTTATTCAAGTATGATGATAATAGAAAAAGGGATATATCAACATTCAAACTTGGTTTGCAGAAGTTTTGTTGAGGAGCTAAGTTTTAAACGCACACAAAAGAGTAAACAAATTTGATAAAGTTTGCACTAAAAGTCATATTTTTCAAATGGCAAACACAGTAATATTGTCATTTTCTTGAAATGAAATATGTTCAGAGTGACATGATCTTGATTTTCATACAATTTGCATAATATAATAATAATAATACAATATTTATAAAGCGCATAATAAACATATGTTTTTCTATGCGCTGTACATGAATGACGAGAAATATAATCACATAAAAGGAATCAACACAGAGAAATATACAAATCTTATTACTACTAAAATGACTAACTTAACATAGTAAATAACATAATAAAGAGATAGCTAACATGGATAGAACAAAGAACGTAAGTAAGGATAGTTTAAGCTAATTAATTAAGGCCAAAAAGGTGCGTTTTTCGTAAAGATTTGAACGTTGCAAAAGTGGGTGCCTGTCGTATGAAATTGGGAAGATTGTTCCAAAGGTTTTGTCCAGCAACTGCAAAAGATCTGCCCCATAGAATATAGTATTGGTTTCTGGTACACAAAGTAATAAGTAAGCATATATAAATAGTGTTACCAGGTAATTAATACCCCCTCAGGTTATATAAGAAATATAGCGGTTTTTAGGCATTTTTGGTGTGTATGTTAAATGAAACAAATTGAGGTCAAAGGTCTTTTTTTTGTTCCCTATATAACAGATAAAATTTTGTCAAAGATGATATGAAACCTAGACATATAGCATTTACATAAAGTACAATGTTGCCCTTAAGTCCCATTTGCAGGCCAAAAAATGAAAAGGTTCATTTCCAACGGCATTTGAAAGATAATACTAATTTAGAACTTCCCTAAATAAAAAGGGGCTTGAAAATGTCTTTAAGTGAAAAAATAACGACTATTAGCTGTTGAATCGACTTAAGAGCTATAGAGCCAGTAAGTAATAGTCTGATTTTCAGACCATTGTACCGAACGGTTGTAGGTTTTATGCTGCGCAAAGATTCAATCAGTTTATTTTTGGCCATTTCGAGAAGTGGGTTATTGATATAGACAAATGCTCATGTACCCTTTACAGCTCATTTTATTTATGTTATTACCAAAGAAGAAAAAAGCCAGTCAGTCACTCAATAGTGTCTTACAGTAAAAATCTAGAAAGTAAACGGGTTTCCTTGCATAATTTTAATACCGGGACACTGCTAATGTTTAAATTTCACAGATAGATCATACATGACATATTCATTATTCCTGCAAAGTTCTATATAAGTTGATGTTGGCTGCAAAAGGGACATAGTATATTTAAAGGAATTATTTTTAATTTTTACCCTGTCCATGAAATGATAGTGACAATGTGATTCATTCTTTGATATATTGTGGTTTATGTCTTCTCAGAACCTTTTGATCTAACTTTATTGATCAATATTTATTGAACAGTAGAGCTCTGAGAAGTTATGAATTTTTATTATCAGGGACCCGTTTCACAAAGCCTTTTTTCAATGACAAATGACAAATATCAGAGACAAATTTGTTGATAACCAATCAAAAGCAAGAACTTCAGTAGCTTATAACGACAAATGTCATTTGTCACTGATGACCAGTTCTGTGAAACGCCCCCCAGGAATAAATCATACTGTCACAATCGTTCCATGAAAACAGGTTAAAAAACTATTTCAACATTGTGAGCAATAGTGTAAAATATATGGGGGGAATCATTGCAAGATCGAAGGATATTAAACATCAAAATGAAATGAAATTTAGAGAGAATAACTAAGTTTTCTTACACCAAGTCCCACAGCTAGAACGAAGACAAAGTATATGACAAGGATCCCCATATCAAGGGGAACGAGCTCCTGACTGATACCCGTCGTCATCGTGGCCGTACGTGATGTCAACGTCCAGATCGTGAAAAACTTGCCACTTCTATTTCCTGAGTGAATCCAGAACAAAAGAAATCCCTTGTTCTTCCTCTTAGTTCCTCAATTTCCTAGAAAATGTGCAATAATTGATGTTTCATCAAAGCTGTTCGAATAGTGGACGACCAAAAATTTAAGCAGTGGCTGGAGCATAAAAACATGTATCATCGTGTATTCAGTATTCATCAGTATTCGGAGCTTTTTCGGTAGTTTTCAATGGACGTAGCTCGTCAAATTTGATTCCTTTTTTTGTTCTGGTAATTAGAGCATTGTATAACACAAGCACCACAAAGTCACTGCAATCGCACTCTTGGACTGGTATTTACTTCACAAATTCGGGGTCAGCACAAACAATGCTGTTACAGAAAGATCCGAATAGAACATTAGATAATGATGTTTATTTAATCAGTATAGAAGATCGCCGTTCTAGAAACCTGCCCAGTTGGCTCGCCCGAGAATGAAACGCAAGGTTTAGGCTTCAAAGTGAGGCTTATTCTAAAGAATAGTTACGGATATTTCCAGAGCTACGAAAGAAGTCCACATAAACTAATAAATTCTCCACATGGTGCCCTACAAATGCAAAGTCGGGATCAATATATTGAATGACTATTAGAAGCACACGTGGTCTTTGTTATTGCCAGGCGTTCAACGAACTATCGTCGTGCAGAGGCGTTATGAGCCAAAGAAAATTGAAGGGGCTAAGCCATCGCCAGGAACGCAATACAAACCACTTGTGTATCACTCCGTAGCATCGATGGTGGGGTGGGCTGGGGTGGGGGAGGGGGGAGGGGGGAGGGGTACCACCCTAAAGAATACATCTTTGCATATACGGCTAAACTACAGTCTGGATGAGGTTAAAAACCACCACTCTTCTCTAATTCTTTCATGGGGATATCATTATAATCACGAGACAATATTTCTGGCAGCATTCCTATTTGATCGTGACTCCTCTATTTGCATGTGATTTGATATGTTATACCTATGGTTTACAGATCTTCTTCATCTCACAGTAAACGTGTTTTATGCGAGAAGCGTAGGGACCGGGCGCGAAGATTTTTTTTTTTTTCATTTTTGAGCAGTGAAACTTTTAATTTTAGAGCACTTCAAAGTCTTTTCCTTCTTTCTCTCCTTTCTCCTCATTTCCCATTCCTTTTCTTCTTTTTGTTCTTTTCCCTTTCCGGCGTGGGACTTTAGGGGGCAGCTTTCCCCAAGCCCCAGTTAGCCCCTCCCCTGCCACACACACACAAACACCCACCAGTACGCCAGTGTCGTCGTGTATAGGATCGAACCATGTCAGGTGTTTATTATTGCCGTTAAGTATATTTAATTAAGGAGAGATAATTACGACCAAACCACACGAATTACACACACTCCAATGGCACACCAGGTACCCAATAATTTCAGAAAACTATATTTTTCGCCGATAATTAATGTGGATTTTTTTTTTTGATCGATAAACTGAGCTTTTTGCTCGATAAACAAATAGTTTTTTCGTTAATAATCTCTGCTCATCGAAAAATATCTATTGTGCGAAAAACACTATTTATCGGCTACCATAGTTATTTCTTTAACTTGGTTGAGCAATTGGCGTTCGTGCTATACACACCTATTCAATGGTATTATCTGATTAGTCATGCTTGTTTTATCGCTTGAGCCTTACTTGAGATACCAATGAAAGAATAATCATATCGTGTATAAAAGTAAAGTTTTGTTTATCTTCTTATGAAATATTAGAACAGTACAGGACGTACGTCCCAGGTTAAGTCTGATTGTCATGGATTAAATATGTTCACAAAACACACCACCAATTGAGGCTTATAGTAACACGTGCATCGGTAACTATTAAGACGGAAAATTTTCCATTAATGACATTCTTTTTTATTTGAGGAGATCACGCGGCGTGGTCTGGAAAATAAATGATATGTTGTTGGATATAAATTTCCCATAATGCTCTTTGAGATCATTGGAATGTTAGTCACATATATATACGCCTATACGAGCTTACTGTAGAGAAAAGGGCATGGCCAGGACTATGCCCCAAATAATTGCCCTTTAAAAGTCGACTTAATCTGTGACATGCTTATATATTTTGTATCCTAAAATGCTTTTATTACTTATCGACATTTAATGTTGTTTAAATACAAATAATTTTCTTTTTCTATGTTTTATTGCAAATGTCATTTTATATATTAGTTTTATGAAAGCACTTATTTGATGTTTTTCTTTTTTTTTGGATTGTGTTATGCAAATAGAATTATTGAATTGAATTGAATAATGCTCCTGCTGTTTGCTAGAGTTAGCACGATATATTAACTATTCGATTATAGTTTCCATAATTCCTCAATCCATAATGATTACACATACCACATGTTGTATTTATAATAATGCCTTCCCCCATGCAATCTCCAAACGGCCCTTCTCTCGAATCTGCACCTTGGTAACATACTTTTAGTTTCCTAATACCTGGTTGTTTTGCAACCCCCCCCCCCCCCCTAATCCAAGGTACGGGTACGCTACTACGGAGATGGTGTGTGTCAATATTTGCTACATTCTGACACACCCCTTCATAACCGGGGTCAAAGTATAAATGCCTGGAATAGAATCGAAGATAGGTGAGCGAAGTTTTCACTACAGTGGTCCGGTTACATGGAATAGGTTAACTTGTCAGTGAATTACGCTGTAGTATGTCAATTGAAGTACAACTGCATTACATTTTCTATGATATTTTTGTTGAGTTTTAATTCATTGATGTGTTTGTTTTATAAATCAGTTGTAAACGGGATATAGCGCTATGAGAAAAACAATATAATTATTAACCAATTCAGATTTACGAGTTGCTCTAAAGAGTGCCTGGAAAATCGATAAGGGAGAGGAGGGTAACAGGAACAGAAACCATATCAGGGGAGTGTTTCACAAAGACTAAGATCGACTTTAAGTTGGACTTAACTATGACAGGCCGTTCATGCCACTGTACTGTTTGCTCTCACCGTTATGATCTTCTTCTTTTTTCTAACTTTTTCCCTCCACAGGGATTTTATTGATTTTCATTTGCAACAAGTTAACAAACATACATTCGAGGTAATTAATATTTATGAATTATGATCGTTAGGCAATATTTTTTTCTTCAATAATGACTTATCAAAAAAAGTAAATGCTATTGTTTTGTGACCATGATTTGTACGTCTCTTGAGAGACCTATGCCAGTAAATGATGAGAGCAAACAGAGGCATGAACGGCCTGTCATAGTTAAGTCCAACTTAAAGTTGATCTTAGTCTTTGTGAAAACATCCCCCTGTTCAATGAGACTTCGAGTCCCCGCCATTTTTTTAAGTACCCCAAAAGTGCCTTTTTTCTTTTTAATAAGTGCCCCTTCCCCTTATCATGGGTGATACTTTTCCTCTTAGCAGGGTAAGAAATAAAGATAATGTTATCTAAATCAAACATGCCCGGCAATGGGCCTTGTTTGACCTGTTAAAGGAAACCTCACACCAAAGAAAAGGTGAAAGAGATATATGAATTAAGATATTCTTGGCATTAAGTAATATCTTTTAGCATGACACGTGTGCTGCCATTTTCTAGATAATGGTATGTACTAGGTAGACTTGAGCATGTATAATGAACCAAGTTCAAATGTGCCTCATTTATTTAAAAATAATAAATTATAACAATTGACAAATGTATTTCATCTATGAATGGGCAGGAATACAATAAATCTCTCAAAATATCTAAATTTATTTCTTGTGGTGTTATTTGGTATGTTAATTGTTATCCTAACCGATATAAATACACACCAATACAAATCTTCTTCTTCTTTTTTTTTATATCTTTGCTCCAATGGAATTTTTATTTTTATAACAAACAAAATAATCACATTAACATTTTATACAACCAATATCGAAAACAATATTTGTATACATCACTCAAATACATGCTTTAACATAAGCCATCTTAAAGTGAACTCTTTTCTTTTGATTCTGGGGCCCGTTTCATAAAACTTGTTATCTATAACAAATGTTAGATTTCTATGACAAATTTGCTCTCAGCCAATCAGATGCCATGATTTCAGTAGCTTATGACAGTAGCTTGTAACTTGTTATTGATATCAAGTTTGCTCTCAGCCAATCAGATGCCATGATTTCAGTAGCTTATGACAGTAGCTTGTAAGATGTTATTGATATCAAGTTTTATGAAACAAGGCCCAGATTGAACACAATAATAATAATAATAATAATAGCCTAATAGTCCACTCCAAATTTTATTAAACCGAAACGGAAAATTATTTTTGCCCAATTGATAGTGAGCCCGGCAGCCAATGAGCAGCGTCAGATCGACGTTGCTCTATCCCCTTATTGTTGAATGCCAAATAAGTTAGCAACAACTTCCATCTTTTAACGTCTTTTGGTATGACGCGGCCGGGGTTCGAACCCACGACCTCCCGGTTGTGAGGCGGACGCTCTACTGACTGAGCCAACACTCCGGGATACTAGGCAGATCAAAGGATGAAGAAAAAACTATACGACTCAACCAAATAAAAAGAATTGGGTCAAGGTAAGTTAAGATTTATCAAGGTGTCATTCAGCTTAAATTCATCATACACAAATCAAATATTTGACTTTCTTCCAATATCTGCCCAATTTGGCAATAAGCCTCGTTCAGATATGGCGGGAGTGGTTAAGATGACGTAAAGTGTATATACGTTTCACACTTCTTGATCTCATAACACAAAGCTCAGTGAATACGTTTAGGACTTGTGTTGTGTGTAGTTACCATTTAATAAAACGTAAAAAATGAAAAGAAATGAAAAATAAAAAACTGCGACGGCTTTTTAATTTTTTGTTGCGGCGGTAAACCGAATCATATCTGACCGATATAGTTAAGTACCAACAGTTCTTGCCAAAGACAGGGAACCAGACTCGACTAGCACTTGATCTAACTTCTGGTACCTCTTCTAACAACAAAAGTGTACACATAATCTTTTCTTTCATTTGTATATAACATACTTTGTAAATAATGTTTATCTTATTCATGTGTAATGTTATTTACCTTGTGTTATATTGTTATATTTTATGTAATCATGATTGACACATTATGTTTTACTTGTTCTTATTGTTGTTTTTAATAAACTCAAACTCAAACTCAAATCTAAGATCGGTGTCTTTATAAAATCGTAGAAATGAGCAAAATGTATGTATGTCTTTTTATTGTATTGTATTGCACATACTCCATGTTCTCACTACTTATCAATTTTGACATTTGAAGATAAAGAGCATTTAATCACTGTAAGCAAGCGAAGGACAGGGCTATTAGTCTATAAACATTTAACACGATCATGGAAGACCGCTGATTATTCTTCACTCATTTAATATGAAAAATATGGCGTATGAATCCAATGACCGGGGTAATAATATACTTATCTGTAAAGCGCTTTGAGAGGGCCTCCGGTCCTGAAAAGCGCTATTTAAGAACGAGCTATATTATTATTAGTAGTATGAATAATTCTAACCGTTTTTTTAATCACACAGTGAACAAGTATGAACGCGACCAGTTAACTATATGGCTTTAACCATACAGTGGAGTAGCCCTGTCCTTACTGTACCAACAAGCAGACGATTGTTGTAGTAAACAGCTGAAGAAGACATCGAGATGTTCAGACCATCTTCACTATAAATCTCCTCAAGGTCAAAACTTTGGTAGGGCTCATCTGACTGGTTAAACTTGATTCGTATAACCTAAAATAAGAGGGGAATAAGATTTAGCATTACTTGATGAATTGAAGAGTATAGTTTCAGCTCAATATTCAGATCAAGAACATTCCAGGTCAATATGGAAATCCATGTTGATGCAAAGTTATGAACAGAATGGGAGGCACTCATCTCCCCGAAGGTTCGGGGTTCCGAAGTATTATATAATAACAATTTGTACCATGAAATTCAATGTTAGAACGACAGGGAAATTATTCATTCAATATCACTGCTCTATCAAGTGGAGAAGAAAGCATTAGAAAGCATTTATCAAATTCGTGTTCTCTGCAATCTATGTGTTTCCATTTCAACTTACTTATTTATTAGAATACCAATAAAAGACTAATAGCTTCCAAATATCAGGTGGTCAACAGTACGTGTCAAAAAAGTACATACTTCGAACATATTCCCCCAAATTACAATTCCAAGATATCTGCATGATTTTTTTTCTTATAAAACCAATTTCCACGAGTCTTTCGAAGTTAGCCAGTGCTCAATCAAGCGTAAAATATTGCCAATGCTTTAGTGTTATGCGATTGAAGAGACTCTCATCTATCATGTCAAAGGTTGCTTTCCTGAGGCCATCATCACGTAATTGCAAGCTCTAGCTTAAGATAGCAGTCCCCTGCATTTTCCAATTTAGAAAGGATTTGTCAGCTATGTTTTTTTTAAAGGTATGATTATTTCATTGATTTGTATTTCATTATTTTGAGTATATTAATTTTGATTAAGTTGCAAAATGCAGAAATCAAAAAGAAGGAATCATCCAGATATCGTGAAAATTATAATTCTGGAGGATATTTTAAAACTTAGTACTTTTTGTCTTCAATACGCACTGTATACCCGTTAAAGATGATGTGATGACTAACCTGTGACGGTGCTATGTGTTTGGTGTCTTCCATATGTAAGAGAGTTCTAAAGCCTACAGGATGACATCCTAACCACAGATCACCTTCATCATCTACAAACACGTTATCTGGTGCGGTCCCAACGTGGATGCTCTGTATGGGCTGCAGAAGAAGTAAAATCAAATTAGAATACCAAAGTAAAATCAAAGTAGAATAATAATCAATTATTTTACAAGACCCTCTGATCTTATTTTAGTTCCCCTTTTCTCATTTTCGTCTGGTAAATTTGGTGTCTTTGATACTGTTAACATTTTTATTTGCATGTAATATTGTGTATAATTGTGTAATATTGTAATGATTTATTGTTTTTATATGAAGATGGAAATAAATAAATAAATAAATTAAATGAATACTTCTTGCTTGCTATCAATTCATCCGTAGACTTATCAAATACAGTATAATTATATAGCTTCGACATACAAGACGAATAATATATTATGCATACACTATTAAAGGCTTTCGACAAAAAGAACATCTAGTCTATGTGTATATATATATATATATATGCTCCACTCCAATAAATACAGTACACATGTATACTTATAAATATGATAGGGTTTTGTGGGGGGGGGATCGGGGTAGGGTTTGCTTCTTTTTAAGATATTATTATTTTCATTATTATTATTATTATTGTTATTATAACTTTAACTACTATTACTATCATTATTATTATTATCTTAATTATCTTCATCATCCTCATCATTGCAGGGAAAGGGCTATATCAAAATCAGAAACCGGAAAGTACAGAATTGTGTTACTTAACAAATATGGCAGCACTAATAATCTTTCCCATGTGTAATTTAAATGAGGAGCAGCATCAACGGTAATAGGTCTATGTATTTCATAACATATTACAGCTGTATTCTTCCTTAAGAAAATTTGTATAGCATAAAAATTGTAATGATTCTTTGTGTACAAGTCAGAACATGAACATTCTTTAATTGACATTATTCCACAGATCTCGTTACAATAGACCAATACCTTAGTTACACCACCGAACCAACTCCAAACCGATTCCAAACGGCTTACTTTGAATCATCGCGTCTTCGCGTCTGGTCAGGTGGTCGCGTTACACGACCTTTCGTGAAACGAAAGCGGAAGATCACGCGACCTTTTGTAAATTTTCCGTAGGGATTTCGCAAAGCGTCGGGTAAACTGGCCAGACCATTTGTAGGTGAGAGGGGTTTATTTCACAAACGTTACCCCCGACATTTGAGAAATAAAGGGGCAAGTTTTCACAAAAGGTCGGGTAGCGCGACAACCCGACCCGACGCGATGTTCCGATGATTCGAAGTAAGCCCCCCAAGCTGACCGATAGCCGTTCCGGGTACTAGCATATTTTGTTCAGTATGTTGCCGGTCTGGTATCGGACTTGTTTGCGTGACTCAGGTATAATTATACAACTTGTGGTTAAGAGCTATTAATGTCATTGCTCTGATCATTTTGTCACAAACAGGATGTAAACATAATAGTAGCTGGTTGACAAACCTTGTTTGTTTTTAGTCTCCAATCCTCTCTCTCATAGATCTGAATTCGTTCCTCGAATGGCTGTGAGACAATCACATACCTGGACGACAAAAAAAGTTCATATCAACCAAATGGCAATTGGCTGCAAGCCCTTTGTATTTTCCAGAAATGAATATAATGTATCACTTATCAATATAACTAAAAAAATCATGAAATAGATTTTACAAATCATTGTTCCATTTTTGGGCTAATCGATCATCTTGAAGGATTGTATGGCCAATTAACAAAAATGAAGTCTTCCTCGCCCGTCTTCCTTTTGGCCGCCATTTTCCTTTTTTTTATACTATTTACAATTCAGGACAAAAGCCCCCCCCCCCAAAAAAAAAAAATAAATAAATAAATAAATAAAAAATAAATTAATTAATTAATAAATAAATTAAACAAATAAAAATAAAAAATAAATAAATAAATAAATAAAAAAGCAACAAAAAAGCAACAAAAAGGAACAACAAAAAATATTTTTAAAAGCCTGTGACATTTGTGTTTAAATAGCTTCTAAAGTGATACAAATCATTTGTTTTGTCATACATTGCATCAGTATACTCACATAGCACAATATCTGTGAATAAAAAGGCTTGGCCAGCTATAATTAGCATGGCACCATCTTGGAATAAAATTGCAAAAAGTGGCATACAAGTTCCAAAACTAGTAAATAGTAAATGCCCTACCTCCTCCTACAAAAACAAGCTATGCTTTCCAGTAGGTTCCTGTTTCATTTCATAATTTTGAACTAACTTTGTCAACTGTGTTCTTTATTGTGCAAACAATCGATTTAAAATGGAATAAATTCGAATCAATCAATCAATTCAATCTACATTGTAGGGAGAAATAGACGTACCGTTGATCACGTGATAGCTGGATTCCATTCGGTTCTAGCAGTGGCTCACCGACCTGATCACATGATGTAACGTCACAATAGAATATTCCACCGGTTCTAAATCGTAAGAGTTGTTCTATAAGCCGGATACCTGGACTCAAACTTCGTCCATCGTTGGTAAAATAGAATGTGTCCTTGCTTACCGCGACGACGTCATTTATACTAGATTGAATAAAACAATCCTTTACATTATCATTCTGTGCAACAACAACAACAAAAAATATCATTTTTAATTTTTAGCCTACCATTCTTCTTACCTCATGTCTATGCAATGAACGAAGACTTTTCATCAAACAGATTATCAGAACCTTGTCTGTTTCATCAAGACTTAAAAGCGATCCGATCAATTATTATATAATCTACAATCTATTTCAGTTGATGAAATAATCCATATATTCCTCTCTTTTTTGATAATAAGCGGCAATTTTTATTTACATACAGTGACAAATTTATGAATCAGCGCCTGGCAATCATATTTATTACTTTCGTGTAGAATAAAAAAAATCCTATGCATTTTTTGTCATCATTCATTCATTGCTTGCAAAAAAGGGTTGGATTTGATTCTACGGCAAATTTAACCACTTTAACTACAATAAGTCCCCCTTAAAATCATCCACTAGGACAGGTATCCCCGGACAAACTTCCTTTCCAACAATATTATTGAGCCACTCCGGAGAAAGCCCTTGTACAAAATGACCCCAAAGTATTCACATATCTCTTACACATGGGGAAGTCACACGTTGTGCATTGGAATTATCTCTGCCAAATTGATTGGAGGTGCTTCATGAATACCTTTCGTTCGCCCTCTTGGAAAGAATCCTTTCACCTGTGCGTAAATGTACCGCCGGTGAAAAAATGAATTAAATTTCTTGAACCCGTATCCAGCACTTGTCTCGATAGGTTTTACAGTTTTGTACAAAGTACCTTTATTCTGCCAATGCGCAGATATAATTTTCGAAGTGGCTTATTAGTATATTACCCCCTCACAATTTAAGTGCAGTGGTGGGGCTCGAACCTTCGTCCTTCGCACGTAATGTTAATTGTTTGAAACCACTCGACCATACGACACCACTTACCTTTTCATGAGATGGTCATTGACTGTTCTAATAAATTTCAATGTCATTGACTGACGATGAAGCTCAAAGATCTCAATAACATCGATGACGCCATCATTTACAAGATGGTTTACAATGAGCACAAACGTTCTTCCTACAATCAAATCAAGAAGACATTAATATGTTATTATTATTATTATAATTATTATCATCATCATCATCTTTGTCATCATCATCATCATTGTTATAAAGTATTTGGCGTCAGCTGTGTCTGAGAGGTGAATCACTGTAACCCTAGGGTCTCTCCTCCTGGTATAATTGATTAGGGGTGTGCAGGTGGACCACTACACCGGATTTCCCCCTACTCGTATACGATCTATGCAATGGGTTTTTATCGTGCAAAGGTGATGACTTCCCTCTACATGGGACCTCTATTTAACATTTATCCGAGGGACGGAGTGTTTCTCATATAATATAGCATGCGTCTATAAAACAGGGAGGAGTACGTTGACACACAACGCTGGCTTCAGTCACCCGCCTAGGATCGATTCGAACCCATGCATGGTCTTGACTCGGCGACAGGCAGATGCTTTACCGAATGATCCATTCGCCTAATACCAATATAGAAAAGTCATCAACATTTTTGTTGATATTTCTGCATAACCAACCACCATGCAAGAAGATTGTCTATTCGATATAGGTTTCCGTGGCACGTTTTTTCCAACTTCTTCAGACGGACATCATTATTTTCTTTGTCATTGTGACCAAAAGGAAACGGAGAGGGCTGCAGTCCTATTTCCGACTCGGATGGTTCGGGATTTTTTTTTCTAAAGAGTTCCATTTATTTTTCGGAATTGTGAATCCATCATTCGGAATAACGAACCTTGATAGGAACGAAACTTTAGATAGTGATAGTGGTGGTTATTTCACCTGACAGCTAAGAAAGCAATAAATACTTGTTAGTAAGCAACCAGAAGACCGACGGGCTTAAGGTCCTCTCCGAGGGACCTGGTAATGAGGATTAATGCATTACCAAAGGGCACTAGCGCATCGACTTGGTTTCGAACCCGGGTCACCGGATAACGAGACCACTGCTCTACCGACTGAGCTGAATGAGCCATGGAAAAAAAAGGCCCTCACCATCATAACTACATTTATTTGATTCATATCCGAACATAAATGTTACCTGTATCCAGATCTTCGAACGAGCTGATTCCATGGGGGCGAAAGTCATCGGGGTCATAGTTCCCTGTGATCTTTAACCTTTTGACCTTGACGTCATCATCGTTTAGGTCAAATGCATAGATATGACCTCTGGGTGAGGATGCGACGCGATTCTTTAAGGTTGGGTACCCCTAATAATGAGAAGATAGTTGTGTTAATGTTCTCAAGAATCCCCTCGAATGGATGTGCGAAATATTAAAACAAAATAATATAATATTTTTGGGGATAATTATATTCGTCGACGTTACTGATGATGAACCGACGAATCCGTAGAGTCATATATATGTATTATGACGGATTATCCGGTTCATAATAACGCTGACGTATTGTGCAATTGCGAACAATAGCCAGTTCAGGTATCAACAGATAATAATTAGGGACTTTTAGATTTGCGTGGACTGATACGTGTGACGTCCTTTCAAGGAAGTGCATTAAAAGGACGCCGATCGTAGCAATCCACGTTGTCCTTGTGCAAATCTAAAAGTCCCTATTGTTGATAGTTTGTCACACCGGCAGTCCCTGTTATTAAAGATAAACTTGAGTTCTGGTAAAAAAAAAGAAAATGAATTCTCACAGAATCTAATGAAACTTACACTGAATGTTCAAGATTACAAATAAATGTCATGTGCCAAACAATTTTGGAAGAAAATGTATTCTGGCTGAGTAATGAGCATAGAAAGATAAGGAAATCAGGGTAGTACTAGCCCCGACACCATGTGTGTTGTCCCATATACATCTTTCTGTGTAAGTGATTGTTACTTTACCAAGACTCTGCCAAATTTATGATGATTTTGATGACTCCAGAACCTAGCATTACACACCATTACTTACAGGCTATGATCAACTTTTCTGATCCATTCCACACCTTTTCTTTCACAATGCAATCGCATGACCAGGGGGGTGTTTCACAAAGATCCTAAGTAGAACTTAACACTAAGTTGGACTTAAAAATTATGGACAGCCATTGGAGCCTTAAAATGAAATATATTCAAAAGCAGAAATTCAAGTATTTTAGACTTTTTATAAATTCCACATCAAGAACATAGAATCTCCCATGATAATAGAAAATATGAATGATTTGAATCAACATTTTATGCCTTTTAAAATAACTTTTACAAAATGTTTTCAGGGATGCTAATGGCTTTCCATAATTTTTAAGTCCAACTTAGAGATAAGTTCAACTTAGGATCTTTGTGAAACACCCCCCAGAACTCAAGTTTATCTTTAAGGGTAGTCCAAAATAGGCCAATCATATTGATTCCCTGCTCCTCGATCAGACCATAATATATCCCTAATGTATCAATAAATAAAAGTAACACAACCCACTGACTACTGCATTATCATATTACCACCCAAATCCAGTATAGGTGATGGGTTTACATTTCTAACACAAGACATGTAACGTAAGAAATAGGTGGAACATACAAGGTAATTATATGTGGTGGTATTCTCATCAGTTAAGCAGGATCTAAGTCCAGACTAAACAAGAATTTTAGTTTACACTTCCATGGAATGCTAGGTGTCATCTTCCTCCTTCAATATTCAGCTTGTCCATACACAAAAACAAATTTATGACAAAGATAATCTACCAAAGACTTTGTTGAAATTCAGTTCATACTCATATTATCTTTTTCTTCCCATTACATTGCAGAATAAATTTTTGGACACTTTTCATTGCAGGATTAAAATAATCTGTACAAGGTAAATGAGTTGGCAACAGGCACTCCATAAAAGTGTGGACATAGTTAAGCCAGGCTTGACTTAGTACGCGCTATCGGAATACCACCCATGGGAGTTTTAATCAGAGAAAGGCGATATGGGACGACACCAAATGATGTGATATTATTATTGATATGAAATAACCATGGATGTGAGGTCCACCGTCCATTTAATGACTTACAGATGAAATCAGGACCAGACCGTCTGAAAGAAGCTCCAAATCTTCTGATCCATTACCTGTATATTTGATATGATAAACATGTATGACATTCGTAGTAAGAATTACTAAAGTGTTTCACATTATGGGCAATTCAGAACTAGTCATTTTTACCCTCTTTTTTTTTTTTTTTTTTTTTACTACTACTACTACTAGACTACTTCTACTACTACTTCTACTACTATTACTCCTATTACTACAACAACTACTACTACTACTACTACTACTAGATCATTAATACTACTACTACTACTACCACTACTACTACTAGATCATTACTATTATATTCCATATACTAAGAATCTTGCTCTACGATAGGTCAAAAGTAAATCACGTGATGAAAGATAGTTCGCCCATTATTGATGGGAAAAGCAAAAAGTTCGTTACACTGTGTAGATAGTACCACTATCTACACAGTGCAACGCACTTTCACTGAAGATACAGGTACTATCTACACAGGGCAACGCATTTTCACTGAAGATTATCCAAAAGCGCACTAAAACAGGCGTAATTAAGTGCGCATTACCAATGAGCGCAATTAAAACAAACACATGCGCGCACCATACCCTCAAGGGGGTGGGTTAAAAAATTTTGATGTGAATTCGGGCATGGTGTCTTTTATGTAGATGGCAAGATGCATACACGTCCTTTTCTTTTTGTAGTTAAATTGTTTTAGATGTGGAATATAAAGCAAATAATCACCTTTTGGTTTCGGGCGATGGCAAACTATCACTTTCTCGTCGATCAGAATGTATACGCTATCTTCCTCAGCTTCGCTTCGGAAAGATATAGTTAAATCCAGATCGCCTCGGAAGTGATAGTTTGTCCCATCACCTTCACCAACGGTAGTTATTTGCTTACTAATTACTACTACTACTACTACTATTACTACTACTACTATACTACTACTAATATTACTACTCCTTCTACTACTACTTCTACTACTATTACTCCTATTACTACAACTACTACTACTACTATAATACTACTATACTACTACTACTACTACTTCTACTACTATACTACTACTACTATTACTACTACTTCTACTACTATACTACTACTACTATTACTACTCCTTCTACTACTACTTCTACTACTATCACTCCTATTACTACAAGAACTACTACTACTACTACCACCACTACTACTACTAGATCATTACTACTAATTACTACTACTACTACTACTACTACTACAGTAGTAGTAGTAGTGTTTGGTCAGTGGAGTGTGATGTAGTCACAGACAAGTCTCCCGTTTGTGGTGTCAAGAAAATATCACTAATTTTGTTTTTCCTCTCAACGCCTTCTCCCTTGGGGCACTACTCAAAATACTAAATAGATACCACGTTGATTATAGGTCCTTTAAAAACGAAAAGACATTCATGAGACATACACATGTACATTTTAGTAATTTGTCTGCCACCACATCACAGTGACAATAACCGATTCTGCCAATTTGAAATTCCCTCACGTATAGTGATTACAAATTTCAAAGATGTATGACTTCCTTATTGTTTGTCAACTTCCGTTCAAACTTTCACCAATCTGCTCTTCTTATTTTATCACGCTATATCTTTAAGAGCATCTTGCTTTAGAGGAGGATTGTCCTTTTTCTAAATTAAAAATATTTCTAGTAGGCCCCTCCTTTCTAACTATACTCACTTATCCCTGGTACGAGTGTACATTCTCCGGGTCGATGGTTGTATACAGTCTTGTGAAATCCCAGTGACTTCCTAAAAAAGAACACATCAATATTTTACTTAAATTAAGTTATTATATTATTCCTTGTGTTTAAACAATGCTATTGCGATATTTCTCTCATATTATTTTTTATATAATAATGTATCTATTCATCTATTCAAAATTGTCTGGATTAATACAACAATCGCGTTTCGTACCAGTGTAACATTTGTTTATTTGCACATATACATGCTATCAAATATGTTTTTATGATTGTGTATTTTTACTTATATTTTCTTTATTTACCTCCTTAGCATTTTATCGAAACTTCTCTTTTTTTGCTTTTATAATCATGTTTCTTATTATATCTGTGTATTTTCTTCAATACTTGTAATCGGAAATGCAGCCTTTTGTTGCATCCCTACACTGTCTGAATACAAATACTAATTACAGACCGTCAAATTTTATCCTTGGCCTACGGTGTGATCAGAAAGATCTCATGTATCATCATTATTTGTATTCGATCGTTGTTATTTTTTCAATGTCATCAATTTTGAAATAATGACACCTACTCAAGTCTAGGGGAACCACTTGGGATTCGAACAATAATAATAATAATAATGAGATTAATAATAGTAATAGTAATAATGATAATGATAATAATAATAATAATAATAATAATAATAGTAATAATAATAATAATAATAATGATAATAATAATAATGATAATAATAATAATAATAATAATAATACTATTACTACTACTACTACTACTACTACTACTACTACTACTACTAATAATAATAATAATAATAATGATAAAATTAACGATGATAATATTGCTAATACTTAAACTACAATTACAACTAATAATAATCATATGGTAATAATAAAGATAAGTCTTGCAGTAGTGCATCCAGAGACGAATTGGGGAGGAGGATGGGGCCACGTTTTCACCGGGGCGCATTATAACCCCCCCCCCCCTCTCTCTCTCCCGATAAAACTCAATCTGACGTTCCAAAGTACACAACGGCATTTTGAATAAACGGGAAATGTGCGTATATTTAGAACGTGTGTCCCAAGTTACATTTGATAACTTCCTTTTCTTCCGTCTATTTAATTTTAATGCATTGAATTGGACATTGGACTTTTCGTTTTTAAAGGCTAACGGTAAGGCAAACAGACTCAGCTAATCCATTGTCACAGTTTCTATGAGGCCTTGCAGTTTATATATTGTGTGAAGGCGTCGGGGGGGGGGGGGCTTTGCTTCAATCATACCTCCCTTTATATTGTCACGCAAAAATCACTATTTAATTTTCCACACCCCATCATTCTTCAACTTGGCGGGAGACAAATTTTTCAAATCGTTCTTCTGAAAAGTTGCATTCTAAATCACAATAACGCGCTTCTGGGGTGCATGGATGCGATGCTCATATGGGACCACAATAATCTAAATGCCTCGAACGTACTACATACATATGGTCCTAATAATGTGAAGATAAGAGCACCAGGGGGGGGGGGGGTAAAGAATGAACTTCTAATCTCACTCTGTTTGAATGTCACACGACTTCACCAACTTTACTAAACACTCCAGTTGGAGAAATAGGGAGACAATTATCAAATTCTATTATTTGATGCATCGATCTTCAGTCGTTGCTTTTATACGATCTAATGAAAAGTAAAATATTAATTGGAGCCAAGAAAGAAAAAAATAATTCAAATACATCCATTATCTAGTACCTTCATACAGAGGAACACGTAACATGAAATACAAATCATCTTTATTCTCTTGAATCGCTTCACAATAGTTTGAAAAACGCTCAACCTATTAGAAGAGACTAAAATCATCCGACAAATATACTGAAAGACCACATTCATAATGGTTGGATGCCCCTATTACCTTACTCACAAGGGGGTGGATCGAGGGACTTTGATAAGTGACAAAAGAACAAATGCTATATGTTATGAAGGGCAGTTTCTTCGGAGATCACGAAGGCCGCATACAAACCAGGGTTGGCTTCTCATACACGAACATAATAAGTATGCGAATTTAAAATACACAGTGTTATCCTAATGGAATTATGAGACTAGTCTACATAATATGAGGGAGGTCGCACCCCCAGAGTCAAGGAACTTTACACGCGTTAAAGGCAAGTCCTGCAATGGTACGAAACTGCTTTTTTGTACTATCAATATATTCACGGTTATATACTTACATGACAATGAATACATGTCGAAATACTAAGGCTAGCAATAAGGATAGTACAAACATACGCCAAGTCATGTTTTCGTCTCGCTTTAGATCTGATATAATGTGATCAACGGCCAATTACTGTAAGTCTTTGTTACGTGCCTCGTTATGCTTTGGTAAAAAAAGTGATCTATTGGAGCGGCATATCCCCGTATATCCTAATTTGTGAGTACCCCCCCCCCCCCCCGGGCAGGCGCGGATCAAGGATTTCTAAGGAGAAAAGTGGGTTATAGACAAATGCTCATGTACCCTTTACAGCTCATTTTATTTATGTTATTACCAAAGAAGAAAAAAGCCAGTCAGTCACTCAATAGTGTCTTACAGTAAAATCTAGAAAGTAAACGGGTTTCCTTGCATAATTTGAATACCAGGACACTGCTAATGTTTAAATTTCACAGATAGATCATACATGACATATTCATTATTCCTGCAAAGTTCTATATAAGTTGATGTTGGCTGCAAAAGGGACATAGTATATTTAAAGGAATTATTTTTTATTTTTACCCCGTCCATGAAATGATCGTGACAATGTGATTCATTCTTTGATATATTATGGTTTTATCTCTTCTCAGAACCTTTTGATCGAACTTTATTGATCAATATTTATTGAACAGTAGAGCTCTGAGAAGTTATGAATTTTTATTATCAGGGACCCGTTTCACAAAGCCTTTTTTTCAATGACAAATGACAAATATCAGAGACAAATTTGTTGATAACCAATCAAAAGCAAGGATTTCAGTAGCTTATAACGACAAATGTCATTTGTCACTGATGACCAGTTCTGTGAAACGCCCCCAAGGAGGAATAAATCATACTGTCACAATCGTTCCATGAAAACAGGTTAAAAAACTATTCCAACATTGTGAGCAACAGTGTAAAATAATATGGGGGGAATCATTGCAAGATCGAAGGATATTAAACATCAAAATGAAATGAAATTTAGAGAGAAGAACTAAGTTTTCTTACACCAAGTCCCACAGCTAGAACGAAGACAAAGTATATGACAAGGATCCCCATATCAAGGGGAACGAGCTCCTGACTGATACCCGTCGTCATCGTGGCCGTACGTGATGTCAACGTCCAGATCGTGAAAAACTTGCCACTTCTATTTCCTGAGTGAATCCAGAACAAAAGAAATCCCTTGTTCTTCCTCTTAGTTCCTCAATTTCCTAGAAAATGTGCAATAATTGATGTTTCATCAAAGCTGTTCGAATAGTGGACGACCAAAAATGTGGCACCATTTAGGTTTAAGCAGTGGCTGGAGCATACAAACATGTATCATCGTGTGGCACGCTCATTTTCAGTATTCGGAGCTTTTTCAGTAATTTTCAATGGACGTAGCTCGTCAAATTTGATTCTTTTTTTTGTTCTGGTAATTAGAGCATTGTATAACACAAGCACCACAAAGTCACTGCAATCGCACTCTTGGACTGGTATTTACTTCACAAATTCGGGGTCAGCACAAACAATGCTGTTACAGAAAGATCCGAATAGAACATTAGATAATGATGTTTATTTAATCAGTCTAGAAGATCGCCGTTCTAGAAACCTGCCCGAGAATGAAACGCAAGGTTTAGGCTTCAAAGTGAGGCTTATTCTAAAGAATAGTTACGGATATTTCCAGAGCTACGAAAGAAGTCCACATAAACTAATAAATGCTCCACATGGTGCCCTACAAATGCAAAGTCGGGATCAATATATTGAATGACTATTAGAAGCACACGTGGTCTTTGTTATTGCCAGGCGTTCAACGAACTATCGTCGTGCAGAGGCGTTATGAGCCAAAGAAAATTGAAGGGGCTAAGCCATCGCCAGGAACGCAATACAAACCACTTGTGTATCACTCCGTAGCATCGATGGTGGGGTGGGCTGGGGTGGGGGAGGGGGGAGGGGGGAGGGGTACCACCCTAAAGAATACATCTTTGCATATACGGCTAAACTACAGTCTGGATGAGGTTAAAAACCACCACTCTTCTCTAATTCTTTCATGGGGATATCATTATAATCACGAGACAATATTTCTGGCAGCATTCCTATTTGATCGTGACTCCTCTATTTGCATGTGATTTGATATGTTATACCCTATGGTTTACAGATCTTCTTCATCTCACAGTAAACGTGTTTTATGCGAGAAGCGTAGGGACCGGGCGCGAAGATTTTTTTTTTTTTCATTTTTGAGCAGTGAAACTTTTAATTTTAGAGCACTTCAAAGTCTTTTCCTTCTTTCTCTCCTTTCTCCTCATTTCCCATTCCTTTTCTTCTTTTGTTCTTTTCCCTTTCCGGCGTGGGACTTTAGGGGGGCAGCTTTCCCCAAGCCCCAGTTAGCCCCTCCCCTGCCACACACACACAAACACCCACCAGTACGCCAGTGTCGTCGTGTATAGGATCGAACCATGTCAGGTGTTTATTATTGCCGTTAAGTATATTTAATTAAGGAGAGATAATTACGACCAAACCACACGAATTACACACACTCCAATGGCACACCAGGTACCCAATAATTTCAGAAAACTATATTTTTCGCCGATAATTAATGTGGATTTTTTTTTTTGATCGATAAACTGAGCTTTTTGCTCGATAAACAAATAGTTTTTTCGTTAATAATCTCTGCTCATCGAAAAATATCTATTGTGCGAAAAACACTATTTATCGGCTACCATAGTTATTTCTTTAACTTGGTTGAGCAATTGGCGTTCGTGCTATACACACCTATTCAATGGTATTATCTGATTAGTCATGCTTGTTTTATCGCTTGAGCCTTACTTGAGATACCAATGAAAGAATAATCATATCGTGTATAAAAGTAAAGTTTTGTTTATCTTCTTATGAAATATTAGAACAGTACAGGACGTACGTCCCAGGTTAAGTCTGATTGTCATGGATTAAATATGTTCACAAAACACACCACCAATTGAGGCTTATAGTAACACGTGCATCGGTAACTATTAAGACGGAAAATTTTCCATTAATGACATTCTTTTTTATTTGAGGAGATCACGCGGCGTGGTCTGGAAAATAAATGATATGTTGTTGGATATAAATTTCCCATAATGCTCTTTGAGATCATTGGAATGTTAGTCACATATATATACGCCTATACGAGCTTACTGTAGAGAAAAGGGCATGGCCAGGACTATGCCCCAAATAATTGCCCTTTAAAAGTCGACTTAATCTGTGACATGCTTATATATTTTGTATCCTAAAATGCTTTTATTACTTATCGACATTTAATGTTGTTTAAATACAAATAATTTTCTTTTTCTATGTTTTATTGCAAATGTCATTTTATATATTAGTTTTATGAAAGCACTTATTTGATGTTTTTCTTTTTTTTTGGATTGTGTTATGCAAATAGAATTATTGAATTGAATTGAATAATGCTCCTGCTGTTTGCTAGAGTTAGCACGATATATTAACTATTCGATTATAGTTTCCATAATTCCTCAATCCATAATGATTACACATACCACATGTTGTATTTATAATAATGCCTTCCCCCATGCAATCTCCAAACGGCCCTTCTCTCGAATCTGCACCTTGGTAACATACTTTTAGTTTCCTAATACCTGGTTGTTTTGCAACCCCCCCCCCCCCTAATCCAAGGTACGGGTACGCTACTACGGAGATGGTGTGTGTCAATATTTGCTACATTCTGACACACCCCTTCATAACCGGGGTCAAAGTATAAATGCCTGGAATAGAATCGAAGATAGGTGAGCGAAGTTTTCACTACAGTGGTCCGGTTACATGGAATAGGTTAACTTGTCAGTGAATTACGCTGTAGTATGTCAATTGAAGTACAACTGCATTACATTTTCTATGATATTTTTGTTGAGTTTTAATTCATTGATGTGTTTGTTTTATAAATCAGTTGTAAACGGGATATAGCGCTATGAGAAAAACAATATAATTATTAACCAATTCAGATTTACGAGTTGCTCTAAAGAGTGCCTGGAAAATCGATAAGGGAGAGGAGGGTAACAGGAACAGAAACCATATCAGGGGAGTGTTTCACAAAGACTAAGATCGACTTTAAGTTTGACTTAACTATGACAGGCCGTTCATGCCACTGTACTGTTTGCTCTCACCGTTATGATCTTCTTCTTTTTTCTAACTTTTTCCCTCCACAGGGATTTTATTGATTTTCATTTGCAACAAGTTAACAAACATACATTCGAGGTAATTAATATTTATGAATTATGATCGTTAGGCAATATTTTTTTCTTCAATAATGACTTATCAAAAAAAGTAAATGCTATTGTTTTGTGACCATGATTTGTACGTCTCTTGAGAGACCTATGCCAGTAAATGATGAGAGCAAACAGAGGCATGAACGGCCTGTCATAGTTAAGTCCAACTTAAAGTTGATCTTAGTCTTTGTGAAAACATCCCCCTGTTCAATGAGACTTCGAGTCCCCGCCATTTTTTTAAGTACCCCAAAAGTGCCTTTTTTCTTTTTAATAAGTGCCCCTTCCCCTTATCATGGGTGATACTTTTCCTCTTAGCAGGGTAAGAAATAAAGATAATGTTATCTAAATCAAACATGCCCGGCAATGGGCCTTGTTTGACCTGTTAAAGGAAACCTCACACCAAAGAAAAGGTGAAAGAGATATATGAATTAAGATATTCTTGGCATTAAGTAATATCTTTTAGCATGACACGTGTGCTGCCATTTTCTAGATAATGGTATGTACTAGGTAGACTTGAGCATGTATAATGAACCAAGTTCAAATGTGCCTCATTTATTTAAAAATAATAAATTATAACAATTGACAAATGTATTTCATCTATGAATGGGCAGGAATACAATAAATCTCTCAAAATATCTAAATTTATTTCTTGTGGTGTTATTTGGTATGTTAATTGTTATCCTAACCGATATAAATACACACCAATACAAATCTTCTTCTTCTTTTTTTTTTATATCTTTGCTCCAATGGAATTTTTATTTTTATAACAAACAAAATAATCACATTAACATTTTATACAACCAATATCGAAAACAATATTTGTATACATCACTCAAATACATGCTTTAACATAAGCCATCTTAAAGTGAACTCTTTTCTTTTGATTCT